TTGGGGGCCGAGCTGGGGCGAGGAAGACGGTGGATTCGTTGGTCCCTTGCTCTTTCTCTCTCTCTCCTTGCTCGGTCTTCGAACTGTATTCTAATTCTTCTTGCGTGATGTTCTGGAGTTGATTGTATGCGGGGGGGGCGGGGAAGGGCAGAGAGTTCTTCTTTTGTTGCTGGTGTTCTTCTCCTTGCTATTAATTAAAAATTGCTTATGTATATGTATGTACTTTTTTTATATATACTTTTTTTTGATGTTTTTTTTGGGGAGGAGGATGATGGGGAATGAGAGTTATGAACGAGAGAGAGAGAGGAAGGGAGGGAGTCTGGAGAGCGAGAGAGAGAGTGTGTTATAAGACTGGCGAAGTGTAGAAGTTGGATGAACAGTGCTAATAAGGTATCGATATATATATATAACAGACTTTATCAGTGTAGATGTATACCCAAAACGGAAAAACAAAAAAAAAAGAATGAAGGAAAAGGTTATCTATACTTTAAACAAACAAACGAGGAAGTAAGAGATAAGGGCAATGGTCCGGGAGGGGGGGGGGGGTTGTTTGTTGATGTCTATGCGAGACGAAAGGATTCGAGAAGTGGCCTTCACTGGGTTCTGTGTTCTTGATTTTTGGTTGAAGATGAGGGTGGAGTGCTTCAGTGAGAGAGTGAGAGAGAGTGGTATGGTAGTTAAGGAAACAGAGCCAGGTTGATGATCACTGGGAGATGGATGATTGGTAGGCAGGGAGACTCCTCTGATGGATGGAAGGGTGTGCAACTCTCGGGCTTTCTCGTTCTTCTTCTTCTTCTTCTTCTTTTTGCTTCGACTGTGTTGGTGATGGTGATGGTGATGGTGGCCTCGTTCTTTCTAATCGTTTGTCGGTGTAAAATAATATGGACACCATCAAGCAGACATCCCCGAAATAAGCAATCGATTTCCTACAAAAAATCCAAATCCGATCATGAAGGAAGTGTAGATACAACGAGACATATCCCATCCATCAAGCTCTCTCTGTCCCAAACCCACCACCATCTCGACGATTGGGCTGTTGAAGTTGCAACCAACAAGAGCCTTTCGCGGCCTCTGCACGCTCCATAAAAAAGTGATCTACATACATACACGCTTGCCTTCTGTGGATGTGACCAATGGATGGGCTTTCACATCTGTATCTATCAATAGGGAAGATCATAAAAACGAAAAAAAAAAAAAAAACTGAACGAACAAAAAATACAAACACACACGCCACTTTAAAATGTTTAGAACTAATAAAGTACATAATAACAGTGTAAAAGATCACAAGCGAAGAAGATCGGAGTCTCAAAAAGCCATGGCCATTGAACCCGAAAAAAAGAACAATGAGAATGCAATGCATATATGTAGCTCTACAGAGTATGTAATGAAATAAACCAAAAAAAAAGAAAAAGAAAAAGAAAGTATGATTCTATCTATCTATGCGAATGTCATGAACGATAATCTAAACAAAAAGATGACTACAGAAAGAGAAAGAAAGAATTAAATGCTTATAAACCAGCCTTGATTGAACGAACAACAAGCATCAGCGAAGAAAGAGAGAAAGTGGATACAACAAACGAGCATCTACATCAACCATTAATTCATTACAAACAACCACCAAGGAGACGGATCGGAGCAGAACGAGGCCATACTGATAGTAAGATCCGACGATCATTGATGATGAAGGTCCTGATCCTTGAGTCGAGTCTCATTGAGCTGATCGAGCCGGGCCACCAGCTTGGGGATCTCCAACAACTTCTGCTCCAACGCCTATCCGATCACCAATCCCACATTAACCTCTGCATGGAAGTGGGAGAGAGAGATTCACAGGAAATCACTCACTTGTTTCTCTTCCTGCAAAGCCAACCGTTTCTCAGCGTCCAATTGAGTGAAACAATATCCGCCCTCGCCGTCGTATTGCAAGATATACCTACATCACAAAAAAAAAAAAAATTCAGTCTCATCAACCAAGCCGAAAAAAGTGGGAGGGACGGAACTTGTGGTATTTCCATAACGAGGGCCGATGCGAGACCGTCAAGAGAGTGATCCCGAGTGAGGTCGCATGTTCGTACATGATCTTCTCCACATCCAGGGTGACGGCGGAGGTGCATTCGTCGAGAATAGCGTACTACAATAACAAACCACCCACCAAAAATCAAATAAGCCCACGAGATCATCAACCAAGAAAAAGAAAAAAAAAAAAAAAGTAAAGGAAGGAGTTACTTTAGGACAATGATAATAAAGTCTACAGATAGCCAGACGTTGTTTATCGCCGCCACTGAGCGCATCTCTCCACTCCCTGACGACGTCCCAACCGCCTTCGCGTTGGACGATCGAGTCCAAGTCGACGATCGCGAGGATCCGGAGCAGATCCTCGTCGGAGACCCCGCGTCTGGCCATCTGTTCCTTCGAGTCGGGGTAGATCAACTGGTCCCGGAGGGTGCCCAAGGACAGATAAGGCCTCTGCGGGATGTAGGTGAATTCAGAGGAGGCCGGCTTCGTCACCACGCCTCCATACACCGGCCATAATCCCCCCAGGATTCGGAATAATGACGACTTCCCACAGCCGTTCGGACCTACTATTAATAGGTGTTGCTATTTATCCTTCCACTGGTCGTCAGCTTGATGACTCTCTCTCTCAAAAAAAAACTAATGGAAGATAGCTTACGCCTGGTTTCACGTGGAAACTTAAACTCTTAACTAACACGTCTCCATTGGGAGAGATAATAGGGACCTGATCGAAGATGATATCGTCCTCAGATTCGACGACTTGGCCGCGATTTTGGAGCACTATCTCGCAAAGGGCGTGGGAGGCCGATATCCCGATCAGTTTTCCTTTTCTTCTTTTTACAGTCAATGAAATCGGACAAAAGCAGAGAGAAAGACAGACAGACGTTTTTGGGAGTCATCAGTATTAGCCGAGCCGACCTTCCGTTTCTCGTATTGGCCACGTTTGATGCTTTCCATCGTATCGAACAGTTCCGAGACGCGAGCGGTATAGCCGGCCAATTCACTCACGTCTTTATACGAGTACATCACCCGACCGAAGGCGTCTGAAGCGGACAACAAGAGACGACGCTATAGGGGTAGGAGTTGAGTTCAGCGGGGGGTTTTTTTTACAGGAATGAGGAGTGGGACTAAGAGAGTCGACATACGTTGGTGACAAATCCCTGGGTTCGGCCTCCCATGTCACTATCAGGGAGCGCCTTTTTGATCGCCTCACCGACGACGCCGACGGGAGGAGGATTGATGTTGAAGAAGACCGGGATGCTGCAGATCATCAAGCCGAGGGAGCCCCAGACCCACTTGATGATCCCATCCTCAACCATCCCATGCCATAGTCTGACCTTGTACACCCAGTTGATATGTTTGATCAGACTGAAGTATGAGCGCTCGATGATGTTCTTCTCGATCTCGTACGAGCGATGCGAGCTGTAGAACGAGATCTCTTCCGAATTCTCAATCAATCTGGAATGCGTAAACCGGAACTCGCCCTCTAACTTTTGTTCCTCTGATGCATATCTTCCAAATGATGGTGTCACAGCTCTCACTTTTTTTTCACATCAACCCGTTTAAAACAAGTCAGAAAAGCAAGAGGGGAAAAAAAGTGAATCATTTATATGATCTTTTAATAGAAAGTGACTTACGTAATGCAGCAGAAGCCTGAACGATGATGGTGAGGCCGATAAGGCCTTCAAGCCCCACGTTTTTGCTCAACTGCCAATTATAGAGGATGACGTCCAAGACAGGCTTGGCGAGATTACTGTAGATCTCAGCGAGCGAGTCTGAGAATTTGGCGACATCGACGGTGATCAGTTGGTCGACGTTGGCGATCCGATCGTCGAGATTATTGATCCCATAGAACGTCGTGTCTGAGAGATACATGTCGTGGATCCGGTTGGTCAGTCGACTCCGGTAGGCTATCGATAGCTTGCATTGTAGATATGATAGCATCGAATTCGTATACGTCGCTGGAATCGAGATCGACATCCATAATGCCAGCTGTTAATATGTTTTCTTCTTTGTCAGATTCGATTGGGTATATTCTTTTTGTGGGGATTGCAACTTGGCCAGACTAAACTGACCCGAGATAAGAATTGGATGCCTTCTCCACGAACCAAAGCGGAGACGATCTGCCCGTCCAAACTAGCCACATACTATAGATAACCATCAAAACCATGCAAAAAGAAAAGTTGAGTAATCTGAAAGGTACTGTTTTGTGCTGGTACAAGGGAAGGCAAATTGATACTGACGAGAGAGAGCACGGTTCTAAAGATGAGAAAAGCGGAATGGATGACGAGCAGCGATGCGGTTTTACTCTTCCAACTAGGGATGACGATAGCCAAGAGGCGATTAAGTCTTGCGAAGAATTTAGCATCCACCTCGACCCTAGCTGCGGCTCTTTTCCGATTAGCGCTTCGACCGACTGAGCCGATTGCTTTGGGATCATTTGATGAGACTTGTTGTTTAGGATCCTGACTTGACGAAGGTGGTGCAAGTTTTTGGTTTCGTTTCTTGGGTCTTAAGCCGGAGGTGGTGGCTAGGACGATGTAAACGGCAAATGAGCTCATGAATAGTTTTTGGAAGAATGGTCGGTTTCGCATGTATCCGTCCAAGATTTTCGAGCCCATCGTTGCCTGTTGGATTATTGGACTGTTCCTGCTACTAGCCATGTCCCTCTGTTGTTCGATGGCGTAGTGTTGGTGGTGGTGGTGTTGATGGTGGTGGTGGTGGTGGTGGTCTGAGTGGTGATCGTAGGTTTCGAGATCTTGGGTCCCGGTGAAGACCCCCCGGAGGGTTTGACAGCCCGATCTCAATCTCGCCGCCTCGCGCCCCGCCAGGCCCCACCCGCCCGGCAATTAACAGGGACTTCGCCCCAAATCGGATCCAGAGGGGGTCACACTCATTCGACCGCAAAGAACCGCTAATGCCACCCACCGATTGGTACTACCCGACTCAAGTCATACACTCTTGCGTTCTGGGTAGAGCCAGTCTAAATAGGGAGGAAATATCCGCGGCAAAAAAAATGAGTTTTTAATGTGCAGCCCACTTTTCCAAATGTGGCGCCGTCAACCCTACTTTGAAGTTGAAGTCATTGAGTTCAAGTAAATAGTTCTGATCCATGCGCTCCCAGCCGACCCAAAGGGTGTCTGGCCTTCTGTGCGATTTCCACTCCAGCTTATCCCATCTCCTCGCCTGGGTCTTTGCCGGCAAGCGAAGAGCGTTGCCCGCCGAAGAGCAAAGAAATTTTCATGGGGAGAGCGTCCCGCGGGAGCTCCGGGGGAGAGTTTTTGTTTAGGTTAATTTTCACTTGCCTTTGGAAGTGCCTTGGCGCATGTGCAGCTAGTGGAGGCAAGAACAGGCTTAGAACGCTTCACAATCTGATCTGTGGCAGAATTGTTTTCACAATAGTGTCAAAAAAGAAGAAACATTGTTGACCTTGACAATTGTGTGCTTTGAACAGGTGCTAGAATCAGATTGGAAACAAAATTAATTGGCAGAGTCATCTTCCTGCTTATGCCGTGGCCGCGTGTTTTTTTTTTTGTCCCACCTCTTCAGATCAGATGACTGAAGCTTTTCAAATTTGTAACGCCAGGGTTACGAGCACATACATATACATTGCGACAGGAGAACTGGCTTTCATTGAGAGGAAAAAGAAGCTGTGTCGCTAGTTTGGTAGAGCAAAAGGTATCGCCGGATTCAAATAAATCTCTCGCAGGATTATCAGAAACGTGGATAGACCTTTACAGATGGTGCTCTTTCGCAAGTTTGTAGGCTGATTCTCTGATAAATCCAAACCGCAAACTAAGTAGGGAGGATAAGGAAACAGCGACCGTATCAACGATACATTTATATAGAGATATAGATTTCCAGAAATAAGCATAGTTTTTTTTGAAGAGGAAACTCAATCAAGAAGTTCGTGTGTTGTTAGAGTATTCAAATCAAGGCATTCATTCACGAGATAAAGAGACGGGTGCAGATATTTTTCTTAAATCCTGAGCTGGTTCATCAACGCGGAAGGAGCATCGAAATCAAGGTTCGGACGACCTTCATCAAAAGAAGAGAGAGAAAAAGATGTGAGTAAGTGCCATATGTATTTTGAATCCTCAACTGATGCTTTCTGTTTCTGTTCGGAAGGAATCAACAACTAGAAAATATGCGCGACTAACCATCTTCTTCAAAGATATCATGGCAAGCATAAACGCATTCCACTCCGTGATCTTCACATCGCGCTTCGATACTCCTTGGTGGTGGGAATTCCGAGGCTTCGTGTAATTCAAGTCGTCTCAAATGCGGCAGAGTCTCAAAAGGCACCCACAGTGAAGCCTTTTTTTTCCGTTTGTGAAACGGATAGCAATTAAGCGCAAGAATCTCTACCGATGCAAACATAGGCTGCGGCAAAAATTGTTCAAATTCTCTATCCCATTCGTGTACCCTTATTACTCGCAGTCGTGGGAAGTTCAGGTTGAGAGCATGTCGTATTACTCTTGCGTCTGTGACAAAGAGCTCTTCCAGTCTTTCTCGAAGGACTTCGAAAAGGGGAATTAGATCGTCACCCATATGACCAGGTCCCCCGATCCAAAGGACTTTGAGGTTTGGCAGTCTAGTCGCCAGTCTTACAATCCCATCTAAAGTGGGGTCTCCTTCATTTTTGACGTCTAGTTTGAGAGTCGTAATGCTAGTAAACTGATGGCCATGGAGATCTTCTCCAAGCGATGATGGTGAGCAGATGGGGCGGAAATTAGTCAGGTCGAGGGAAACTACTCCTTGGGCTGCTCTAAGCAAAGATACTAGACATTCCGAATCAGTTGGCAAGCCGTCGATCATCAGATCCCTATGAACCGAGCTTCCAGATTTGGTCTTGCCCCCGCCCACCCTGGTGAGGTGGATTCCGAGTCTCAAAGAACGTAAATTCGGTATGCGACCTATTCGCTCGATAGTGGATATCGGAAGTGTAAATAAGTTTACAGCTTGAATTTCGAGTGCGACAATCGTCTCAGAGAATTGGTCGATCAGAGCATCCAAATTCTTAAACTCGGCCTTCCCAGGAGGCGCAACTAATACCAATCCCCAAGTCCAGAGTTCCTGAACCTTCAAATACCGACATTGGGGGGGTGGAAGCGTTTTCGGTCGACGAGCAAGCTCATTGATGAAAGCCGTTGCTCTAGAAGAACACTTAAAAGAGAGCTGGTCATAGAGATGCCGTTGATAGAACCATTCTGCCCACTTTCGACACACTAGTCTCATTTCAGATATTAATCGGATTCTTTTCGCGACCTCCTGTTGTTTTACGTGCTCATAGATGGCTATAGGTAGCCACATGGATGAGGTCAAGTTTATTTTGACTAAGTTTGTAAAGATTCGTTCGAGCACCTCGTCAGGTAGATCCATGATGGTTTTCATTTTGAAGCCAGACCAAGCTTTCACGTGGTTCCGACTGCGAATTGGAAGTTATGGTCAAGAACTTGAGTTTACGTCAGTGAGGAATTATTAACTAGTGAGGCTGGCCACAGTGAAATACAAAGCAAAACTGCTTGCCTAGTATGGACGTATCAAAACAGCACGGTCCTTGGCAGCGAAACACCGGTCACAAGGATCGTGGCAAAATCGCTCTGAAGCAATGAACAAACACAAAAAAAGGTGGTTTGAGCAAGTGATGTTGGAAGGATAAGTTTTTTTTTCTCTAGTGCTTGTCAAACGCGGAGGGTTCCACTCACGAGTTCAGAAGCAAGAAGTGGATTTACTTCCACTGCCAGATGTCTATTTGATGTAGGTAGGAGTGGCAGCGATCCAAAGGTGGAGGAATGTGTGGACAGATGACTTTACGGGCTCCAGCACATGTCCATTTATACCCACCCATTCCAGAAATACCGCCACAAGACTCCAGACACTTAGGTTCCAACTTCTCCGGACCCCAGCAAACCTCAACGGCTCTATCGCATATGTACCTTCTCCAACTGACCAACCGGTCCCCAACCTTTGTCAAATCAAATATGTTAGCTTTATTTGTCTAACGCCATTGCATGAAACGGTCATTCGACTGCTCGAAAGACCTCTCTATTGGCTGTAACTTTGCAATGTAGATAGCAAAGAATAGGCTTTTGAGCCCTTTCTTCAGAATTATGGTGATCGCAGAGTGCTTTGAAGTCTTCACCACCTACACCATGGTCTCAAATTCTCTTTTGTCGCCCCAGCTTCCTCAGATTCCATCTGTATGTTTACAAATTATTGTAGAAATGCATCTTTTGATAAGGTTCTCAAATCGGTTTCCAAGGCTTTAGATGGCCCCAGAACTGAAGCTTGTACATTTGGCCATTGCTCTTATCGCGCGGACTCGATATACGTTCTTCGTCAGTCTTCTTCCCAACCGCTTGCCGAAGTTTGTCACCTGACTGCGTCAAACTTGCTGACATAATTTCAGTTCAACAGATGTTCATTTTCAACTGAAAGGCCCAAGGAGCCCACAACGTGCAAGTTTGTTGAGAAATTGGCGCAAGAGAGCTGATTCATAAAATAAACATCCCTCCCTTTGTTCACAGCAGATTATGCATTGTGCACCACAAACCTGCGCGAAGATATGCGGGGTTTTGCCCTTTAACATGCTTTCCAAAGCAGGGTGACGAAGTTCAAATCTTCGTCCAAACAACAAATTCCTACCAAAGTTCAAAGCTCAATAGGCAACAGATTTTTGATTGACGCAGATCGGTCCCAAGAACTTGGGATAAGATTAGAACTAAGGAGGAACTCGCGTCACTAATTCCATTGATGCTTTGAAACACAAGATTGGTGGTCTATTGGATCAGGTCCTGCAAACTCCCTGTGGAGGTGGGTAACCAACAATTCAGGATTTTGCCAAAACTCATACATGGGGAACGGCCTTTTTTTGGACCGTTCAAATAGGTTTGATAGGTACGCTTGTGATAAAACACCCCAGAAATGAAAACAACCTTCACAGTTCTGCAGATGAAAGCCTGTTTTGGTCGGCCTTCATCTCAACTTGAACCAAAATTCATACGTAAAAATCCTCACTATCATTTGAGTCGAAAAAAAGCTCATCCATACCATCTGTGTGTACAAACATTTGAAGAAAAAAGTGCATTTATGTCAGTTCCCCACCTATGTTGAGGGTTTCTGTGGAAATTTTGACCTATTCTTACGCATCCCACTTGACTTCATGTTCACTGGATCATTTGCAAGCTCTTCTTCTGTTGTATCATAGTATTGGCAGGTCACTTATGTGTTTTAAATGGAACCTTGTTTAGTATTTATAGTCCAATCAATATAGCCTCACAAGATTTGTCTCTCCATAGGGAGGTCCACAATACTTAGTATTTCTTGCTTCCCCCTCTATTTTGTTTCTTGCCTCCTCAAAGCAGCCTCTGAGTCTTGCCGTCTGAAATCAAGTGCACATTATCTGTGCAGTAACATAGAAAGCTTGTGCATGTGGCACATCCTTTACTTGGGAATCACTATTTTTGAACTGTGTGTCAGGAGATACCCAGTATCTGATCAGACCTTCATGTCTGTCAAAACTTGCCCTTTGTGGCAAAAATTTGAGTTTTTTTTTTTTTGGGGGGGGGGGGTGGGGGTTTTGGGTTTTTTTTCTTGCACCCAAAACAAAAGCCTGTCATGAGGGCCTCTCCCAGGAAGTTTGGGGAGGTTTTGCTTTGGAGTCACAGATCTGCTGGGTATCAAATGTTGGAGCCAGATACTGTGGGTTCAGATGTTGGGAATGCCATACCAGAGCCCAGAGGCCCAGATCAGAACCGTACTATAAATTGGGTCAAAAAAATTCAGTTATGATCCAGCCTGCAAATTACAAGTTTTGGCTGTGACAGTGAACTCTAATTCAAGTCACATCTGGAAAAGATGACCACTTTGTGAAGGATATGGGGTGATATTTTTTGATTGAGACTATACAGCAGGTTGACATGAAAACTCCAACATGAGTGTGCTTGTTTGGCACACAACTACGTCTACAGGGTACATGGTAGGATAAAATTGAAATATCTGATTTGTAGTGGGTGAAACTATATGAAACTGTGGGTAATTGTGTAACTTGGAAACACAAAACTCGGTGAGAGTGAAGAAAAGGAGATAAAAGCTCAATACGATCTATGTTTTAAGTTTACAATTGTGGTCCCGTCGATCTAATGGAAAGTAGGATCAATAGTCGGCCTGCACCAGGTTCACACCCACAGAAACAGAAATAAAACATCAGATGACCATAAGTTTTGTTGCCCACATGATTTTTCTTTTGTATTTACTCGGAAGCAGAGGGAATTAGATTGATGGAATGCAACTGACAATTTTTTGACTAGGAATCAAGACGACTTTGACTCCGTTTTCTCTACAGCTCTTTAAAAGATCTCGTGAGTCTTGTAAGGCGTTCTTGTGCGACATCGGACTATTTCCGAACACAAGTTTCTTCAAACATGGCAGAGATTCAAATGGGAGAACCAGGAAAGTCTCATCGAATGGAATCATTAAAGCAAGGACTTCGAGGGGGGCTTTAGAAAACATAGGTCGGCGCAAGCATTGCGATAGACTGGTTGTCCAATCGCCAATTTTGAAGACACGCAAGTTCGGGAATTCCAAGCCGAGGATGGACATCAAAACCTCTTGGTGGTAAATATAAATCTCTTCGAGTGTTTCCCTGACTATCTCAAAGAGAGGGAGAACGCTCTGACCGTTCTCGAGGCCTCTGATCTTGAGTTTCTTGAGATTCGGTAGTGCATGAAAGATACCTATCATCTCGTCTCCGTTGGTGTAGGGTTTAGGTGGTATTTCCAAGTCAAGCCTAGTAATAGATGAGAATTTATGATTGCTGAGAGTGGGTCGAATTGTCTCCGGCGAACAGACAGGTCGGAAGTCTTCCAAGCTCAACGTGACCAATCCTTGAGCTGCTGCGAGTAATTCGTGTAGACATTCTGTATCAGTTGGCAGACCGAGTGGAACTGAATCGACTCGAAGATTTTGTCTTGAGTGTAAGATTTTCGAAGGTGCGGCTTTCGAATAAATTCCAATCGTCAAATGACGCAAGTTTTTGATTCGACCTATGCGTTCGATAGTAGCCCTTGGAAGCGTCAAAAATTTGTCGACTTCGATGGAAAGCATTTCAATCGAATCAGAGAATAGCTCAACCAGAGCATCCAAGTTCTCAACCTTGGTCTTGCGATCCGGCATAAAATTAGTCGAGTCGTCTATGGTGTCTAGGCGATAGATGTACAGATACCGACAAATTGGAACTGGGCGCGATTGTGAGTTTTGATCGATTTGGCGGATGAAGGAAATCGCTCGATCAAAACTCCTGAATGTCATCACACGGTACAGATATCGATTGTACAAAAAAGGCTCCCATTTTGAGCAAACCAGTCTCAAACAGGCCGCTTGCGACCGAAATGCCTAAATCAATCAGGCTATAAGTTCGGATACTCGACAAATGATGAACAAAGAGCTATCTACCTACCCCAATGTCGGAGGCCAGGTTGTCGAATACCAGTTCAAGTACCTTTTCGGGAAGATCTAAGACAGTCACCATCTCTGATTAATGTCCACTCGGTTCGTTTTTCAGCTACTTGGGCAAGGTTTCGCAAGACCGGAAAGTCGGGTTGGGTCAAATGGGAAATCAAGAACAAATTATTCTAGCCCAGTACATATCCGAATCCGAAAGATATCTTTCTGACGTTACATGAAGCCCGGCCGGTGCGATGACAAAATATTTGTGCAATGTGTGGGCCTGCTTGGCTTATTGAAAACAAAATATATCATCCAACGTCCGAGCTCTAGATAGACGGACGCAGAAGTTGTTTCTCCAGGGCATGTGCATCAAGATGTATGTCTCCTGCTCGTCCAAGTTAAGCCAAAGCCAAAAAAAAAAAAAAAAAAAAAAAACAGAAAAAGCCACCATCTTTTCGGCTGCTTCCCTCTCCTTCAGTTGTCACAAGTCCCTCCGGACGCGAAGCGCGCTCCGGGCGGGGTCCTCCGGACAATCCGTTTGAGGGGATTCGTTAAGCTAGAGAAACCCGCTTCTATTTCAATGGATGGGTGATTAAAGAGGAGGGAGGTCTGGACTGTCGCGTGGTATTGCCCGACCAGTATCGCTTGATGATGGCGAGCTCCTGCGAGCTCTCGTCAGTAGAGAAGAGGGCACATTTTTACAAGCAAAGGTTCATAAGGATCATGTTATTGTTTGCAAGTGTGCTTGAGTAATCTTGTAAAACACTCCTGGGTTAACCCTTTGCATAAATACTTCTCAAAGCAACAAACCGCAACAAACACACGATGCACCCTCCAGTGGCAGTGGGGTGAAAGCACACTCAATTTCCCATTGCCAAGAATTTCCGAATTACAAACTGTTGACCATTTCCGAGAGCGATTCGTTAGTCGGTCCACTGTTTGCATGTTTTACATATTTGTCCTCTCGCTCCGATGAAAGCGTCTTGGCACATAGGATACGCTGGGGTACAATCTGGGAGGTGATTTGTAAAGGATTGGGATAATCAAGCTTGGATCGAGTGAATAACAAACAAGCACATTCAACTGGACACCCCAGTTTTGTTTGCCGTCTTATTCTAAGCGGGATTGTGATTGATTGAAAGGAATTCTGAAAGCCTTATAGCCGACTAGTGGAGCTCCTTGCATTAAAAAAAGGGTAGAGTACATGGTCAACAGCTCCAAATACACTTCACCCTCATCATCATCATCATCCATTCGGTCATCAGCTTCATAATATAAACAACACATAAGGCTTTCCGGAATAGCTTCCGATAGGATAATCCTTCCCCCAACAGAGAGAGAGAGAGAAAGAAAGAAGGGAAAGGAATTGCGTGTGAACCATATTCCATCGACAGTCTGGTACCGTTATTCTCCCTATAAAAAGTATGACCCATCTCCAAGAATCCGTCGAGCCTTCAGCCGAGCCCGACGCATGCCAAACCGAGCCTTCGAAACCTCTTAAATCTATCAATCTCACCCTACCTGTCCATTACCATCCCCTCGATCCATTATCGGCTGCAGAAATCAACTCAGCTTGTAGGGCCGCAATCGGTTAGTCTTTTCCAATTCCTTTTTTAAAATCTCTTTGTAGGATAACTAATGAAGAAAATGATTGTCGTCTTTTTAAATTTGGATGCCAGACCATCTCAGTCAAACTCTCAATCTTGGTAAAGTCGTGGTAAGTTAGCTGCCTATTTCCAAGCTACTGAATTAAGTCTCCAATGAAAAAGACTTAACAAAGAAATTTTGACTGCAGATCACTTATGTGAACCTAATCGAGCCGAAGAAAGAAGAAGTATTAAGATATCTAGGGATTCTAAGGGAGACATCGTCAACCGAGGAGGGGTGTAACAGGAACGAGCCCTCGAGGGAATGCGAAGTATGTGGGATCGAAGTAGGGACCGGCTCGAGCTACTTGATCGAAGTAAGACTGGAGCAATCCGCCGCGACGGTCTCGAAGCCGCCAACGAAACTGCCCGACGGAGCTCATTCGACCATCTCAATCGAAGAGGTCGACGAGGCCGAACGGATCGCTAAGAATGATGCAAGCGTCATCAGCCTCTGTCAGCAGGTCGGCATCTCTAAGGAACAGATCTTCGGCGATGGTTGGGCCATGGGCTTTGACTCTAGGTTTGGGAATTTTAAACGCTTGCAACAATGTTTAATGTGAATCATCTCCCTTTTCAAGATTTATTTTTCTTCATCCTCTTCTTTCTTTTTTTAGAAAAGGTTGACCAACACTTCTTTGGCATTGTCTCTCAACTTGTTTTATGAAAAATTGGGGCATTTAACAGGTATGCTAGATTGGTCGAACATGGAGTAAGAGAACCAGAGAATTAAAGAAACAAAACCGATTACATAGAGTCGAAAAGCTGAGAGTATATCTGGGAGTGCTGCCCTTTCACGCACAGAACCTATATGCGCACCCGTTAGATTTCGTCGTGATCGTGGACATCCTGAGGAAGAAGGTGATCCATGTAGATTTCCCGGGCCATCGGATCCCGGGGCCCGAGATATCCTCCGGAACCACCCTGCCATCCCCTCTACCTGCAACAACCTCAGACAAGGATGGAATCGACGAGCAGGACCTCCGCGTCGCTCTCCATCATTCCGGAAGAGATAGGATCCCTCCCCCCAGACGCAAATTCGACTATTTGCCTCACTTGCTCAATCGCCGCTCCCTTGAACTAGATAATCAACCTTGGCAAATGCGCCGGGATTTGAAGCCGTTGCACATCGTGCAACCGGAAGGTGTCAGCTTTGTGTAAGCCCGCCTTATCGTGATACACTCTGCTTTCAATTTTATGCGGCATCATTTCAAGCATCATATTTCTACTTCTTTTTTTTGTCATTCTCATGCTTATAACAAACCAACGTCACTTTTTTTTGCTTCTTGACTTTCAATTTTCATTTTGTGGAAATTTTGACCAACTGAAACAAAAAAACAGAATGGAAGGAAATGTTTTGAAGTGGCAAAAGTGGCAAATGCACGTCGGATTCAATTACCGGGAAGGTCTAGTGATCAACACGGTGACTTACACCGACCGCGGGCAAGTCCGGCCGTTGTTTTATAGACTTTCCCTGGCTGAAATGGTCGTCCCTTATGCTGCACCTGAAGCACCTCACCATCGAAAATGTAGGTCATCCTATTCCTCCATCCAAAAAAAAAAAAAAATCAAAAGAAGTTGGAAAAAAATGAAGAAATCCGAGGTTTCAATTGACGTAAAAATGAGTTTGGTTGATCTTTTTCACACACACAAAGTCGCGTTTGACGTTGGAGAATGTAAATCCCTTATTTTTCATTTGAATCGATGATAGGAAACAGTCTCACTCTAGATCGCTGATCACGATGTAAGTTGGGATCAACTCAGATGGACTAGGTAATCTAGCGAATTCGTTGAGTTTAGGATGCGATTGTCTGGGCACAATACACTACTTGGACGCGGTCAATGTATCATTAGAAGGGAAAGCCGTGGTGATCAATAATGCCGTCTGCATCCATGAAGAAGATGCCGGTAAGTTTTTCGTTTCTGTCATCCCGAGGATATCCTTCTGTGGACCAACTTCTACAGAAATAGATCCATTCAAGCGAATTTTGCTGTTTTTTAGGTGTCTTGTGGAAACATAGTGATCTTAGACCTGGCGGGCTAGCTCACTCCGTAAGATCTAGAAAGCTAGTGGTGTCCATGATCTGTGAGTATTTTGGATCGTTTCAAGTCACTTTTAATATATTCAAGTCAAAGAGAAACAACCTGAGCAAAACTCACTCTCCTATTTCGTAGGCACTGTTGCAAATTACGAATATCTGTAAGTTTCCAGTTCAAATTCCTTCCTCAGATGAATGTTCCTTTAGATTAGGAAGGTACAAACAAGAGTTTACTTGAAGAAGACTCAAATGAAGTAACTTGGGTTCGACAGGTTATACTGGAATTTTTTCCAAGATGGCACAATAAGTTTCGATGTCAAACTCTCTGGAATTTTGAATGTGTACCTATTGGCCGAAGGAGAAGATACCGATGGGTTTGGAACACGAATTGCTCCAGGCATAGTTGCGCAACATCATGCACACACCTTTTGTCTCAGTAAGATTTATATAAATAGATGCACGACAGATTTGTTTTGTTCATTTGAGGCTGATTGATATCGTGCCGAGTTCAGGAATTGACCCAATGATTGACGGCTTGCAGGTACTTTGATTCCTTGTGAGCTGCGTAACATCTGAAATCTTTGTCTTGCTGATTGATCCTTCTTCCTCAGAATTCGGTGGTCCAAACAGATTTAGTAGGATTGTCGGAACCTACTGGGTCGTCGGAAAACTATCTCGGAAATGGATTCAAAGTACACTCGCCCTTTTCTTTCTCTTTTTGAAATCCTCCAACAGATCCAAAGTAATCTTTCTGAAAATATATTCGTAGGTACATCGGAAGGTACTCAAGCGCACGTCCGAAGGAGCCCAGAAATATGACCATTCTAAAGGAAGGTATTGGTCGATAGTTAACCCAGTCAGACGCGTTGAATTGTATCATCATCACCATGGTTCATGTAGCTGACTGATTCCAGAATGCCAATTGCAGAATAAGTTACACTACGCTTCCAAGGAACCGATAGGATATAGAATTGTTTGTGGTTTTCCATCTGCATTTTTTTCATACCTAAGACCTTTGAATTATACAGTCGATTCAAGCATTGATGCTAATTGATGGGGTTGGATTAGGTGTGTAGAGATCAGCCACCAATGCTAGCTAAGCCGGATTCCATGATTGCTAAAAGAGCCCCATTCGCGAAACACGATTTCTTTGTGACACCCTATGTCCCTCATCAATATTATCCGTGAGCATCAAAGACATCGAATCATCCTCATCTTCCATGATCAATGGCTCTTATAACTGAGAAACTGACCCAGTCATCTTTCAGCTCCGGAAAATTTGTGCCAGGCACAATGGAAACCCCAACAGATAGCATTGAGAACTGGCTTGCTGAGGACAAAAGCATCGAGAATGAAGATATAGTAGGTCTCATTTCAATCTATACAAGTCTTGAAGTAGCATTGTCTTGACCGTTCTACAAATGAAATATCCAGGTAGCATATGTCACATTCGGGGTGAATCATATTCCGACTCCGGAGCAGTTTCCGGTTATGTCGGCAGAAACGCTAACAGTCACCCTCAAGCCAAGTGGGTTTTTTGACCAAAATGCTTCCTTGGGTGAGTCGGATTTGTTTTTTTTAATGAGTCCAGAAGAGAGTGGACAGAAAGATTGAGCTTAATGTTCCGGTTCCAAAACAGACGTCCCCAACGCCAAAGACACCCAATCGAGGCTGACTAGTATGCCGCCGGAAACCCTCGCTAACCATGATCAGTATAGCCAATGCTGCCAAGAGCTGACTGACTTGAACGTCGGGAAACAAAAGTCTGAGGGGGAGGCTTTTGAGGAGAGGGAAAATCCTCACGAGTTTGATCACATCGAGTATTCTAATGATTCTAATCTTGTTCTACATTAGACCCAGAGAACCCTTGTATCTGTAAAAATAAAGAAATGCTTGTTGTGTATACTATCACCCAAGACAAGAAATGCAAGACTTGAATACATCGAAGTGGATATATCTCTCGAGTATGTAGAACCCTCTGGAGCTAGCTTGGTTGGTTTTGAGCGAATTCTTGTGCAGTCAAGGAATAACTCGATCATTGTTTCACCAGCTTACATCACCTCATGAACTTGGGTTGAAAAAATCCTTCATTCCTCAAAAGTTAGAGCCAGAGCTTGACTTGGATATCTTACCCTGACCTCGCTGAGGCTGCTTCCATACTCTCGAGTCCCCAAGACATGTCCGATAACCAGTAAGTAATTATTAGGTAATGTGGCGGTGATTGGATTAGCTTTGCATCGCCGACCCAGTTAACCGGCTCCAAAAAAAGATTCTTAACTACATATGTAGCCTATTTCCTAAGCCTACATACTAGTTTTATTCAGATCCTGATCACTGTCTAATTTTCAAATATGCATCCAAACGTCAAGAGCATGCTCAAGTATTACCCAAATTTTGCAGGGACGTTATTGATCTTCAATCGACTCCTAGGATTCAGCAACCAGACCCCAATGATTGCGGAATCGTCCACCAAGGCGACTGCTATTGTAAGACCCAAATACTGGTTCCCACTGCCACAGCGAAGTGATTACATGAGCGATGAAATATATGATCTTAGTGATTGGGAGGCTGGCACTTCACTGTCTCACATGCCCTCACATGGCGAAACCTCTGAGGCTAAAGGTACTTCTGCTTCCGTCCTACAATCACAACCGTTTTCAAAAAATTTGATAGCCCTTTGAATTTATCTCTCCTTGAATTTTCTTGTCCGGCTCTGACAGAAATTAAACAAGAAGAAAGATTCTCGCAACGTGGGTTCTTTTTTCTTTTCTTTTTTTCTTTTCTTTAGTTTCTTTTAATATTGTGTTTATTCCAGGAGCTCTCAACTTATATTGGTTTCAATCCCCTGGAGATTTTCAAAGCGCTGACTGGTCAGCCCACCACTTTCCTTCAATCATGCCTTTTTTTTCTTCCTGAACACTCACACTCAGTATGCACTCTTATGAAATGACCGGGAAGTAGATCCAAAACAACGTCAGTATTTTGTTTTTATTCGTTTCGTCCTTACTTGAAAGTTGGATTTTCTTTTGGCGTTTGTTTCCACATGTCGACTGAGTGTCATTTCCTCACTTGTCAATCATCTGGATCTGACCGAAAAAGTCTATAAACATTACAAGAAAAGTGAGTGAGTATTGTTTTTTTTCTTTATTGGGAAGGATCCCGATTGTCTAAACGACCCATATCTGTGTGATCAGTCAAACTGGAACCCGGCAGTTTTAGGGGTAACGACAGACGAATTCTCTACTATCATCAGCTCCAAAACTCCGATGGAACAGCCGATCATGTCAACTATCTCATCCAGAAGGCATGTCAATATTTTTGGGAAAAGCCTGAGGCCCGACGTGAAGAAGTGAGAACTTGGCTCGAAATGTTTGCATATCATTCGAAACGTCATAGGAGGCATCTATTCATGCCAACGCAAGCTTCGCTCTTGTATGGCCTTCAAAATCTGCGCAAAGTTTATGCTGAAGATCCTTTGCTTGCGCCTCACATTGATGCTGTCTTGAAGCTTATAAAACGAAGGATCGGCATCACTGAGAATGGGCCTGCAGGTGAGGTTTCTTTCAATTGGCCTTGGATTCAAGGTTCGTCAGAAAGCAAATTATTATCATTTCAACCAGACAAAAACACGAATTTAACAAAAAAAAAAAACTCGTTGCTTCCATATTCCCCAATGCAGAGCTCATCAATCCATCCATGGGGTTGACTGATGCTATGAGTGAGTGGAAGCTCACACCTTACACTATACATGAAATTTTACTTACCTTTACTGATATGGACATATTTCCCCACAGAGAGCTATCGCGAGTTTCAAGAAATGATCAAAGGGGAAGAAAAAATCATTTCTGTGCTCCATTTCACAAGAAAGAAAAAGGAAAATATTTATCGCAACTTTCTGAAGAGACTCTCAAAGGCAAGGAGGGAGAAAAAAAGGAGTGAATTCACTCAAGCAGTACGCAACGTCATCCAAGAGTTTGAGTTATCTACATCACAAAGCAGACTAGCTACACTTGCACTGTTCTATCATACTTTAACACAACATAAAACTTCCAGATTACGCCGGGAAGCATGGACAATTTTCCAAGACTTTGAATACACACATGGTCCAGGATTTCTTTCCCATGAAGCTCGACTAGTTGAATACATTGAAAGGGAGACTGGATTTGTCAAGACACCTGATCATCAAGGAACAGAACCTTCAACTTCTCAGACACATTTCACTGATTCTGATACCACTGAAGAACCTGCTGAGGATAGTCTGTAGATAATTAGAATGATAGACATTTTTTGTTAATACAAAATTGATTTTTTTAATTCAACATGATTGTAATCCAAATTAAGTAAAAATAAGTTCCAGAAAGATCTTTTCTGCTAATTTTCAAATGCAGAAAAATGAATAATTCATCCTTCTGCATAGACCCAATGTCAGAATCAAATTGGATTTTTTCTTATTTTGGATTCCAGTTTTTGTGAATTTCCATAAAAACACTTGGTGTTTCAAGGTGTACTATTAAAATGAGATTCTAAGGACCTTTCCCATGGGACTTAATCATGAAAATTAATTGCATTTTTGTATTCTGCACAAAACTTGAAATATAAGGGAAGGTTCTAGCGTTAGACTACTTCAATTTTAGTCTCAAAACTGTGCTTTGGTGATGGTTAATTTTGGTGCTATGAGATTTTGAGAATACAAGGGCCAAACTAAATGTATACCCCAAATTCCATGAGAGAATGCCTTGACAGGGGAGCCCCTTGAAAAAATAATGGAATCCCTGCACACAATTTCAGCAGACATGGGTTCAGTTTTATCAACACTGGGTAGTTACATATGTTACAATATCCAAAGGGATTTTTGTAACATAACTTCCCAGCTGTATAGATAACACCATTAGTGTTATCCAGACAAAATGGGGTTTTGGGTCACAAGTAACATAACGAACGGGGTTTCTCCCCTTGTTACCCAGAAAAATAAAACAAACAACAAGTTATCTGCGTTATTGACCTAGTTATTCATTTGTTATCCGCCTTTTTGCTCTGTGGATAATGTAAAAAAAATGTAACGTAAAGGCCGTTGCAATTGTTGCAATGCTACCAGCCCTGGTTTTGGTGCATTATGTTGAGATGCTTGTACTGAGTATATGCTTCAATCTAGATGTATATAGTTCACTACATCTCTCATCACAATTCCTCTTACTCTAACTCACTGAGTCTAAAAAATACTTATCTCCAGTGATTGCTCCCTGTCACGAGACCTGTGAACTTTCAGTCCCACAGCCTGTGTCCACTGCAACACATTATTGTTACGCTACCGTTACTGGTAGCGTAACCTCCCAGTGTTGGTTTTATCTGTCAAGGGGCTGTACACAACTCCCCCCCCCCCTGATGCAATGAAAGCCCAAGGACAACAGTGCATGAATGGTGAAGCACACACTTTCTGGGGAAGAAACAAATTTTGCCCAGTTTATTGTTCCCTATCAGCCATATGGGGTGTATGCCCTTCCTCCTGGTCAAGCATATTATACAGCCTCAATAGCTGCAATAAATCTCTCCTGGAAATAAAAGACCTAAAGCCTCAATGGTCAGGAGGGAATTAAATCCCCAAAACATATGTATGTATGTATAATTCACTTTTTTTGGATTTCACAAATAGTGCAAAACTCTGCATACCCCTTAATTTTTAAACAGAAATGGAGTCATGTACTGTCAGCCTCAGTGATGCCAAGAGCCAAAACTCTTCTAGCTACACTAGGTGCAAAGGTATAATAAGAGGTGTACACGTGTGGGTAACATGTGAAAAGTGGGGGAGGTGTGTGTAAATAAAAGAAAATAGTAAATAACAAACTTAATAGTTTTTATTTACAGAGGGGCCTGAGTTACAGGGGTTTTTATGGTGCCCTCTAATATCAGGTCCTGGGTTACAGGGGTGGTACTGATGCTCTGGTCCTTTTTAATAAAGGAGTATGCCCAGAAATAGCCTACAACTGAAGAATCAAAGAAATAATTTAAAACCTATGTTTCCCAGTTAACCTGGGTTCCTGGTGCCGCAACGTTCCCTGCGAAGCAGGGCTGGTTAGCCAAAGGCTTGGGCCGAAGGCCCCATCCCTTTGTGACAAGTAATTCCGGCCGATGGCCGCTGGCAGCGAAGCTGCCAGGAGCCATGGGACTAGGATGAGGTTGCTACCCATCCAGTCATTCCATTTGTATCAAGCACAAGACGATTATTCAGGCTTTTAAGCCAAACTTTTTGCAATTGAATTCATCATCAGAGGTTGCCACTCATCCGAATTCATCATGCCATTTTGAGGATTTGATGTTTATTAGGCTGCCTTGCCAGTAAATGAGTTAGGTCAATGATGCTGATTTGTGCCGTCAAATCAGTTCGAGCAATGGGTGGAAATGCCATAAAATGGAAATGAAGGGCCTCATTTTATACCTGTTGCAGTCCACCTAGGCAGTGTTCCAGTCTGCTCGCAAGTTCTCGCAATTCGTGTCCAATTGCCCAGCCCACCAGGCAGGATAACCAACGTCACGCGGTACCCTATGCTCATCTCGATCCAATGCTACTGATCATCATCCGCATCAACATGGCAACACGGAGGTCCCACCTCATCGACTCAGGAAACCCGAGCGATGTCATTGCTTATTCAGTCCAACTTGCAATAAATTTCTCGCATTTGTGATCAGCAAATCAACACCATTTGATCTACCCATCCCACCGCTGGCACAGGATTACACACATCCATCTCAGTCAATGACAACACATGGCTGTCCCTATCTTCCTCCACAACCTTAATCTGGACTTGCTCACCACACCCGATGTTGTCAACCTTGACATTCTCGGGCAGTTACAGCAGACCAAAAATAGGTAATTCATGGCAAGTAGCATCATTCATTATGTGTACAAAAATTATTGCCTACAGAATAACAACAAAAAAAACTTCACCTTGGGAGAATTCCCAATTCTATCAATGGCTATTGTCAACAGGCAACAGCAGTAATCAGCAAGAAGATTCCGCTGCAGTGTCATTAAAAAAGATGAATGTTGACAGACAAACACATGAGTATGCACTCAATTTTTCAACTCATCCAAAGTCCAACTAATGCTCACGGAATCCCATCTATCAATACAGAATTATGCACATGCCAAAATCAAATGCATGTATCACAAATCTCATGACAATACTTTGAATCAGCAGTAAGGTATTTCTCTTTTTTCATTCTCAGTGACACAGTGTGTTCATAAAATGCAAAGGAAGAATTGTAACAGCACTGTAAGTGCTTCTATTATCATTTTTCAAAGTAACCATATTCTTAAGTTACCCGTGGCGCCCACGCCGCGGTTTTTTCACTAGTACTTACTAGTACTTATCTCTAAGCCAAGGAGGTCTTCAGGAGGGAGGAACTGTTCTTGAGGCGCTCAGAAAGGTGTGTGAGAGATGTTGAGAGAGCTGGGGAACAGGTGTTGGGTTGGAAGGTTGAAGTTCAGGTTACAAACAGCAGGAACAGGGCCAAAAGGCAGGTTGATACTGGGTGTTGGTGATGGTTTATGCTGGTAAGTAATGATGAAGATGGGGATTCAAAGTTCAGGGGGAAGAAGGGGATCTTAAATACCCATTCTGGGCCTCTGGAGGCGAACTCAGGAGTCTCTCTAGTTGCTACAACTCTCCTACTAAGCCTATGGGAGCTTTTGATCATCTGTAGCACCTGTAGAGCTTGGTTACAGGTGTCAAGGAGATGATGTAATGCTTGTAACCATGTTTACAGGGTGTTCTGACAAAACTGTAGCACTCCTGTAGCCTATGTCAGCACTGCATGATGTATGGGTTGATCCTTCAGAGAGTAATTGTCCCAATTGGGCCAAAAAGGGCCACAGATCATCCCAAACAATTTAATACTGTAGTCTGTGCTCATGTAGTTAAGGTTCCAATGATTTAAACCTTGTTTGTAGCTTTTCCCGAACTGCATGAACCTTAATTACACATTTAGCCCCCTTACAACATGTAGTATGATGTAACTGAAGGGGTCTACAGTGTATTTTGGTCCAATATCACTCAAGGACTACAAAGTAAGTGAAGGAGTAATAATTCAGGGGTACACTTGGTGAGCTACCCTAGGTTAGTTTGCATGTAGATTCAGAATATGCAATAACATTCTGAGTTATACTTAAGGTTCAGAAGTTATTAGGAGATTCTGGTTAAAAATGTTATTTTTCATTATTTATTTAATTATTTAAATGTTTTTCTCATTAAATATTACAATGTAAGTGTACTGTGTAATAATATCTCTATTATAGTGTTTCAGCTTATTTAAAATAGTATATTTTATTATTTTTAATTGTATGTACATATGTAAGTAATAATAAGTAATAATATCTCTAATTTATATGTAGAAGCTATGTTCAGGCTGGCTCTGATTAGTAGCAGGCTGACATGTACAGTGGGTGAACTGTTATTTTTGGCTGCTTCTTTTGAATTCCAGATCTTCAAAGCAGCAGATTGAAGTAATGAGACTTCGTCAAGTGGTGCAGAATAGGTCCCAAAAAGTGAATATGAAAAAATACAAACAAAAAACAAAGTTTCAAAATTTGTGAAAAATGAATCATGAAATTGTTTTTTTTAAAGCTTTGGTATTCATTTTGGGGAAGTGTGAGTGCTAAGGAAAATAAAGAATAGGAACTGGTAAGAACAATTGTGAATGAAAATTTTGGAAACAAATGGTTAACAGATGGTTTCAAACATCTGTTGAGTGGGACATTCACCAGCACACATTGTGGTAAAGCACTAGAATTTACTGTTTTGACTCCTTTCTGAACAACCAACTTGGATCAACCTTTTTTGGTTTCATTTTGTTGCATTTATAATCATTCACGCCATGTTTCTCTCTTTCTTTCTCTCAGAACTCGCACTCCCCCAAATTGAATATCAAAGCTTTTGGAAAAAACAATTTTATTTTATATTTTTCACAAATTTTGAAACTTGATTTCATATTCCTTTTCTGGGACCTATTATGCACCATTTCACCAAGCCTTGTGACTTCAAGCTTTTATCTGTCAAAGAGAGTTTCAATTTGAAGGTTGAAAACATAGAATGAGGAGATTGGGATTTTCAAAATGTTGCTTTTTATTAAAAGATGCATAAAAATTGGCAAGCTGTGCAGCCCCTTAGAGCATCTCCACGGGGGTCGCTAAATTGGGTCGCTATCCCACATTTAGCGACCCAAACTTGAAAAAGATGACCCACCGGAGTCGCCATCCGGGTCACTTTTTTACAATTTTCTGCCTCGATCCCTATCCAGTCTTCAAGTTTGAAGACTCGATAGCGACTCTGGATGCAAGGAGGATCACAGGCTACTCCTGTGTTCCTTCTGTGAAACCCAAACACCACACATCACCACCTCGCCCAATCATCAGATAGCGACTCCCTCATAACGATGCCCGGTGTGTGCCTCAGCACTTCGGGTCTTCAAAACTTGAATTCTGGTCGCTATCGTGAGAACATAGCGACCCGAAATTAGCGACTCCCGTGGAGATGCTCTTAACAGAAAAAATGGAACCCTTAAATTGGATTCTAGAGGGCAAACCAATAGACTTGAATTTTTGCTTCCCAGTGAAACTTTGGAAAATGAGTCATAAAAAATGATTCTGACAGGGAGTGATAATCACACTCCCCCCCCCCCCTCATGCACACACTCCCACACTCCCCTGAGAATGGGAGTTTGGAACTGCATGCCAAAGTAGATTGGAATGTGGAACCACATGCCAAAGCAGATTGGCACGTGGAACTGCATGCCAAAGCAGATTGTCCTGTGGGAGAGCACACCAATCTGCAGCAGGGTAGATTTCCTGCAGATTGGTGTGTGCTCCCACATGCCAATCTGCTTTGGCATGTGGGAGTGCGCATTATACAACACTGCAACAAATACAATACACAGTTTGTACCATGAGGAATTGTACCAACATATATGGCAAAAAGCCAGATTAAATGAATAAGACTCTCAATAGAACCGCATTTGTCATGAAAAAATTGCATCAAGACCATGATACATGAAAAAATACATGCCAATACATTGCAAAAACCGTATTTGTTGCAGTGTTGGCACATATGTATAACTTATGCATATGCATTCCCTGGGCTATCCCATAGGACCCAGGCCTGGTTCCTATGGGATAACCCATTACCCAGAGGCTTGAGGCTAAAGAAAAAAAAACTTGGGGCTGGGAGGAAGCCCTCCCAGCCCACAAACTGTACAGTCTTGAGGCCGGAAGGTGTTTCTCCCAGCCTGGAGACTGTACATGGCTCAAGGCTGAGAGGAATACTTCTTGTCCTTGAGACCTTGTACTGTCTCAAGGCCAAGAGGAACCACTCTTGGCCTGAGAGTGTACAATCTCTGGGTCAACGAGGTAAATCCTTGTTGACCAGAAGGGAAAATTCTTTCAATGGACAAGGTACATGAATCTTGTCCACAGGAAGGAAACCCTTTCAAATTACAAGGTACATCTACCTTGTCCATTGGAAGGAAATCCTTCAAGGTTCATGAATCTTGTCCACAGGAAGGAAACCCTTTCAAATTACAAGGTAAATCTACCTTTTCCATTGGAAGGAAATCCTTCCAGTGGAAAAGATACATGTACCTCATCCATTGGAAGGGGTTTTTTTTCACTTCACTGGGGAGCAAAAATTCAAGTCTATTGGTTTGCCTGCTAGACTCAAATTAAAGGGTTCCATTTTTCCCGTCAAGGGGCTTTACAGCTAGCCACTTTTTATGCATCTTCGAATGAAAGAACATTTGGAAAATCCCAATCTCCTCATTTTTTGTTTCCAAACTTCAAATTGAAACTCTCCTTGACAGATAATCACATGTGGGTGTGTTTTTTCCACTTTTTTCATATCAGATATTTGTAGTTCACATTTCTGAACATTTGGTCTTATTTTTTCCATAAGATTATTTGTTTCCAAACTTCAAATTAGGGGGTATCAAATATAGGAAATCCACCATCAGAAACCGGTCACTTTTCCGAAAACTTTTTTTTGCATAAATGGGCCCCAAAAGGGGTTAAATGGATAACCAACATGTTTATAGAAGGGTGGATTTTTTCAAACCAGTCAATTAATTAATGGTGGATTTGGTTATATTTGATACCCCCTATTGAAACTCTCTTTGAAAGATAATCTCATGTGGGTGTGTTTTTTCCACTTTTTTCATATCAGATAGTTGTAGTTAACATCTCTGAACATTTGGTTTTATTTTTTCCATAATATTAGTGTGTTCCATCCATTCTTTATTTCTGAGACTTGAGTTGAGGCTGGCCACTGGAAAAGTTTCTCAAGGTCAAGATGGGAATTTTAATAGCACATGGCCTTAGCAGATAGAAGAAATCCCATATCTAGCCCAATCTGCTTGACCAGTCCCATTTAATTTCCATAGAAAGTTCCCACTGGGGAAATTCCTGGATGTCACTCACCTCTTGCCTTTGTTTATAAGTCTCAGATCAAAAGAATTTGGATGTCATCACCTCTTGTTTGAAGTCATGGATCATCCTAGCAGTAGCTATGCAAAATGTTTCAGTCCCTTGTAAGTTGAAGAAAAACACCTTGGAACAAGTCTAAGAGCTAACATCAAGACAACATTCAAAAATTTTGTCACAGATGTATATGGAGATAATTCAAACAATTGAATCAGAATTGAAATAAAGAACATGAGTCAGACATAAGAAAGGTTCAAGGAACACATGAAATGGGAAATGCTGCTGTTGTGATCTATCTTGGTGATTTTAATCCATGAGCAGATCTTTATTTGAATGAATGTTTTTGCCACTGTGAAACTGACTGGAGACTTTAATATATAGTTGGAGCTGATTCCCGGAATTTAGAGACACAAAAGGGGGTATCAAATATAGGAAATCCACCATTAGAAACCAGTCACTTTTTTAAAAATATTTTTTTGCATCAATGGGCCCCAAAAGGGGTTAAATGAAGAACCAACATGTTTAAAAAAGGGAGGATTTTTTCAAACCAGTCAATTAAATAATGGTGGATTTGGTTATATTTGATACCCCCTAAAGACATGTTATGACAAGGATTTTTTCTATGGAGGATTTTGACTGCAATATGAAATTTCAATTGTAAATACTTACTATTAGTGAAAATAGAAAGAAAGGAATATGACACAAATTTATCTATGCTATAACTAGGAAACCTTGACAGTAGACTGCTAGGATATCTCTCTAGCCATGGACCCCCATGACTTTTTTGAAGGCTTGCAAATCAGTCTCACTGATTTTGCCAAGATCAACTCTTGACCATTGCTGCAAGAACGTTCCAAACCCTCTTTCACCTCTATTCATTCCCGGTGGATCGTACAATCCATCAAGGTCTGGGTCTGGCCCAGTCCAGAAGCTTTTGAATGGTTTTTCAGGTGTTTCGATCCGGAATGGATGCGCTTCAGTGCTGAGCACATAATCATCCAGCGAAATTAAGTCAGGGTCTGAAAAGAGAAGATAATGGTATTTGAAACTGAAATCCACCATTCACAAAGGATTCATTAGGTTGTTGTTGTTACACCCTTAAAGAAGTTTCCACTTGCAAAACTTTCTACTGAAAATCTACTTACGTCTCTGCCAGAACAAAGCTTTCTTGCTTATCTGATAACTGTGGTGGCCAATGGTTTACTTGCTCCAAATCTGCAAAGCCAAATGTTGTTGCGCATGCTTCCATCCAGCTGGTAAACCTGAGCCGAGGAATTTCTAGTTTCAGCTCGTGTGAAGCTTCAGTAATTGCAGAGATAATTGGTTGGTAGTTAACTTACATCCTCCATCCTCGATCTTGCCATTGGCGATCACCGGTGATTCTCCACATGTAAAATACAGACCTGATAGTTGAATAAAGTTAAGCACCCTTGTCACGATTATTTATCAGGATCAAATAATCACTCTATTGTCTCTGGCCTTCCAAGATAACGGCCATCTTTAATTGACGCGCCAGGTAGTGAGTCTGGTTTCAACTTCCGGAACTTCTGGCCTGATTTGTTTGCTTTCATCCAAGGTCAGTTCTATTCCTAATGAAAAAAATCAAAAGCTCATCAAACAAGATCACCTCTGTAGAGAACTGGTTGCCATTGTGTGTGCTCATCATCTGTGATAATCAAGAGTCGCTCTGGCCCAACACCTGTCTTTGTTGATTCATATGCCCACACGCAAGCATCTGTGTGCTAATAAAGGCCATTGAGGGAATTTGAGCCGATTTTCAGCATGATGATTGACAGATTAATTCGACTTACTCTAACAGCTAGATCTAGGTCTTTCTTTCTGTCTAAAAGCTGAGACCCTAAACCAATCATTGCCCCTGAAAAACAGGTTAGATGGTCAAGGGAAGGGCTAAAAACACCATACTCAACATCACCAATAACCGTGATGTTTCTGCCACCAGAAGAATTTAGACTATAGGTTTCTTCAAGATGTTCATGTGCAGAATCAATTGCAGATTTGTACATTTTGCTGTACTGCAGGTTTGTCCCCTGGAGCAGCTGATGCTGTTTGATCTGTGGAAATAAGTATGTATAGTGCAATGAACATCAGCAACTTTGATGAATATGTACATATTTTGTAAAAATAAATCAGGGGGGGGGATCAGGAATCCAGTGATCCACACGCAACCAGAGCTATCAGCCATTCCACCTGAGAACAAATTCTTCCCACATCAACATTTTGATTGATATAATTAGACAAAGGCTGAAAACTGACTAAATGTGTATAGTCCAGCAAGTAATTCTGGATGCCTAGGATAAATATAGGTGGGAAAAAGTGTGCCTAGCTGACTGGGAGAGATCCACTGGTCTCCATCTAGTAGATTGGTTATCCTTTGTACCTATAAAATAGAAAAAAGATTTAACAAAATTACTGTTATTCATCAGGTGGAGAGGCAGAATGACAAGACAAACCACATCATAGTAAAAGCCCTTTGATGTAAGTTGACTTAGCCTGGTGAATTCCAAGGCCAATGATCCTATTTCTGCCAAACAAAACTGTCCAAGGTCTCAACCAAGAGGATTTCTGGAAGATGAAGTAAAGATTCCCGTGTAGGGTTCCAAAGTAAAAATTCAGGTGATCATAGGAGTATTTACATATAGATGGTGCAAGATACACTGACAATCTGATTTCATACCGGGAAGCTGGAAGTCCATCAGAAGTTCCAAATGCAGGCAAAATCCAATCTGCCAATTCTTATGCTCTTTCAAGCATTAGATCGTCCCCCAATAGATCATAAGCTGAAATGAGTCCACCAATATCTAAGAAATTGATGGTCTTGATTAGTCATCCAGTCCTTCTGCATAAAACCTCAAAACTAAAAAAAAGAAGAAGAAGAAGAAAGTGTGTATCATTTACAGCGAGTAACGGTCTCAAAGAATGATATCGTAGGTTGGTGTGTTGAATTGGGATCAGAATGGCCCATTATATTCTTCATGTCTATTACGTGGGCCCAATCAACTGCCTTGACATGAGTTCTTGCATACTGGTTTTCCATGCAATTTATCAGTCAGTCAATGAGGTCTTCTGAAACACATGGTTCTTGATTTGAAAGACTCACATTATACTCAAGTGACATGTTCATTATTAGTAGTGTATCACTACATGATCAGAGTTGGAAAAAAAAAGTCAATATTGGAATTCAAGTCTTCAATGTATTTGATCTCTTTTGGTCCAACCAAGAAAGCCCTTTGATGTGGTTGATGGCTTAATGGATTTCTCCAAATTCCCAATATTTTCGGGGTTCTCTGGGGACTGGAATAAATACTATTAGCAAGAAACAGATACCAAGACTCACAGACAATCAACCAAGGTGCCCCCCAGCCAGCAAACGGATCTTGGAACTAATGTGTGATGACGAAATGGATGAAACATGAAAGAGGGCTGAGTCAGTCACACTGTTGTCTCAAATAAATGCTTGCCTATCAGTCCTACACTAACCAATCCTGAGATTGGTTTCAATTCGTCATGCCCCCATGCTTTGGCTTTATAACCCTCCCAGACATGTTGAAATCCACGTCTAACCCAAGCCTGACACTCTAAGCGATTGATCCGATCTGTGGGGGTCTCCCAGTCTGGTTTATCGAACCCGAGCCACTGAATCTTTGGCAATTTGCCTTCTTGGATTTTTTCCTTGCCCTCCCAAACATAACTGGCATTCAAGCCTGCTATCTTGTGCTTGGGAATCGGGGTTTTAAGTGATTCCTCTTTGTCTCGGAGGAGTGTCCTTGGGGGCCAAGTGGGTATTGGTGGCGGTGAGCTTCCACGGGATGAATCAATCGAGTCGGGGGGAGGAAACCGGTTCCTGCTCAGTTGTTTGATTAGGAGGGCACCATTTTGGGAGGTTGATTGACATGGGGACTTGGAATCCCGAAGAGGTTTAAGCCCGTTCAAAGGATCAAACGGATCCATCAAAGTTTGATGTAGTATAGGAAGACTCATCAGTTCTTCTGGTGTGTATGTGTTGTTCAGGTCGGTTATGCCGACTTGAATGAGATCTTCCACTCCGGTCTGAGGTAAGTCTGTGGTTTCTACTCGATCCAGCCCATCAGTCCCGTTATGAGACTGCTTAACAGGTTCAGCCACTCCGCCCGCAGTCTCATGTGGAATTGTAGGCCGGTGAGAAGTGAGATGAAGGTATAAAATAAGCGCCGAAGTGAGTGACAATGGCAAGACTTTCCGGAATGTTGCCTGAGGATTGGAAGCAACAAATGCAAACAATGTATTTCCAGATTTCAAAGACATGAGGGGCAGGAGTCGGGACCAGCAGCCAGGCTTCAAGCAAATTGATTTGAATTGGCTTTGTATCAAGCAGGTTGTGTAAAGAGTTACGGATCTAGGAGAATGGAACTTATTGGACAGACTTGATGATCTCGCCCAGAGGTTTGTCGGGTGTTTGGGTGGCTCAATAAAAGTGGTGGGTTGTAGAAGTTGCAGAACAGCTCCTGCTCCAGTATCCATATATCAGAGGAGGAGAACCGCGTTGAATATTTGCAGGACCGTGCATGGATACCTGGAGTTACCAAGTCGTCGGGTCTTTGAAGTTTTTCGGTGCAAATGATACATAGTAATGAAAAAAAAAATGATATTCAAAGGCAGATTGGCAACTCCTGGCAGCAAACGAAAGCTGTTACCAAAAGTCTCCCAAAGCAACAAGCTTGCTCCAAGAATTGAAGCAACCGACGCGAACAAAATATGTAATCTCAACGGTGAGCTGCATGGATTATATCAGGTTGTCCTGAGTGCACCCACTTGGATTTACGCATTAGTTGAGTATTTCATTGTCAACCAAGTATCAATCCCTGGCTCATGGCCATGAGGCGTGGGTAGCAACCTTGAGGCTTACTAACCCGGGACGGGTGTGCGCGCCGCCAGGCATGTCCCATATCTAGATAACTCCATTCGGCCGGCCCCCGGTACTGTCGCCCGTCTACACGAAGGTCCCCTCTGGCAACGCTGCCACAGATACGGTATCTGCCCGTATCTGCCATGTATCACTATGTATCTGAGCCCCAATAAAAAAAAACTATCTGACCAATCTGCTTTTATTTGCAAGGAGATTCAACAAATTTGGTTTTTGGCCATGCAGCTTTGCAGAATTCTCCATGATACACACAGCGTATCGTATCTGTGGCAGTGTTGCCTCTGGTACGGGGTCCAAGACAGCACTCCTATCTACCTGCACATCTTTCAAAACAACGTCGAACCGTCACCACCGCTTGCGCGCAGTGTCATCCCAGAAAATGAAAATTTCTAAGATTATTGCAAATTAAACAAACGAGTTAGAGAGAAGAGCTACTAAAAAACTTGTGAATTCAAAAAGCTGCTATACTTATGCGTCAATTGGGGATCTAATCAGTTAAAAGTTTGGAACAATCGAATACATGTAATAGATGAGCCACAAGCTCGAGAAAATTTCAAGGGAAGCTAGGAATTAGTGAGACTACTTTCTTAGTGATTGGATTCTAGCGGATCATTCTTAAAACGAGTGATTTTACAGCTTTGGAAATGACTGGCAGTGAAGAGGTTGATACATACTAGGTGCTGGTGTTGAACGTTTGGAGACATGAAGATATGTTACAGAGTTTTTGTCAATGTGTGATTTGCTCCCTACCGGGAGGAGAAATTTGAATAAATGGATTATCGTTGAAGCGTATGCAGAAACCCATTTTACGTGCTTTATCTATTCTATATCTATTCTATAACTAGGAAGCCTTGAAAGTAGCCTGCTAGATTTTTCTCTAGGCATGGGCCCCCATGACTTTGTTGTAGACTTGCCGATCTGTCTCGCTGATTTTGTCGAGATCGACCCTTGACCATTGCTGCAAGAACGTTCCAAATCCTCTTTCACCTTCCTTCATCCCAGGCGGATCATATGAATTATCGAGATCTGGGTCTGGTCCACCCCAGAAGCTTTTGACAGGTTTTTCAGGCGTTTCAATTCGGAACGGGTGCGCTTCAGTGTTGAGCACATAATCATCAAGCGAAATCAAGTCAGGGTCAGAAAATAGGAGATAATAATATTTGAAACTGAAATGGATCATCCAAGAAAAAGCATTTTAAGTCAGTTTCTGTGACACTCTCACAAGAAATTTCCACTTTGAAAATATCGTCTTGAAAAGCCGCTTACGTCTCCGCCAGAACAAAGCTTTCTTGTTTATCCGACAGCTGCGGTGGCCATTGGTTAACTTGCTCCAAGTCAGCAAAGCCAAATTTTGTCGCGCACGCTTCCATCCAGCTAGTAAACCTGAGCAAACGAATTTCTAGTTTCAGCTCGTCTGAAGATTAAGCAGTGCCCGAGCCAATTGAATACATGGTAGTTAACTTACATTCTCCATCCTCGATCTTGCCATTGACGATCACCGGTGATTCTCCACATGTAATACACCGATCTGTTAAATTATTAATTTTAAGCATCCTTGCCCGAGCTAATCATCAAAGGGAAGGATAATCAGGATCTCATCCTCACTCTATTGTCTCCGGCCTGCCAAGGTACCGACCATCCTGGATTGAGGCGCCAGGTAACGGGTTTGACTTCAACTCGCGATATTTCTGACCTAATTCAAATTTGTGTGTGAGGGTTAGCCTTGGTCCAGATCAAAGAGCCAGATGGTCATAGAAAAAATACCTTCGTGGAAAACTGGTTGCCATCGCGTGTGCTCATCACCTTCTGTGATTGAGATTCGTTCTGGCCCGACACCCGTTTTGGTTGATTCATATGCCCACACACAAGCATCTGCATGCTGATAAGTGGATCGAGGACATATCAGCCACTCGTCTGTCCATGTGAATTAGATTTCATGAGAGCAGCAGAAGATCGTTTGACTGACTCCCAGAGCCAGATCCAGATCTTTCTCTCGCCCTAGAAGCTGGGATCCTAAGCCAATCATGGCGCCCGAAAAGCAAGTTAGATGGTCGAGAGAAGGCTTGAACATTCCCCAAGAAAGATCGCCAATCACTGTAAGATTTTTGCCACCAGAGGATTCGAGGTCATATGTTTTGATAAGATGTGCGCGTGCCGACTCGATAGCTGAAGTGTACATCTTACTGTACTGCAAGTTCGTTCCACGTAATAGCTGATGCTGTTTTATCTGTTTGAAAATTCATATTCCGAGAGGATGGCCGTCCCTTAGAATGGTTATCGTGAAACATAATCGAAAAAGAAGTATTTGCTCAACTAGATACTCGTAGTAGCTGTCGGCCATTGCACCTGGGAAAATACGTATGCTTTTTCAATATCCTCATTGACGAAATAAGGGAAACAAGGAAGAACTGACCGAAGGTGTACTGTCCGGAAAGCAATTGGGGAGACTGAGGATTGACATGAGTGGGAAACAGTGTGCCTGGTCGACTGGAAGAGGCCCACTGGTCTCCATCTAGTAGATCGGTTATTTTTTGTACCTAACAGAAAGAGACTATTTCTAATAAGCCCCTTGTCTTTCAACTCATAGCAGAGGAATTAAATGACGAGACAAACCACATCATAGTAAAACCCCTTCGACGTGAGCTGACTAAGCCTAGTAAACTCCAACGTCAATGATCCGATTTCGGCTATACAAACTCTTCCTGTCTGTTCGCCAAGAGGATTCCTAGATGTGCGAGCAAGTGGGCAGGATTAATCCAGGGGAAAAAAAGGTTGAGGTCATGATACCGAAATGAAAATCCAGACGATCGGAGAGAAGAAGTGGAAAAGAGGACTGACGATCCGATTTGATAACGAGAGGCAGGCAGTCCGGAAGAAGTTCCAAAAGCCGGCACCAACCATTCCGCCAAATCTTCTGCTCTTTCGAGCATCAGCTCGTCTCCCGATAGGTCATAAGCCGAGATGAGTCCACCCATATCTAATAGAAAGATGCCCACATGAGTCCTCAGGATTGAACAGATATAACAAAAAATGTGATTACTTACAGCGAATGACGGTCTCAAAGAAGGAGATCATTGGCTGGTTTGTGGAGTAGGATCCGTAGCGACCCATCCTGTTGATGTCTATAGTGTAGGCCCAATCGATAGCCTTGACATGCGTCCTTGCGTACTGTGTTTCCCAAGCCATTCATCAGTCAATAAGGTCCTCCAAACCACTGGTCTCCTACTTCAAAAGACTCACTCACATTATATTCAAGGGTCAGATTCATTATTAATAGGGTATCACTGCGTAATCAAAGTCAATCAATCAATCAGTTCATATTCGGATTCCTGTTTTTTTTTTTTCCAAAATCGAAAACCCTTCGAGATGCTGGATAACTTCCCAATATTTCGGCAGGAGTCTCTGGGGACAAGAATCCATACAAGCAGCAACCAGATAAGCAGATAACTCACAGACAATCAACCAGGGTGGCACCCCAGCCAGCAAACGGATCTTGGAACTGATTGAGAGGTGGATGGATATGATGAATGACGTCACCATTAATGATAAGTCAAATCATTGACTGAATAAGCATCTCAATGAAAAAAAGAAGAAAAAAAAAACCCTGGCTGATTAATGCTCGACTCACCGATCCTGAGATGGGTTTCAATTCGTCATGCCCCCAAGCTCTGGCTTTGTAACCCTCCCAGACGTGTTGAAATCCACGTCTGACCCAGCCCTGGCGCTCCAGCCGATTGGCCCGATCTGCGGGGGTTTCCCAGTTCGGCTTATCGAACCCGGCCCACTGGATCTTCGGCAACTTGCCCTCTAGGATCCGATCTTTGCCCTGCCAGACATAGCTGGTATTCAAGCCGGCTATCAAGTGCTTCGGAATAGGAGTTTTAAGCGAATGGTGTTTCTCCTTTAGTAAGTTTGGGGGTGGCCAGACTGGCGGGGGTGGGGGCAAGCTTCCGCGAGATGGATCGATCGAGTCCGCGGGAGGGAACCGGTTCCTACTGAGTCGGTTGATCAGCATCACGCCGGCCGGGGTGCTCGCCAGCCAAGGGGATTTCGAATCACGCAGAGCTTTGAACCCGTTCCTGAGGTCGAATGGATCCTGGGAAGTACGATGGAGGATCGGAAGACGCATCAGCTGGTCGGGCTCGTACACCTTGAGATCCGGCGCCGCGGCAGGTTGATTGTCACTGTCGAATATCAGGCCGCCTGCCCGGCTGAAGTCCGGCGTCCCAACGCGTCCCAGCCCGTCAATCCGGAAGTGAGGGTGTTGGATCTCCTCGAAGCCGACCTCCGGGTCGTGTGACGTGAGAGAGCAGAAGAAGAAGTAGATTGATAGCCCGAACATCGATATCAATCCTAACGGTAAGAGCGCCCGGAGACGGGATCGAAGCAGATCGGCGAACCCGGCCATCTTCTCGCCGGAGGACCTCGATGACATGCCGCTCGGAAACCGATCACAATAAAAGACACCGTCGATTGGGAGCGAGCTGGACAGTTCTGTAGTACTGAAGAATCAGTCCCTATGGAGCAGGAGGGGTGGGGCGAAGGTTGTTTAAATTTTCAAGCTGGAGAATGTTGCGGATACGTATGGTTGAGCTGATGATTGAGCATCCAGGGATTCAAATGAGACGATGCGCACAGCTTAACACACTGGCCACATCGCTAAGCTCATCAGCACCTGCCTCCCCAAGGGGACCAATGCAGAATTAAGAGTCTTTGGAGGTCCAGAGATATAACTTGATGGAGATTACGTCAGATCTCACCTGACGGACCAGCATATCCCTTCGAGAATCAGCCCCTCCAAGATTATCCAACTCCACAGAGTTACAGACCAAAGTTACTTAATATAAAGCGCGAAAGAAGGATTTGTAAACATTAACATGCAGTCTAGCCAGGAGCTTTCACTGGCACCTGACAAACAACGGGAAGTGAATCAATCGCATGGTAGCCTAACTCGCCAAGGGCTTCCAGGTTAATCCTATGTATCATCCATTTTAAGTCTGGGGTCAGAATCACCCGCCTTGAAGCCGTCAGCTGGACGACGGCGGTTGGTCTTGTCTGTGGAAATCTCCTCGACAAATGAAGAAAAGATCAGGATCAGGACTCATAAAACATTGTACACTTTTCTTGAACAAGCAGGACAACCCTGCTTTGGGCCAGACAACTACAAATTGCCTTCCTGAAGATAATACCATCAAATTTGCAACTGCAAGATGGAGGAAGCATGGTCATCATTGAAGGCAAGGCTTGCTATTCTCCAATAAACATGAAACATGAATGGGTAGTTTGTGATGATGTTTTTCTGACCTTTGATGAAACACATTGTCCACAATTAGTCACATTAATAAGTCAGGAGATCTCTTGTAGGGAGGCTTTCCACCATCCATGTTGTGAAGGTAAGCATATGTGTGGAAAAATATGTGTAGTTGATTTAGGATGTTGTGGTGAGCTTTGATCTTAGCAATTTGTGAGGAAATAGATCATTTCAAGAAAATACATTCCAAGTGGAACCATTGAAAAAGTGAAACAAAGCATTCCTGTGGGCTAAAGTGAAACCCACAACCCTGGATTCATGAGTGAAGCTCCAAGGAACCATAAGCTAAGCCCACATTTCTTAAGGATGAATACATTGCACACTGTGAAAAAAATATCATGTAACTGGCAGGGAACTCTGATGAAACTTGTGTTGTGACTTGAACATGACTCAAGACTTACTTCAGTCACACCTAGATGCACAGTCACTGTGCAGAAAAAATCATTCTGGAATAATTCTCTATAATGATCAAGTAGTTATAGTGGAAGTACCTTGCATGTCAAATACAACCAGTTACATGATATTTTTTTCACAGTGATGGTCTTTCAGTGGATGATGATTTGCCTCAAATGCTTGTGTCAAGTCTTGCATGGATTTGTGAGTGTCTGAAACGATCTCTAGTATGTATGGTACTTCAACAGAGGTTTCCATGTATAATTCTAAGAATGACATAGCATTTTTACAGTCTTTCCATAGTGCTCCATTTCCAAATTTCAGATTGAACAAGATTTTAAGAAATCTCAGCTGGTTGGGGTGCTTGGTTCTTACCAACTCCTGCCTAGTAAAATCCCTTTCAGATCAAGTTTATAAGGAAGTTTTTTTTCTAAACCCAAGATTTCAATTCAGAACTGAATGAATCATGAACTCAATTTCTACTTGATCTTGAGAAGCACTTGAACTGTTGAAAAAATCTGAAAAAAAAAAACACTTCTTACAAATGCAAATATAATTTTAGTTTTTTTCATCTGGTACATGAAATGGAAATACATCTGTACATGAGAAATTAGAATTTTTCATTTTGTTAGATTTGATCTTGCTCTACTTAATGTTTTTGTTGCCTTTGGGTAATTTGAAAAAAAAAATGATTGCTCTAGAATTGAGCTGAGAGAAAAGTGATCAAGAGGAGTGCCAAACAAGACCAAACAGCCAATGTCCAAAGATTGAGGCCTAATCTAGTTTTCCTTGATGCCCATGACTCTGTTATACACTTGCCGATCTGCTTGACTGAGCTTATCCAAATCGACCCTTGCCCATTGTTGCAGGAAAGTCCCGTATCCTTGTTCATCGTCTTTGAGCTCTGGAGGATCGTACATCTTATGAAGGGATTCATCCGGCTTGGTCCAATATCTCTTGGCAGGTTTGCCAGGAATTTCAATTCGGAATGGGTGTGCCTCAGTGTTGAACACATAATCATCCAACGAGATCAAGTCCGGCTCCGAAAATAAAAGGTAGTAGTATTTGAATCTGGTTCCCATTTGTATAAACTCAGTTTGATCAACACAACCTACAAAACTCATACTCCATAGGGGATATTTATGATGATTTGCTTACGTCTCTGCTAAAACAAAACTCTCCTGCTTATCGGTTGTTTTGGGTGGCCATGAGTTTACGTCCTCCAAATTTGCAAAGCCAAACTTAGTTACACAGGCCTCCATCCAGCTGGTAAACCTGCACAAAAGGGGTTCCAAATAGGTGGTTAGCTTGAAAAGTAAAGTGCATAACTTCCCTGAAAGTTGAAACTCACATCCTCCATCCCCGGTCTTGCCATTGACGGTCACCGGTGATGCGCCACATGTAGTATACTGACCTGTTGGAGTATTTGATATTCTTAGCCAAGGCATACACCTGCCAGCCCTAAAAAGAAAAGGGCTCAGGCTTACTCAATTGTCTCTGGTCTGCCAAAATATGAAGGATCTCCGATCCAAGCACCTCGAACTGGTTCCGGTTTCAACTCACGGAAAATTTTGCCTAATCAATGTTGTTGCACAAGAATTAGTTCCAACTATCAAACTGAACAAACAAACATTGTGTCATGAAACAAACCTTTGTAAAGCACTGGTTGCCATTGCGTGTGCTCATTGCCTTTTGAGATCCACATTTCTTCCGGGCCAAGTCCAGTTTTTGTGGATTCATATGCCCAGACACAAGCATCTGCATGCTAGAAGGGACCACATTGTCAGTTTAAAATTCAGCCTTATCACTGTTAACTATTGAATGCAAGTCCATAATGCCATGAAATTGGCAGAGAAAATGCTTAGCTAACTCTCAAGGCCAAATCCAAATCTTCCTTTTGGTGTAAGAGCTGAGCTCCTAGGGCAATCATTGCCCCTGAAAAGCAGGTAAGATGATCGAGAGAAGGGACAAAATTCCCCCAAGTCATATCACCAATCACGGTAATATTTTTACCTCCAGATGTCTCAAGATCATACGTTCTGATGAGATGTTGACGAGCAGACATGAGTGCAGAAGTATACATTTTTCGATACTGCAAGTCTGTGCCCCGGAGTAACTGATACTGCTTTATCTGTGAGCAGGTTGTGTTGCAAAGTTCTGCCGGTTGATTAGCATATTGATAGAAGGTATTGTAGAGAGAACAAGTGCTCAACTAGATATTCATAGTAGCTATCAACCATTGCACCTAGAAAAACATGGGGTCTTTGTCATTATCTGTTGAGAAAATGAGATTAAGACAAATAACTCACCAAATGTGTACTTATTCCCAAGTGATTTCGGAGAGTCAGGATTGATAACTGTGGGGAACAATGTACCCAGCCGGCTGTCAGAGACCCATTGATCCCCGTCTAGTAGATCAATTATCTTATGTGCCTGATAATTAAGAGATTGAATTTAAGTGTTAAGACATGCCCTTTTTTGAAGAGGTCAATCAAACTTCAAAAGGCTCACCACATCATAGTAAACCCCTTTGGATGTGAGTTGGCTCAATCTGGTGAACTCCAATGACAGTGATCCGATATCTGAAGTCATCACATTCCCGACCTTGCCTCCGAGGGGATTGCTACAAATTGAATATGTGAAGACAAGAAGAGGTAGATAAATTGCAAACAGACAAACATTTGTGATCCATTAGTAAATCAATCACAATACAAGGTCCCATCATTGTGGAGCAAGAAAAAAGAAAGACTGACAAGCCCATTTGGTAGTGGGTTTCTGGGACACCAGAAGATGTCCCAAAAGCGGGCAATAGCCACTCTGCCAAGTCTTCTGCCCTTTGAAGCATCAACTTGTCGCCCGACAAGTCGTAAGCTGAGAGAAGGCCGCCCAAATCTAAGACCAATGGTTTCTTGTCAGTCATTCTGGTTGATTAACATATGGCAATCAATGCTAAACTCACAGCGGATCACGGTCTCAAAGAAAGAGATCTTGGGATGGTTTGAAATCAATGGATCCTTGTCAATGGTATGGGCCCAATCGATGGCCTTGACATGCGTTCTTGCATACTTCACAAAAAATCGGGCTCGTAAATCATTTGAAAGTCCTTCAATTCAGCAAAAGCTTTCCTCTTGGAAACACTCACATTGTATTCAAGCGTCAAGTTCATTATGAGGAGGGTATCACTGGATAGAAAGAAATAACATGTTAGTTCAGCTGGCAGAGGCTCATCTTATAACCAGTTTCATGAAAAAAAAAATATCTTCGCAAAAAAAAAAAAATAATAATAATGTCTTGGGCTACAACCCAAACGTCAAGAGCACTTCAAGATGTTTGATGGTTGGGAGTTTTTCCCAAATAACTTGGTGATATAAGGTCTGGGGATTCTGAGGATGTTACCCCATTAGGAAACAAGAGAAACAACCAACACTCACAGACAATCGACCAGGGTAGCACCCCAACCGCCAAATGGGTTTTGGAACTGGTGGACAGGTAGAAGAAGGTGTTGATGATTAATAAGACAAAGGCTGAAGTCAGTCGTATTACTTGCACATTCTGCTTGAGATAATTTCCACCGGCTGGTGATGGAATACTATAATAGGGCTGAGTGATAGCAAACTGACCGATCCTGAGACTGGTTTTAATTCGTCATGCGCCCAAGCTCTGGCCTTGTAACCCTCCCAGACGTGTTGAAACCCACGTCTGACCCAGCCCTGGCGCTCAAGCCGAATGGTCCGATCAGCGGGGGCTTCCCAGCCGGGTTTCTCGAAGCCGGGCCATTGGACCTTTGGCAGCTCTCCCTCCTTGATCCTATCTCGGCCCTCCCACACATAGCTCGCATTCAAGCCGGCGATCTTGTGCGTGGGAATGGGGCTTTTGAGTGATTCCTCCTTCTCGAGGAGGAGTGTGCTTGATGGCCAAATGGGTACGGGTGGTGGCGAGCTTCCACGGGATGAATCAATTGAGTCAGGAGGAGGAAACCGATTCCTGCTCAGGTGGTTGATGAGGACGGCGCCGGTGGGCGTAGTTGCTTGCCATGGGGCCTTGGAATCCCGGAGCGCCTTGAATCCGTTGCGAGGGCCGAATGGGTCCTCAAAGGTGTGATGCAGGACAGGGAGCTTCATGAGTTCTTCCGGGGTGTATGTCTTGTTCTGGTCAATCCTAGCTTGATCGTCCTCTTCCACCATAGATGGGCCCAGTCCATGAGTTCCTTTTGGGGAGTGCCCGACGCCCTGATCAACAGGTCGACGCGCACTCTCATGAGCGAGGGGCCAATGTGAATTAAGATAGTAGTACAACACAAGCCCCGACGTGAGGATCAGCGCTAGGAAGGCCCGGAATCGGGACCGGACTGGGTTATAAGCACCAATCCCAGAGGATATTAGATTTCTTCCTGATTTCGTAGTCATCTCCGGGCGAAAGTCGGGATCACCAGCCAGTTTTTAGCTGTAAACTCGCCAGAATACCTCGATTGTAATAGAACTGCTCTGTGGGTTTGAAAATGCGACTTGTTAGTTAAACCCACTGATCATGTCTACATAGAAGGCGTGTTTCCATTGCTTGCTCACAGGTATGTGTCGCGAGTACGTTAGAAGCTAACTCCGTTTCCGAATTGTGCTTGAATTTGCGAACAATTCTTGTTGATAATCGACCAACAGGGTCTGGATAACTTGCAGTCGTCCTGGTACACTCTATTGACTCTCACTTTAACTAATGGACACCTTCTTGACGACCAAGCGCGAAGCTCATTAAGTAAAGAAACCGGATGACAACCTGAGGAAAGAGGTGACTGTAGATAATCTGGGGTGCTTCCGTCCTTGGCAGCGGTTTCCGAGCTTCCTAAAGTAAATGCCATAACAATGAGGGAGCCCGAGCTTAACATAAGCCTCGCGATCGGAGGGTCCCGAAGGGACGCTCTCCCGGAGGTCGCTACGCGACCTCCTCGGAGGGACCTCGTGTTAAGTTCGGAGGGAGCCTGGACTTGGTGTGGGGCCCGCGGCATTGGAGGATACACAACCTGTCAGCATTCCGATGGGCAGGTTCAGGCGCCTGCCAAAAGCTGGTGGGCAATCAAACCTCTGGGACTTGGCCTATGTATAGGTTCATTTTTTATAAGGCCGGTCAAAGATTCAAGTGTACACGTCCGGCGCGGATGTATCCTCCTAAAGACGGTTAAGTCAAAGTGTTCGGAGAACCATTGAGTTGTTCATCCTTGCTTGTACATACCCATGTTCAAGGATCTTGCATGCTTCTCTCCATATCTTGAGATTCTATCCAGAAGTTCTGACTTCTTATTAAGGATGTGTAAACCAGCTACATATGTACTGGGGATCTTCATTGTGTCTCTCGTGAATCGTGATCATGGTCTTCCACACCTCTCATGTCTGGCAAGAACTCGACTTTCTGAATGTCAGTTTTTGGCCCATACACCTTACAACTGCACAATCTGTCTCAACAAGCGAACAGAGAAACTCGCCTGTGAAAGAAGTTGATGAGATATAGAAATCTGCAACAGATCATCTGTCGGTTGATTTGATTTGTCTGGGAGGTAGGTACATAGGTAATCCGGAAGGAGGAAGAAGTGAGAAGTGAGGGGAAAAAAAAAAAAATAATAATAATAATAATTTGTAGTTGATGGATTGCTGCACGATCTGGGGGAGATAAGTAGACTTGGTGATCACAAAATATTATGTAGAAGAAAGAGAGAGAGAGAGAGAGATAAACCTTGGTGTGGACGATGGACAAAGCCAAGGGAGCTTGAGCAATGTACATATGTAGCCGTCTCCGGCGGGGGGGGGGCAAGATATTACTGACCGACTTCATCAAAGAAAAAGAAGGAAAAAAAAAAAAATCAGGAGTTTAAACGAGTCCATGATGACCATATCTTTATATACATACATACCAAACATATATATATATATATATCTACTTACAAACACAATCTATAAAGAAAGAACCATTAAGAATGAAACGACGAGGGGGGGTGACCAATGCCCCTCAAAAAATAAAAATAAACAAGGACGATAACGACAACGACAACGACAACGACAACGACGAGACCAAGGAGCTTTCAGATCGGAATTTTAGGCGGGACTTGGGGCGGTTTACGATTAAGATTAAGATTATTATTATCAGAAGAAGAAGAAGGAGGAGGAGGAGGAGGAGGAGGAGTGGGAGTGGGAGTGGGAGGATCAAGAGCCGGAGTAGAGAAAGATTGAGGCCCTGGAAGCGAAGGAAGAGTGTCCAAGAAACGAGAGTGGTGGTAGGAAGAGGGTGGAAGTTGTGGAGGGGGCGAATGGAGGTGATCAGCCAGATGAGGCGGGAGATCTTTAGACTGGTTGAAGAGTGTGGAGAGTGAGCTAGGACGGGCGGCCTTGACGGTAGACAAAACATCGGATCGTCCTTCTTCGTGTAATCGCTCGAGTGGCTTTCGAGGGCCCACCGACCGCGCCGGTCTATCATATACAAACCTCCCACTCGACTTCTCACTCTCCTATACAAAAAAAAAACGCCCATGAAGAGAAAAAAAAAACAGTTAATAATCTCAAAAACACAGCAGAGTGGAACTAAATAGGATCATCGTACCTGATCAAGCACGTGAGAAGAAGAAGAGGAGGAGGAGGATCTCTGAGTACTAAGGAGCGTATGATCGATGTCAAGCCGAGTGTTGTCGAATGATAAGTCGGGCAAGAAGCTCTCGATGGGCGATGGAGCTGTCAGCGGCGCAACAGCTGAACAATTATCTTGAACCGATTCGTCGCTCCTTTCTTCTTCTGCTTCGTGTTGTTGTTGTTGTCCTGGGTTATCATTCTTCTGTTGCTCGGTGTCATCATCATCATCATCGGACACCGGTTGAACAGTTTGTGAAGCATCACGGGCATCGAAACCTATAATGAAAAAGTCAATCAGCTGTTGCCTTGATAGATAAAGAGAAGAAGTGCTAACCATCCGAGGCCTTTTTGTGAAGTGAGATGAAGTCAGAATTGGGGACAGGCTGATCAGCCGGAGGAGGAGGAGGAGGAGGAAGAGAGTGATGAGTGTGGAAGGGAGAAGAAGAGGAAGAGGAGACAGTGGCAAACGAATGAGAAGGATAATGAAAAGGAGGTGGAGCAGGATTGGAGGAAGGGTCAAGGGAGGCCATCCAGAGATGACGGAGTCGATTTTTCTCTTCAAGGGCTGAGAGCACATGGGTGGGCAGATTAGTTTCGACCTCATAGGCTCTAAAATGGTCATCATTACGATAAGAAGCATCATCATGAGTTGAGTTCATAAAGAACCGTTCTCGTTCGGCCACCGCCTTAAGATAGGCCTCTCTTTGCGGATCGATCAATGTCGGTGGTGGTGATTCGATCACCGCTGGTGGTACACTTCTAGACACTCTGGGATTGATCGGACAGGAAGACGACGATGATAGGTTCAGTCGATCATGCTCGATCAGCCCCTCTGCTCGACTCTTCCCGTTGACTATCGATGGTCGCGTCCTCAGATTCACCGGGGGTGGGGGCGGTGATGAAGAGCGACGATCCATTTCCTCTACAAAAAAAAAAAAAAGACGTAATCTCTCAGATCAGTTAAGCTCACATAGCAACTATATAGAGAGAGAAAACCTACGAGAGGAAGAGAGATTTGGGGGAGGAAGGTCGTAGAGACGGGAAGAGGAGAACCGACGCGGATGATGATCTTGGTCGGATTGGATGAGGTGATGGTCTGAATGATTGGAAGAGGGGTGGTACTGGGGCAAGGTAGCGATAGTTGCGACCTCGGAAAGACCTTCTTCGTGGATGGCCAAGTTGGTCAAGCTTTTGAAGCGAGTGTCGAGGGGATGATAGTTCTGGATCGAGTTCCTGGGCATCTGAGCTTCCAACTCGCGGTTCGTTGGATGATAAGTCGGGTTAGTATAGTGGGATGAAGAGCCTTCTCCGGCCGCTGGTTCAGCCGACCCCAAATGAGGAGGACACAGGGAGGAGAAGGTGGCGTGATGGAGCCGGGCTTGATTCATGGCAGCCTCAGCCTTGGCTCGAGCAAACAATCTGGCTTTCTCGTCCCCGCTCCCAAAGCTAGTGGGGTGGATGTTGGTAGGATGAGAGGAGGAGGATGATTGATGGGGGGTCTCTGAGTTTGGACTAGAGAGTGACCGGACGAGTTGAGTGGGGTGGTGAGGGTAGGAAGGTTGTCGAGTAGGTGTTTGAAGCTCGGAAGATGGATAGAAATCTTGGCTAGTGGGACTCAGCTCGGGAGCGCAGGTAGGTTGGAGGAAAATCTCCTTGAGTGGGGAGCGGATGGGGGGGCTCTGAGCTTGTAGGCTGGTAGTAGGTTGGCGAGTTGGCAGGGGTGGAACATTGCCAGAGAGTCCGGTGAAGGGGTTCGAGCTTGAGGAGAACTTGTGAGGTCGGCCGGGTTGAGAGAGGCCGAGTGGGATAGCATAAGGTAGTTGGCCTTGGAAGGACCGTCGAAGGTTCTGCTGGTGATGGTGGGTTGGGTCAGCGAGCACCTTGGGTAAGGTTTGTAAGGATGTCCTCGGAGGTAATTGGCTTCGAGGATGGTTCTGAGCCCATTGAGAGTGTTTCCAGTCTTGAGCTCCATAGGATGATGATCGTTGTTGTTGTGATGGGGGCTGAGGGGGGATAGCATTCTGAAGTAATGCTGATGGTGATGGTGGTGGTGATGATAGATCGTTTGTCGGATGTGATAGATGTGGGACTGGTCCGATCTGATCGACTGCGAGTTGAGCCTGAGCTAGGTTCCTATCCCCGACGATCACTGGTAGTTTCTCGATAGTCAGTTGAGTTGGGATCTCCTTATTGGTCTTGGCAAAGTGTTTTCTGGGAGATTCGAAGTAGGCCTTGAGTGAGAGATAGTATTCGATCGAGAGATGGCTTGCAGTTGAGACGGTGAGTTTGAGATGGTTGTGGGGTAGGCCGATGTGCATGTCAAAGGAGAGTTTATCCTTCTGGAAGACGTGGTGATTGATCTTAGCCTGGAGGGTTGAGATGTGGGTGATTTTCTGCTCGGCTTGTTGGACATCCTTGTTGTTATCCTCAACTGTGAGTGGGTTGGATCGATAGATGACTTTCTCGGTGAGGTTCAATTCGAATTTGATGAGTTTGATCGGATGGATATTAGAGCTTTCGATTTCGATCTTGGATTTGATCTGATCTCCTGGTCCGACGGCCGATCGATCGTTGGTGATCTTGATGGATAGGCCGAGGAGCGAGGTGGTTTCTGATGCAGGTCTTTGATAGATCGGCCAGGCTGGTAGTAGCTCATAACGGGGGATCTCGAGCTCGAGGGTGGTGGTGGTGAGTGATGGTGAGTTGCTGGATCGCTTGAACCAGGTGTTGTATGATTCGGGTTTGGTGGATCTGGCACAGAGTGTTGCCTTGAGTAGATAGCTGATTCCGGAGCGTGTTTTTGAGTCGATGATAATTGAGGGTGGTAGTGAGTCAGGGAGGGGGATGGTGAATTTGAAGTCGGATGATGAGAGTGTTGCCCATGAGATCTCGGTGTTGTTTGCTGTTGACCTTGCTGAGTTGATTGAGGCTGCTAGGTTGTTGTCAGGTTGTTTGGTCTGTTGTTTGCTGAGTTTTTTTGATGATGATGATGGTGGGAGTACTAGGTGGGGGTCGTTTGGGCTGGCCGTCCAGAGTATGGTTGGTTTTGAGTGGATGGTGGTCTTGATGGTGTTCTTTGGGTTGCTGGTCCTGCTTTGGATGAGGATGAGTTCGATGGTCAGGTAGGCTCCTTGGATCTGCTGGTTTGATGGTCTCAGTTCGACGATCCCCTGTATCTCTGCTGCTGGTCTGTTCCTGGTGCTGGTTGTTGTAGTTGGGATGGATGGATATCCTGAGATGAGTGTCTGATGAGGCAGTGGTCGGATGTGACTGTAGTGTGTTGTGGTCAGTTTTCTTTTTTTCTTTTTTTTTTTTTTGGTTTGTTAACTCACAGTTTTGCTATCGAGGAAGACATCCTCCCCTTTTTACTGTCGTGGTTCTGGCTTGAATTTCTCTTCTTCTCTTTTTCCCCAGCTGGCTCAACTTAAAATATTCCAACCTGAACCCCATCCAGCCCGATAACGTAAATTCTCATCAACTACTTAACAACCAGATCTTCGCAGATTAAAGATATCTATCCACCCTCACCACCACCATCGGATATCGTCAGGCCATTCTCATCAGGAATTTGGAAACAAGCATTCTTCTACACATCTACATACATATGCTCTAAGAGCCAAACAGAATAGATTTTCAATGAATACTGTCTATCTACTTTTTAGATCAAAAGGCTTTCATCTACATAGATAATGGAGAGCTCAGCTCAAGTGATTAGATATGTAGACATCAGAAATGTAAAGCGATACGCAAATAAAAAAAAAACACCGATTACTGGCAGATGGTCAGTCACATATATTAACGAGAGACTGAACGAGCAAGCACACCCGCTCTTAAAATTGCAAAGCGAGTGATCATTAAGTTACCTGGATATGCTTGAATGAAGGATCAGCTGCTTCGAACGACCGGTGGGTTGACCTAGCAGAACCATCCCCCGTCTGCTGGGCCTGTACATACATAGATGGGATCAGAACTATGTACGTTGTTTCTCAGTCAACATGAATCTGACCGAAACTCTCTTCATATATTCATACATAGTCGAGGCGAGGAATAGAATGAGTCTCAGAGAATCTCGTGATTGCATTCATCAAACAAAATCCCATCAAGCTATTCATTTGATCACTTAAACATATTGAAGAACGTAAAAAAATAAAATAAAATAAACAGATCAAATGAGAAATCGATTAGAGCTTGATAGGAAACGAGAGAGAGCATGAAGAGGGAAAGAGATGTGCTCTATGTAGTGTGGTTGGAGTGCTGATGCGGTAAGGATTAAGATGTAGGAGTAGACGAAGCTTGAATCCAATCCAGATGACGATGAACAAGACGAAGGACCATCAGTTCCTCGATTTCATGGCCGAGAGGGTCGTCGTTCTTGATCGGCTCGATGGTGCCTTCTCGATCGATCATCAAGACCGAGGTCTTGCGAGTATGAAGCTCGTTAGCGATCACCAGATGATGGCCGTACCTCGTCAGGGCCGCTTTTGCTTTCGGAATCAACAGATTCGAATCGGTTTCTAACTGTTAGAATTTTTTTCAGCACTCTGAATCAATAAAAAAAAACCCCTCTCTCGATCGATCGATTAAGGATTAAGATGAGCTGACTTTAAATGAGACTATGAAGGCTTGGTTGGACCATTCGTTGGTGACGTCTTTCAGTACTTTGGGCACTGCATCCATCTCGATCACCAACGAGCCTTTGCCGCTTTGGATCTTATGTTCAGACTGAAGAAAGCCCGGGAACGGGGTGTTATCGGAGGAGGCGAGATCATCGTGCGTGATGTGATTCAAGGAGAGAAAGAGAGAGGAAGAGGGACGTACCAATTTTTGTTGAGGGATAAAGAAATCAGAGACAGCAGCGGCAAGATAGAGCATCGCCCTTCTTCCCAAACCCAACGAAGGTTCACCCAAGACTTTGGCCACTGCTCTGAGTATGTAGAGGTATTCGTTCACGCTCACGAAGGAGATCGTATGGAGTAAGTTGAGCTGATGGACGAGATGATGAGCCTGCAGGATCGAGAGCATTGCCGGTCGATGCTGAGCGGGGATAGAGATCGTGTGATGGTCGAGATGAGCAGGGTTCTCGGTCGAGACTGCAGGATGCTGATGATGATTGACTAGATGTGGTGAGAGGATCGGGAAGAGCGGTTGCTGGCTTGGAGGAGATTGGTTTTCAGAGGCCGAGTCGGACGAGGGTTCTTGGATGGCTAGTAGGTCTAGGAATGGGTTGGTTGAGTGCGGGTAGTGTCGGCTGAAGGGTTCGAGCGAATGGGACCGATGGAGGAAGATGACGGCATATTGGTTGGTCCGTAGGAATGCCTCAGCCGAAGCTGAACCTCGAGTGCCAGCTGAGAAGTTATCCAGGAACCTGACACTGTTCGGAAGAGGTATGTGATCAGAACATATTGGCTATGTGGAGTAGAAGAAGAAGGTAACTAACACGTTATGTTCTAGTGGGACAGTCGTTCCACCGCTCTTGATCGGAGATCGAAAGCAGAAGGGGTTGAATATCAAGCTGAGAAGTAGAAAAGATGAGATAGACAGATTTTACGGACGGTGATCAAGACTATCCTTCGATTAGGATGGTGGCTGGCATGGAAGGTGACGAAGCTCCTGACCCGACTGACGATTTCCTCGAGGTGGCTGGGTGGGGACTGCGTTTGGAAGTATCTCTCTGATGAGAATCCTTGCTCCATCTCTCGGTCCGTCTGATTAGCTTGCAATATGAGTTGGTTGAAGTCCTGGAATCAGTTCGATCCATCCAAAATATTCCATCAAAACACTTCCTGGGAAAGATGCCACATACATAAAAGGAGGCTTCATTGTAACAAAATTCAGGCTAATCAAAAAACAATACAATCATACTGTCCTCTTCATGGCCAGCAAACCGATTACTGGGAACCACTGAAGTTGTTTATGTATCCTCGTTGCTCCTCATTATCTTGTAGGCTCAATCAGTGACAATTCCTGCAAGCAGATTCCTTGCGGGAGTCCTAACTTGAACTTCTAATTTCAATGTGTTTCTTTCCATGGACTGCCACAACTCTCACGTCTGACAATAACTCCAATTCCTGGACCACAGCTTTTGCCTGATACTACTGCACAATCAGTCTGTGTCAGCAAGCGCTCAGAGAAATTTGCTTGGAAAACATGATTAGATGTAAATGTGCAACAAAAGATCTGTCCTTTTTTTGTGGTAGGTAATGTGGAAGGAGAAAGAAGAGAAAAAAGTTGATGAATTGCACAGTCTGGCGGAGATAGGATTGGTGACAAATACAGGTCAAAGTAAATATTAGAAGGAAGAGAGAGAGAGAGTCCGGAATCGGGACAAAGCGTGTATGACAAAGAGGTATGACGTCGGCGGAAGGGTTTCTTTTTTTTTTTTTTGATAGATTAGAAGCGATTGTGGATACTAAGAATAGAGAGATAGCGAGATGGTAAAAAAAGGGGGGGTGGGGGGTGATAAATAGTATTAAACCTTCGTGTGGGCGATGGGCGCAGCCATGGGAGCTTGAGCAGCGTAGCCGCCTCCGGGGGGCGGGATATTACTGAGCGCCTGCGGGCCGGTGCCGTCGTTGAGGGCTTGCCATCGACAGATGCTGCAGAGCCAGACCTTCTTCGACTTGAACGGGATTATCGGCAGGAAACAGAACTCGAACCACATCCGCTACATCACATCATCATCAGAAAAACACACACACACACTCAAAATCAGTCGTTCTGTAAGATGATTATGGGAGTCGCTTCTGCAGTCCGTCGAGCTTCGACTCACCGTCTTGCAGCTGGTCACCGCTGCGTTATGACATTGAGGACAGATTCGGATATCTGTTTTTTTTTTTTTTTTTTTTCACAAGTTAGAGTAAAGTGGGTTTCATGAGTTTGATTTTGAATAGACCAGTGAGAACAGGGAGAGGGGAGGTCTGACCGTCTTTTTCAGCATCGATTTGGGCGATTTTAGTCGGGCATCCGAATTGGAGAGGGATGAAGAAGCACTAGAAAAGAGGGGAGAGATATCAGCAGAATTAGTGTCATCCGTTTCTCCTAGTCAGCTCGGTCGGTTTTGCTTACCATGATTCACGTTCGATGGTCAGGATGTTGGTCGTATGTAGGTAGATGGATGGGTGCTGTTTTTTCTTGATGGTCGAAGGAGTGGAGTGAAGTCGGTTGGTTTTTTTTTTGAGTGGGCAACACATTACATACAAAGTTGAGAAAGCACAGCAAGGCTGGCTGTCGGCGTCCGCTGGACCGAGAAAACCGATTCCCCAATTGGAGTTGCTTATGTAAGCCCCGCGCGCATACATCCAACACTTGGCAGTTTCAACCAACTGCAGTGCAACTTCAACTCAACCGACACCAGAACATGATCTCCTTGGAGAGGGCAAGCTGACTTCTCTCTGGGAGACAGGCCACAACAAAATATTTATATTGGGTTGATAAGAGTTCGAGCTGGGACAATTAAAGCGCTCGGTCCTCTGGACGATAGTCACACACTTGAACAGTCTCCTGTGACGCAGCGAAGTTTCAATCAACTTCTGAAGATCGACACAATTGGTGGTAACTGATTATAATGAGGTAAGTGTTGATTGCATCTGGCAATGAAAACCTTGGTTCAATAATCTTTGATTTTAGTGTTTCAAATGGAAAAAAAAGACAAATTTGAATACTACGAAAATTTTGATTTAATCACTTTGAAGTTTGGAAAGCTTTCTCCTCCCCTTCTTTGTCTCAATCTCCCATTTGAAAAAAAAAAAAAATGTATTTTTGTCTACTTCCTGTAGAACTGAAAAACATTCTTAGGCAAATTGAGAAGGCAGGATTGGATGTCAACAGATTACCAACACATCAGGAATGCCAGTCCTGACAAGGCTTCTAGTACTTGGTACAATCTGACAAGGAAGAGTTTTCTACCATATGCATGCAGAATTCTAGAAAATCTGATGAATGTGGGCTTACATATCTAAAAGGAAAGCATACAGAGGGTATGATGTCAGCTTAGCAGTTTTGTGACTGTTATTATTGTGTGACAGTGGAATTGGATGACTATCAGGGGAATGTAGTGACAATGGTTCAGGTTTTCCTAGAGAGAAATCAGCTATTTCTGGGCTGCAGCTTGAGCTGCCTTCATAAAATCCAAGCATCCCCCTTTTGAGATTCCAAATTGTGATATTTGAAATTTTTGAAAATCTAGGCTTGATGTACTTATTCATGAAATTCATCAGCTTCACATAATGAAAATTTGAATCTCTATTTCTCATTAGATGATTATTTCTGTTACATATGAATGGAATAAGAAATCAAGGAAACACAGAACTTCCAAAAGTAACATGGCCCTTGAAAACAACAAAACCAGATACTATCTAAGGCAGTCTTGTGAGTTTTAATAAAGATTATTTCAAAGGATTGATGGTCATCTGAAATCCTGCTATCTATTGTAACATTTCTGTGTTTTTCTTCTTCTTCTTATGTTCAAAGAGAAAGCATCAGAAATGATTGGGCATTTGTGAGCTTTTGCAAAATTAAATAAATTCCCACATTGACTTGACTGGGGGTGCTAGCTCACACCATGTCTATTTGGATTCATGACCTGGGGGAAAACGTTTTCTTGAAGCATCAAGGATTTGAGAAATTCCAATGTCCAAGAAATAACCAACTTGGGGCTTGATTCTGTGAACATAACTGTAATGCCATGTCAAGAATGCGGTTCAGTAAGCGGAGAGCAAAGAACCCAGCGAAAAACAAAATCTAGTCTTTTGATGAGTAGATAACAGATTGAAAGACATTTGTCCGGTTCCTTGAATACTTGCAGCATCAGTGATAAGGGAAGGAACTCTTATGGACTTGTGTTAACTGATTTAACATTTTAGTCCTTGCTCGGAGCGCTTTCTTACATCTGTCTTATTGGATTCTCGTGATCAACCATTGCTGCCTTGTCAATGCTTTTGGTGAAGCCAACAAGCAATCTATAGATGGTTATATTGCGCAATGCTGAGAAACCCATTGTAAATGTGAATATTTGAATTTTAACTGACCTTGCTCAATTTGCTAAGTGCTTCCAGTTCTTAGGAGACACACAACAATTTTGCGTATGTATGGATTTTCTGACCGGTGAAATAGATTAGGTGAATTCAACGCGACCAAGAAAACAAATCTATAAAGGATGTGTCAGGATGTGTCGTGCCACTGCTCCCATAAAATCCCTTTGTCTAGGAAAGAGAAGCAGCAGGCTCAGTAGAGCGCTTCATTATATAAACCTTCTGCATCCTGTTCGCACTCCCCCTCTCTTCCAAGCGTGTAGAGCAAAGTTCTTCAAGACCTGGAGGAGGAGGGCGCCGTGGACGACGCCCACCTACGCTTTGCTTCGGAAAGCAACCATTCCTAGCTTCATTCCCAAGCCAACAGCCGAACGCAAAGAGGCAGCCGGATCTTTCATCCAGCTTGGCGTTGTGCGTCGTTTTCCAAAACCATGGGGATCCGCCTCAGACCAGACCTGTGTTGTGGCAGTGCCACCGGGCTTTTGGGTGATCCACATCTTCTGTCCCGAAACTGTACGACTGTCACCGCACCGCTGGACCTCCTTTATCCTCAAGAGTCCCGCTACATAAAAGAGCTGGCTTCCAGTATCTGCCCCTGTCAGCAGCTCAACTTCGCCAGACTTTCATCCCTCATATTTCCCATTATTATCATCTCCGAAGTCCTCCCAAACACTAAATCAACGCGCCCTCCGAACAAATACAATGAAATTTCTAGCCCCAGTGACTGCCTTGGTGGTTTTGATCTTCGGCCTTGTACACGGGCAGGACATCATTTTAGATAAATGGTGTGCGGACAATTATGGGAACGTGGGAAAACCATGGGCGATTTGCGGCCAGGCCAACTGGGCGGACAACGACCCAAGGACAGGCATATTAACTTGGAGCGGTGAGCCCTATGTTTTTTTTTTCCCTTCGGTCTGGCCCGTTTATACAAAAAGAAGAATACAAATCTCCTGCTTTGTCATTTCTGAACACTCTGCTTTCTCTTTTTGGACGGTGAACAGTCCAGCCCCAATCCAACTGCAACCTCGCCGGGCCAATCCCGTTTTGCTGCCAACAATCGATACGCAAGCGAGTCGAAGTGTGTACCTCATCAATCACCTAAGTTCCCTGGCAGCAAAGTATACTATTACTGACTTCATCATCTCCAAATTTTGCAGAATAATCCGGCCGACAAACCTCCTCAAGTGGATGGCGCAATTATGTTGGACGAGTGTCACAGATTAGCATAGTAAATAGCACTCGAGGTCAAAGCGGCTTCGCCGCTGCAACCCCAAGGATTACATTGGTACTACCCAATGAAACCTGAGCTCTTACCCAAAACCAGGCTCAATTTTCAATCACTGTTTTTGCCTGGAGTACACCCAATGAAGCACAACAAAGAAGGCTAAAGTATAATTTAGAAGATTAAAACAGTGAACACTATCAAATTTTCTCATTGTAATAGTATTCTCATACAAAGTGTTCAAAAACATCATTGCATGTATCTAAATAGAGTGTATTACTTAGGTGCACAATGTCAAACCAATCAGCACTAAAAAAAGGCTAAGGTAACATGCTGGTTTATTTTGAAAGAAGCACTCACTGCCTGCCTAGCTGGCCCATAAACATCCACCTTGCCGGGGATGAACTCTCCCTGGCGAGCCGGTACTCGAGCACCGAGTCTGTGGAAGAGCGCCGTTGGCTCTTCACTGCAAATCAGAATAATTCAGGTACAAAGTCAGGCAACCAGCCGGGAGAGAACAAATTTTCTAGAACCTGAGTGATATTTATTTCAAATGAGCGAGTTTTATAGAGGTAAGAGTAAGTGTTCTCTCTGTACATGATTTTAGAAATAATAAGAAGAGAGATGAAGAAAATTAAGAAGGAAATAACTGAAATGAATACAAAAGATATGAAGAAAGAAAATTAGGGGATAGCTCTCCTAGTTTGATAGAGGCAAGGATTAGTGTTCTCTACCAAACTAGGAACAATGGTTTTCTGTCTAGTATAAGTAATCTTGAGCGTTGGGGTGATTATGTAAGCTAAGTGATTGGTTCTGTGAAATCTAGTATGGTAAGGTTTCACATTCTCCCCCCTATATTGTGAATGAAAATATAATTAGAATGAGAAGCAGAGAGAAAGAAGGAAAAAAGAGAAAGACATAGGAAGGAGAAGGAAGGGAAAAAGAGGAGAAAAAAGGAGAGAAGAATGGGCAGAAGGAAGGAACTTGCAGCGATGGGCAGATACGATACGGTACGTTACAAGCTGATGATTTGATACCATAACTTTTTTTTGTTATCCCAATTTCAGCTTTTCAGTAACGTACCTCAATTTAGTAGTAATGTAACGTACTGTAACTTTAGTTGTAAATCATTTTTTTTCTTGTTGGGTAACGTACTAGAAATGTAGGAAAATTTTTCTTGAGTAAAGGTAACTTATCCTTTTGGGGTTACAGTACGTTCCTTGCCATTACCCAAGTTACCAGCTGAGTAACTTCTCTGTGAAATACTGTAAAAATCAACTTTCCTTGCCACATGCCAGAATTGAACTTGCAACTGAGCATGGACTGTCAGTGGTAGTCACCTACTTACCTGCTGGTCTATCTCACTCATGAAAACTTTTGCCATCACCCGGCCAATCCAGCCCCCCCCCCCTCCGCACTCACCCACAGCGTGGAGATACTCTAAATTTGAGTTTTGCTTGATGCCTTCCGGTCTCCCCTGGCTCTGACTACCTTCGCTTCGATCACCTCGCTCTGAATACCTTTGCTTCAGTCTCACTCAATCCTCAGCAAGCCTTGTTATCAATCACCTCATCTATATAGAACCAGTCTATTCTCACTTCCTCAATCATGAAAAATCCAAATGGACCTATGGACTCTTCCAACCAACCTAACTTGAAGGTGTCTGATGTTTAATCCTTTTTCGTTTTTTGCACTTATTGTACTAGCTAACAAACCATGCATTCAACTTTTCAGTCCAACCGTGGGTCTTTATCCCTTACCCCCATTCTAACCTATGCAGCTGTGGTTTCTGCTTCCAGTCAAAAGGCATCCTCCAAATTTGCCTGCTCTCCTGTACGATCCATCAAGAAAAGCCCAGAGAAAGTGACCGAGACTCGGGCCCCTACATCCGCTGGAGCAATCAACAATGGCTCTGCAGCTAAACCAACCTTTGCAGCTGTTCTCACTGCTTCTCCACAAGTTGCCAGGTTGAAAGAAAAGCAATCAGTCTCTCGTCGCCAGGTCGCACCTCCAACATCTTTAACCTTGTCGCATTCACTTACTGGAAGATCTGGGACTCCAGAAAATACATTGGCCATTCAACACCGTCTTACTTAGGGCCTCTCTGGCTCGTCATCTTTGCCAAAGGTTCCTGATATTGCTGGGCCTCCAACAAACAATTCAGCTATTCATCATAGTGCCTGTCAGTTTGTTTCTCCTAAGAAAAATTTATATGAAACATTTAACAATTGGTATATGACTTAAGAAGTGTGGATCCTATTTTTCCGCAGCCATCGCACTTAAAACGATTCAAGGAGGGACAGAATTGACTGTGTGACGCTCTTTTTGTATTGCTGCCATCATCGCAAAGAAGATACAACCACTCACTCCAACAAATGATTCTCAACCAGATGTTGAAGAGTGTGATGCAGCCAGCTCGGAATTGACTAGCTTGAGCAGTCGTGACAAGGATTTGACTAGTATTGATGAGATTACCAAGAAGACCACCAAAACACAATCCAATCAATCTTCATCTCTCTCAAGTTTGTCTTGTGGAAACACGGATACTGAAAACCCTACATCCATGGTATCTAAGAAACCCAAAAAGCGAAGGCGCAAAGAAGCAGCGTTTGTACTCATCAACTTTCTCCTGATTACCAGATTTTCACAAACTGACTTATTGGTGTGATCTTCCTCCTCCAACCCCAATTCTGCCCTTCTCAATCTGTTTTCTTTTCTGGTTCTGTTGGTTGATTAATGTTCTTTCAAATTCATATTGGGTGAATTATCTCGCACTTAATGAAATTGATTGAATCAGGAATCTGACACCCCATCAGCGACAGAAAAGGGATAAGAACAAGAGTAGCAGAAGAAGGGCTAAAAGGTTGAAGGATAGTCTTGATTTCTTCACTTCAGCAGCACCCCCACCTGGTGCCCAGATTATTACTAGGAAGATGAAGCCTATCGATCTCTTTCCGGCCATAAGCGAGGAATTTCATGATAAACTCATCGAATATAACCATCGATTGGCTGAACATAAGAAGGACCCACGTAATCTGAAAAAACCGCCAACAATTTATCCTCGTAATCCCACCATGGCCAAAAATACATCAGCTTTGGAAATCATGCAAAAATCTTTCCACATAATTGATTCTAATTACAATAAGATTTATGACAAACAAACAAATTGATTGATTGCTCTGGTTGAGTTCATTGATTTGAGCGATCTCTCATCAACCCAAGGGAATGATTTGGATTTCCTATACCTCTTTCTACATCAATGCAAGGAATTCATCTCACCGGTTGCTTCCAAATCACAAAAATGTGGCGGTATAATGTGGGCTGTGGGCTGGCGGAAAGGTTATAAGGAATTGGAGATTCTGGGTCGATATCGTGATCAAGCTGCTATCGATAAGAATCCCAACGGTTTCAAGAATCTCATGTCGGGTTCAAATCGAGCTGGAAAGATACTCTGGAATACATTCCATAGTTTTGGAGATGTAGCGGTAGAGAAAAATCAAGCCTACATGAAACGCTTCAACATACCTTCAATTGCCGATAATAATTTCCCAGAGAATCCAAATGATAAATCACCTTTTGGGTTTGCCTCTAATTTGGCTTTCTCTTCAAATGGGTTTTACAATCATCATCACACAGACAACGGCGATTTATCCAATCTTCCCCTTGCATTTGCCCTCATTATTCCTACTTCTAAAATTACTGGCAGAATTGCAACTAAAGCCGAGGGCTATGATGTAAAAAATGGGCATTTTATTTTTTGAGATATGCAGCTAGCCCTCAATTTCAAACCTGATACTATTTGTAGAATGATATTTCGTGCTCAGGAATATGTTCATGGTACATTATGTCCAACTGAACCTAGTTATTTTACCAAATCAGGAATGGCTTTGCAAGTTGCAACCAGGACTAGTAATGCCTGTAAAAATTATATTAATGGAGACTATGATGATGATTCAGATAAATATTTTTGTGGTGTTGAAGAACTTTTAAATAATTAGTAACTTCATAACTTGTAGATAGTTATAAAATATCATCAATTGCCATATTTTTTAAAAGTCATGGTTTTTGAATCAGATAAGATTTAAATAAACATCTTCTCATATGAATGCTTTGTTTAAGATATGAAGAAGAGATGCTTCAAATTTATCTCTGAGGAGAAAGGATTGATTATTTTGATGTGAATATTGAAAACTTTGTTCCAAAGGAGAGTCTTCATAATTATATCCATGAAAAAAAAAACTAGATCTCAAACCAAATACCCACAAATGGGCAACTGTACACCAATCTGTCTGATCATTTAGCAACCCCAAGGCAAGAGCACTTGAGGTAAAGTTTGAAATTGGAACCTTGTGACTGGAATCCACAAAATCACATCTTCTGTGAAAGAGGTTGAGCCTGAGGATATAAATAAACCCTAGTGGTGATAATAATATAATACCAATTATATCTTTATTATATCATCTTGTGTTGACACTTTGTTTTTGTACTAGATATTACCAAAAAACAATAGTATTCTCTCCTAATATTTGCAGTGAGACATGTATCACCATAGTAACTGCATTCATTTTCATGGATGAGTGATGACTTGTAATTAAATTCAAATATGAAGATTGGCCCAAATAATTTCACATTTCATTTGAATCAAACATAATATTTGTGTTCAAGTTGAATTGTGACAGTGAGTGTCTCCAAGTTTTAATAATGCCAAATATATCTTGAGTGAATGATCTTTTATCAAAACTTGGTTGTGTACTAGAATTTACAAAAAAATCACATTTTTGTATACTTTGGTGAGAGATGTGTCAAAAGTTTTACCTACACTGTAACCATTCTTGTGGAGATGATAATCTTAAGTCTTGAAAATGAGTTCAAATTTAAAGAATGACCCAAATTATTTCACTTTTCTTGGGAATCCATTAATAATCAACCTTGTTTGTGGTCAAGTTGAAGTTTGTGTGTCTCTCACTTTTGATTATCTTGATTCTATGTTGATTCTATATAATATTCAATCTTTATATTTGATTTGAATCAAATCATCAAACAACTATGATGTGAAAAATCAGTGAGGATGATATATTGCCAATCTAATAATGAAGTTTCCATCACTACAGTATACCAAATCAAAGTTGACTGTCCTCAAGGTTTCAGAATCAGGAACCATTTCTTTGAAAATTTGATTGATTGGACAATCATGATCTGTTACAGATTCCAATTTATGAATTTCACCTGAGTATTTATATTGAAGTTCATAGTTTGATGCCTTAAAGCCCAATGGAAGTTGTTTGGCCACCCAATACTTACACAACTTTGTGTGTTTCTGTGAATTCAAAATGGAAATTCACTTTGCATTTTCCAGATTGTGAACATCTTCCACATCATATTCAAAATCAACACAGAACAGGCTCTGGCTCCTTCAAAATCTTCAAGATACATATCACTCATAACTAAAATATACAATTGCGATAAAATGTCTCGAAAATCTTACGGACTTGGAATTTCTGCTCAACCTAGTCTGCCAGGAAACGAACTCCGACGCTCATCAAGAGTTAGCTCGACCACTAGTAGACATCCCTCTATCATCCTGCCACCTTCAGATTCAAGACGATCAGTCAACAGGCCATTACCAGCAACTCAAAAAACCAACAATAAGCGACCTAGAAGTGTTCCCCCCTCTGAAACTGAGGCCAGCAACCAAGAAATTCCTATCGACAAAAACCCTACTAAAAATCAACAAAACACCAAGAAAAAAAAACAAACCAAAAGAAGAAAAAAACGATCCAACAAAACAATAGCGATGCAGGATCAATCATTGAATTGCGCGAGGACTCTGAAGCAGATAACTCCAAGATTCCAGCAGCTAAACCTCGTCCTGAGAAGTATGATTCTCCTTTGGAATTCTTTGGAGAACCTTTCTACCCTGCAAAGACAACTGTATGTTCACAAATCTATTTTTGTATTCAAATATTTCTTTTCCACCTATTGACCTTTTTGTTTGTATGACAATAATATCTCCCAGGAGGAAGAGCGCAAGAAGAAACCGATTACGTACAACTGTAAATGGTGCAAAAAGCAAGTTCGTGGAGGACACAATTCAGATGCAAATCTACGAAAAAATTGGGATGGGTCAAACCAAACCGGACGTGATGGATCCGGCTGTCCCAATCAAAGTCTTGCAATTCAAGCAGGGGCAAAAAACCCCCTACAGTAAACGAGACTAGAGCACAAGCTGAAAAAAACCGACAATGGTGGTCCCAAACTCACGGCTTTTTTTGGGTGCACGGAAAAGTTTGATAAGAAGATCCTGAATCAGATCCTGATGATATGGCAAACACGTAACGCACTTCCCTGGTCACGAATTGAGGATTTTGACTTGCAGGCTGCTTTTCACTATTGTCAATCGGACGCTATACTCTTTAAACAGAAATGGGTTGCCAGCGAGGCCAAGCAACTATACATGTCGCTGCAAGGTGCCATGCTGCAGATGTTGAAGGTAAGTTTTTTACCTCTGAAAGAAATATTAAAAAAGAAGCTAACTCGTAAAATCAATTTAAAATCTAGAAATCGTCTTCCAAGTTTACTCTTGTACATGATGTTTGGACAACAAAAGGCAACCGTTATGCATTTATTGGATCATCTGTGGCGTATATCAACGACGACTGGGAGTTCAATATGTCTCATCTCTCTCTGAAGTTGGTATCCTGGTTTCATCAGGGAAAGTGGCTTGCGGAACCACTTGCAAATGTTTTACAGAAACATGGAATTTATCCCAAGATGAGTTGTACACCTTTCTCAATTCAATTCAGAGTCAAAATTCTTGCACTGGTTCAATGCTTATATCAATGTTTTGAACTTATAAATACTTGCACAGACAACTGATTCAGCTTCAAGCAACAACACCATGGCTACTCGTGTTTTCGATATCTTGGCGGAAAAAAATGGGACGTACACATTTGATTGACGTCCAAATAATATGCATATCCGTTGTTTCTGTCACAAGATTGCATTAATCGTCAATGCTGGTCTTGCCGAGCTTGGAATGATTGCCCCTCCCCCCTCCAAAGTAAAGGAGTCAATCCTTGGAACATTCCCGTACTCCGATGTCATGGAAACAATTGCTGAGGTGGAAGAAGAAATGGAAGAGGACAACAATGATCAAGCCAATGGTCCCGATCATCAAACCAATCCAAGTATCGATGACGATGAAATTTCTGAACCAGAACACGATGAGGAAGAGCTTGCCAGGCTAGGTGACCAACAATACAAGGAAGAAGAAGACAACAACCCAGGTGAATACCAGGCGGCAAATTGTAATGAATCCAATAGTTTAGACCATGTAACTAGAAAGGTGTGAACTCAATCTTATCAAGTTTTTATCCCCAAAACTAATTTGATTGTCCACCAATTGAAATTATAGCTGGACTTTGTCGTTCACAAAATCACTTCAACAAGCGCATGGCGACAGGTATTTATTCGCAAAACCAATAAAAAAGGCTTGAAACTACGCAGTCTCATTCCTGGCTATGGAATAAGGTGGAACATAAAATTTGAAAGCCGTGAACGTGCTTATGAGGCACATGAAGTAAGTCTCCTCATAATTATTGATATACCACCATATTAGAGTTAATTTTTCCCCTTTGGCTGATATATCAAGGTGATTGATGAGATTCTAAAAGAAGATCTGGAGAAAGTACATGCCCAACGTGCACGACAACGAGGTCGAACTTCCCAGAAGGAGCTTGGCCATTTTCAAGAGATGACAATTTTGTCACATGAATGGCAAGAAATAAAATAATTAAATGGCGAATTGAAGGTTGGATGCTTTTTTCAATCATTTTGTGTGAGATTTGTCAAACTGATCATGATTATATTTATGTTTAGTACTTTTTCTTACTCACAAAGAAGATGGAGGGTGATGGTCCGACTGGTAGTGCTGCCATACCCGAGTATCTTCAAATGAAAAACACTCTCAAGAAGAAACTCGATTCGTCAAACCGTAACGATCCTTTACATCCAATGTTCGTCAAGATGTTTGAGAAAACCAATACTTACTTGTTGGAAGCACTTGCTTGTGAAACCCTGGTGATTTCGACTATTCTAAACCCATCTTTCCGTCTTGCTATCTTTGAGAAGCATTTTCCAAAAGAAGCATTGGATGCAAAGAAAAGGCTTGTGGAATTTTTTGAAGAAAGAAAGAATCAAATGGCAGAAAAGATTCAACAAGAAAAGGAGCGTGAAAAGGATACGGCTTTGAAGGAAAAGGAGACAAGTGAAGACGATATCTACTCATTTTTCAGTGGTCCAAGCAACAATTCAGGCCAGGATGAAATAGAAATGTACTTGGGAGGAGTGGATCGTATCATCCACGGCAATAAAAAGGATTATATGTTTTCCGCATTGAAATGGTGGAAGGTATGTTTCTTATTGGCTTCTTCAAATGAATGATTGTTTTTTGTTGATAGATTGAATTTTCAGGAACACGAGCTCAAGTATTTAATACTCTTAACTTTGGCAAAAGACTACTTAGGCTGTGTAGCATCTTCTTCATCTGTTGAACGAACTTTCTCCGCAGCAGCAGATGTCTGTACTAGTACTCATGGCAAGTTGTTGCCAAGAACAATTGAAAGATCTGTAAGTAGCCGCTTGTGGTTGCGTGATGATATTCCATTGGGAGAACACTTTGAGGGGGCAGCCAGGCAACGCAATAACTTCAAATTATTTTGTGAAGAAAAAGAATCTCAATGCTTGAAAGGCACACGGAAATAGAAATTTGTTTTCATTATTTCATTCTTTTTTGCTTGCATATTCACCATTATCCTAGTTACAGTCAAGTTATCCTAGTTAAAATCAAGTTATCCAAAAATGAAAAAATGGTAACGTATCTTGAAATCAATCAAGTTACATAGGAACGTAACTAGAGATGGCCCCGTTGCATCCGGATATCCGCGCGGATGCGGATATCCGGCTGCCTTTTCAGGGGGAAGCCACATCCGCACCCGCAACCGCAACCGCGGGCGGGTATCCCCCCGCCTGAGCGGGTATCCGAGCGGGTATCCTCGGATACCCGGCCTTTAACTGGCCGGCGAGGCACATCCTTGCCGGCTGGAAGGGCTTCCTTCCAGCCGGCGAGGCATGTACCTCGCCGATTGGAAGGGTTTCCTTCCAGTCGACGAGGTACATGTACCTCGCCGGTTGGAAGAACCTCGCCGGCTGGAAGGAAACCCTTCCAGCCGGCCATTGGCTCCGGGTATCCCTTGGGATACCCGGATATCCGCCAGGTTTGGGGGGGGAAACGGCCATCCGCAGCCGAATCCGCACCCCCTGGCGGGTATCCGCTGGGACCAGCGGGTATCCGCCAGCGGATAACGGATATCCGCAGCGGATTATCCGCGACCATCTCTAAACGTAACTACAAGTTCAAAAAGGGTTTTGTGGGAAATGATATTGTAAAGGAAATAAAGTTATCAGTAACTGGCAGGTAACGTAACTGTAAAGGTTACGTTACACACAGAGTTATCCACTTGGGTAACGTATCTGCCCACCATTGTAAGGAAGTATTTTGAATGAATCTTCAGCCATATTAATGATGTATAAGCCGGATGGCTATAATGAAAAAACTCCTGATTTTTGGAAAAATATTGCTATTTTGTGGCTAAGTTATATGGTGCATGACCTCACCATAATCATCAGTGATTGCTAAGGTTAAATCATTGAGGCACTGAAATATCACAGTTATCAAAACTTACAGCAAATGATAATGCACAAGGTGGAAGGAGAAACAAACGATTTCAAAGATCATAGTGCCCAAATATGTTTGCCAAGATGTGCAAAGGTTGATGATTATGACTTTCTTCCATGAAGAGCCAGGATTGAAAATCTTTGAGTTGTATGTACTCCTAACAAAAAATGATTGAATCAAAGATGTGAATTCAATTAGAAAACACCAGCAGAAGAAAAAATGTACGCCCCTGGCCCAAGGGTTTTTTTTGAATATTTGAACACTCCAAACAGACATTGGTACATTATTAGATGAAAATGACAAGGGTCTTTGCCTTGTTTTTATCTTCTGGTGATAGTGATGCACGGAATTCCTGCTAATCCGACTCTCTTCTAGCACAATTACCACCTGGTCCTAGAAATGGTAGTGGCGCTCTTTTTCAGTAAGTTAAAATGAAGAATAAAAATCAGTGATGAAGGATGTGAGAATAAACAGACAGCTCATTCGTCCGAAGTATCCTACCATAGATATCCTAACATAGCCGATGATGGTAAGCTCACTGGATCCGTACTTCATTTGGTCTACATCATGGCTTTAGCACTCTGAAGCGCTGAGCTTCTGACCTGTAACACAAATCCTTGCTTGAGTTTATTCCGCAACCAAGCAATGCACTTTTGTCGATGCTGGCTGGAACCAAGGAGCGATGTGAAAACGGTGCCGAATGAGCTGCACATACGAAAGGAGGAGGAAGAACACGTAAGTGAGAGGCAGGATTGAAGGAAGTATGCCTCCAACCTAAAAATTAAATGGATCACAACATGGTATGATGTCCCCGGTTCCGGTCAGTTAGCCGTGTAAAAAGAAACACAACCAATGATGATTGGGCTGAAATGCCGTGGTGAAGCCCCTGTATAAATGCTTCCCGACCCAAGTTTGATAGGCAAATGGGCTCTCATAGACACCATACAAACAAGATCATTTTGTGTTGGCTTGTCAGCTAGAAGTTTTCTTATTGCAACCGTCCTCGTAGGTCCTAAAGGTCAGAAATCTCTATACAGCACTTGTCCTTCTGGCCATAGTACAATGAATCCAAGCATTTGGTAACGGCAGTAAATAACCTTGGTAGATGCATGCATCACTAAAACACTCAGCAAGCGATCGGAACTTTTCATCTTTAAATTCGGACTGAGCTACCTTAATCCATTTCTAGTCCTAAGTAGACATTCAATGGTACTGAGTATGTATGCGTTTGCTGAGGAGTAGATGATTGGATCAAATTAGTTGGATGCAACGCAGTCGATACACAACCAAAGCTATTGAGGGCAAGTCCCAATTTTATTGATTCCCCTTGTTCTTATCAATTGCCTTTGTCTAATGCTCAACCGCCGTGAATTACATCTTCTCTACACAAAGGCGATTCTACTGTTCAGCTGCTGAGCCCACTGAACCTTTCCAATCTACTGTGTTGGTCTAGTGCTGTAGCTTGCGCTGCTAGGAAACGAGAAACAGCAGGCTCAGCAGACCGCTTCATTATATAAACCGTCATCCCCTTCGCACTCCCCCTCTTCCTTCTTCACCCGCAACCACTTCTGACTTCCCTCCCACTCCCAAGGCCCTACCAGGTAAACCATCCACCTCTCCCTGGTATCGCCTGCCACACCAGACCTTCTTCCATCTAGCTCAACCTAGAAACCGACCTTTCTCCTTCTTTCTATCCTCTGCCCCACTCTTTCATATTTTTCTGCAGCAGATAGTTCTTCATAAGCCTACCTCGTCAAGTTTCTCACACCTCCACCATGGATCCACGCATGTTACTTGGTAAGTACAATGAACCTATGTCCGCTGTCCAGCCTACCGATACCCAAATTCAACTATCTCTTTTGAAATCTTTTAGAAATGTATATGTCTATGGCCGGCGCCCGCAACACTGCGCAAGCTGCTCCATCGGAAGGGAACCAATCTCGGCGTCGGGGCCGACGCTCATCCAATTCTCGGCGCCGCGCACCAGCACCAGCACCAGCACCAGCACCAGCCGCAGCCCAGCCGGCCCAACCAGTAGTCCCCAACCCCCTGCTTGGAGACGGTAGGCCACAAGGAATCAAGCTCCCTTTTGTGGACAGCGAGGCGAAAGCCCAGGCTCACCAAGACTTGCGATCCCAAGCTCTTTGCTTGCCGACCGCTCACCCCGCCGGCGCCCGCCACCCACGCGTCTACACCCTCATCGGCCGAGGCAACCTGGGTGGATCGCCTCAACGAGGCACCCCTCCCCGACCGGCTGAATCTTCCCCGGAAGTGGACCCCCAGACCGACGGGCTTCCTGCCCAGATCATCCCAGCTCCTGCCCCGGTCAGCCAAGTCGGACCTTCACGGCGCGAGAGGACCCAGGGCCGCACTGACCCCTACGCCGGAAGCCGGGCAAATCGCGCCCGAGGACCGGCAGCACCCGGCAACTGAACGATCGTAAGACTCTTTTGCTTTTCCTGCTCTATACGGAAAATCGATATCCATTCTAACTGAAAACTTCCACAGATAGATCCTGCCTCGTCATTCTGTTCAAGCTCTTTTTCTTTGTTCCAACTAAAACATATGTATCCCTTTTTGTCCCGAACATTGTATGCAATTTATTCTATATTATACCTCTAGATCTGCTTGAGTGAGTCTGCGACTCTCATTAACCGCACAAGTCACGGTTGGAGTTGCCGCCTGCTTTAAGGGAGCCTCAAGATCTGATATCACATTTGAGCTGGCATGCTATTGAGACACATATTATGCTATTGATATGCATCTTTCAGCCACTTCCCATGCTGTGCGGCTGGGATTTTTTTTCCAAAAACTCAACAATTGAAGAGTATGATTCATTGGTCCCAAATATCTTGTGTTTATACGGTGAAGACGGATGGTGAGACTCTTGGATATTACCCAGGTAAAGACGAAGGCCGATCAAGTTGTAGGCCAGTCGGACATGCCATGTCCATATGTTCGCATAACGGCCTGGCATGGAAGATACCCTTGTATATTTAGTAGGAAGAGTGGCGGGAAGGGGGATAGACGAATGAGGTTTGATTCTAATTTCTGATCACCGCAGAGGAGGATCGCTGAGGAACCCCGTTCTCACACTCGGACCGAATGCCCCCGCCGTGCTCAGAAGAAGTTGCCATGTGAACCAGTGCCTGTCACAGATGTGTACATGATCGCTGACCGGGCTCCGCGCGATACTCCCGGACCGTGGAGGCTGACCGGGTGGAGGGTGCCGACTCCCGAGTCACTGCCGAGGACTGCCAACACACCACCAGGCAACCAAGCACCACCCACTTGACCATCAACATCCTCCTCATCCTCAACATCAACATGGCTGCTTCAGTACTGGACTTTGCAAGGAAGAACCTGGGACTGTGAGTCAAGAGTCAAAAGAGGAACTCAACAACAGCCAACTGACATCATCATCATCATCTCTTGTATGTAGTGCTCCCGACCCAAAGCTTAACTTTCGTTCTACCACCCTGGCCCAGCTGCATGCCTCTGGAAGACCGATCCCATCGACGGATAGCAGCTACTGGTCCAACTATTATACCGTCTTCGACTTCCCATCCGACGTGCCCACCCTCATCTCACTCAACGAGCTCCGTAAAGCCATCAGACTCCAACCACAGAACATCATCACTCTCACTAGGCTACTGATCAACAAGCTCGACAGTCTGGTCCATTCAGAGGCCACCAGGAAAACCTTGGCAGAGCGTGAAACGCCAGAGGAACGCAATCGAGCCGATCTTGGCCTATCTCCCAAGAACCTGAACAGTAACAACAACAGCACCAGTCACCATTCATCCAATAACTCATTCACAAATCAACTCAAAGGGTTCAGCCAGAAAGTTCCCAGTACTCTCCTCAACGGCGCCGCAGATATCGTCGGTGTCGGTGGCTCGAATAACAAGTTACCCAAGGGACCTCTCAGGGAGATCCTCAATTGCGTCAGGGTCTTGACTAGAATCTTACCCCTACTAATCGAGGAGGCTTCTGCAATCGATCTCAACACTCCCACCGCATCCTCTTTTCCTTCCGCCGACGATCCTCCCAACAATCCATCATCAAACCCAACAACACCAACACCAACACCAACAAAATCAAACAATGATAAAGCGTATTGGATTAATAATCTTCTCTGGGGGTCCGTCCAACCAGACTCACCCACGAAACAAGAAGAAGATCTCGCTCTCCCAAACCTCCAGAACCAGCCAGCTCAGTTTGTGCTCGATGAAGACGAAGAAGAGGATCAGGATTCCTCAGAAACTGTGAAATTGGTACAAGACAATAAACCACCACCACCAGCAGCAATCAACTCATCCGATCCGAACCACGATCATACTCAGCGTTCCACAAGATCGTCCACAGACAAGCCTCCCCTGCTCGTCACTCTGATCGACACCACCCTCGACTTACTCTTCTTACCAGGAGTCTGTGTTCCGGCGGCGACCAGCCAGGGTGGCACGGGTAGTAGATATCCGATCTGGACTGGCGGGATTGGCTCTTCACAGACACCGATGGACCATTCACAGGCGCATAACGCGGCCAAAGTGGAGGTGCTCCGACTGCTCCTCTCGGTGCTATCAAAGCCGCTCTACTCGGCGCCTCATCTCTACTCGACGGGCGGACCGTTGCTCCGAGATATATTGGGCTACGCGCCTGACGAGCCGCTTGACCGGTTCCGGGACTCATTAGGCGCGCCTAACCCCGCTCTGACTTACCTCTGCACAAAGACTTCCAAGCCGCTCTTGCTCGCCCTACTCTGTAGCCTACTCAACACCGCCCTCGCCCCTACTAAGAACAACTTCAGCAGCCCTGCAGGCGCCTTCAATACCATCGCTAACGGACTCGGAAGGATTACCCAGGGCAAGATCGGCATTGGCGCTTCGGCTCCCACTGACTCTGCTCCCTCTGAATCATCTGTCTCCCTCCCTCCCACCGCCCGCAGACCAAGCTTGACCCCTCAAAATAGTAATAATGGCAGTCCGAATTATTATGGCGGTGCCAGCACTGCGGGGATCTCTCAAGACCTCCCAGGATGGTGTGCCAACGTTTTAGGTGTACTTCTCCTACCCGACCCAGCCACTAGCTCAAACGGCTCGTCGGGGCGAGCAGATGAGGTTAAGGATCCCGAGAAGTCGATCGATCGTCCCTCACCTGCCGAGTTGAATGGGTTCCGGATCTATCTCTCCAAAGTCCATCGACCGGCTGACCTCAGTTTCCTGGTTGATAATCTCATGGTGATCCTCATGAAACCGATGACGGTTACATCGCAGCTACTGAACGCAGACTCGGTGGTCGGCTCGAGCGCGCTCCTTGGTGGATCGTTTGTCAACTATGGCTGCGGCCTCACCGAGGCCATGGTTCTCCTCCACCTGGCCCTCGACTGTAACCCTCGTCTGATCGGTCATCTGATCGGCTCCGGCAAAATCGCACAGCTCTTCATCGCACTCACCTTCATCTGTCTTGAGCAGAAGGACTGTCTCAAGCCTAAGACCGGCCTTGTCAAACTTTGTGCTATCACTCTCCAACTCCTCACTGCTCATGATCGCAAAGAACTCAGCCATATCATAAACTCCAAGGTCGATCTCCCCGTCGGCATCCGCGCCCAATACTCAGTACCTGGTACCCTGGCCGACTTCCTCATCGTCTCGATCTGCTCTATCATCTTCTCCACTTCCCAACTCTCCTCCAACAATAATCTTGCTGGTGGTCCTCATGATGCTGAGGGTGGGACTGATACCAACTTATACGCTACATACACCTCTCTCGTCTTGGCCCTTACTAACCTTAGCCCCTTCCTTAAGGACCTCAGTCCCGCTTCTTCATCGAGACTCTGTCAATTGTTTTTATTTTTCTCTTCCCCTGGATTTCTGTTGAGGGAAGATGGGAACGTCAAGTTACTGTATTACGTACTGGAAAGTTTTAACAAGTTGAGCATTTATATATACATTTTTTTCATGCAAGGGGGGAAAAGGAAACTGATGGACTGTAACCAAAAACTCTGTAGTGTTATTCATTACCAAATGCCAGATAATCCTCATCTAATCTATTCGATTATCAAAGTTCATCACAGGTTTGAGAGTCTAGCGACGTTTACATTAAAGGAGGGATTAAAAGAGATTGAGCGGGTCAAGCAACGACGGCAGTCGATTCAACGGAAGCAAATGATGAAGCAAGATGAGGGGCGACGGGGCTCTACGGATGGCCGTCGAGGCAGTGGAATTCGAGAGATGAGTGTAGAAGAAGAAAGGGCAGAGACCGGTGAAGCGAAGAAGATCTTCGATGTAGAAGATCAGGAGGAAGAGGAAGAGTCAAAGCAGGCTCAAGTGCAGCAAATGACGGATAAGGGCAAGGGCAAGATGAGGGATCCAGCCGGGGCCCCAATCCGGCCTGACCTCGTCCTCCCCCCCTCCTCCTCCTCAGTCTCCGACTCCTCTGATCGATTCCACCTCGTTGGATCCAGGAAATCTGGCTCGTCTAGGACCAGCTTCGAGCGTACCTCTGCTCTCGCTGACGACTCTTGGTCCGACATCAATCATATCCCTTCCTCTCGTCCTCTCCAGCCGAACTCTACCCCTGTTGCCATCAATCCTGCTTCCGTCGGTAGGAACGGATTTGTTCCGACTGAATCGTGGGTCGCTTCTTGGAGAGACAGGTTTGCCTTTTTTTACAGCTGTTCTCCTTCACAAACGTGATCGATTTCTTGACATTTTTTCTTTGTTTGTCCTTCTCTTTAGTTTGCCTTTGGATACGATTCAAATCATGTTAAGTGAACTGAAACCCAAAGGTAAGTAATTCTTTTTTTTTTTTGAAAAAAAGAGAGATCGAGGAAAAGAAATTAACTGGGTGATAATGAATCTGAAAAAAAGTGATTCGAGAAGGAGAGGAGGGAGTCAACAAAGGCGAGACGAAGCCGAGTGCGCAAGCTCTAAACCTACTAAAATCGGCGACGCTGATAGGGATGTTACCGCCAGCGAACAAGAAATCACGACGAGCGCGACGGTTTGAATTGAACAATCCGAATCCGGGGGGCGGAATGAACTGGATAGGCTCGTTAATCTGGTCGATGATCTTCATCAAAGATTCCAACTCGATCACTGCCAACTTCTTTGCCAGTCCCTCCTCGAACAACCCCTCTTCCCTCCCTCCTTCGTCTTCCTCCTCGACGACTTCCACCAGTTTGGGGTCGTATAACAATGATGGATCAAGTTCTGGTCCTTTGAGAATCAAGTTGTTCGGCGTTAAGATCATCCCCAGACGCTCCTCTTCCGGTTTCGTCCTCGGACTCTTTAAACCTTTCGCATCTAACCCCAATCCCAATCCTAATTCTGGTCCTGCTTCTAACCTTCTTACCCTTCCTACTTCCCGCAGTAGTAGCTTCCTTAATCTTTCTCAGGAACGTACCCCAACCCCTCGCGATCGTCATGTTTCTAATTAACCCCTCTTCTCTTCTTCAAACCCCCATTCTTTCAGTCCCCCCCCCCTTTTTTTTTTCTTCGTCAGTATAGACTCCATTTATTTTTATTGCTAAACCCTTTTGATTGTTTCTCCATTTTCTTCTTCTTATCATTGTTTCATTCCTTTAAATTGTAATCAAAACTAACTCAAAAAAATAACCAACATAATGTTCATGAATATATATATTATTATCCAGTCTTTTGTAAAAAGATAACATTTATATTTCACACTTCAAATATGAGAACGTTGAATTAGGTTTTTTTTGTTCATTTATGTTGCTGCATATGTATTTACATACATCATATGAGTGGGCAGAACAGTGGGACAGTGCAGAATGAAATGGTGGATGTTTCATGTCATTCAGAATAAACAAAGGGGAGGGAAACAATAAGGCCTGGTGTAACAGGGCAAGTTCGAAGAAGCGATGCTGCTTATTATGGTGCAAATTCAGTTCTTCTTGTATCATTGCTTGTCAGGCTTTAAACCTGGAGTGCACAAGACCTAATGATGATCATGGCAACTGAAATTCAGCAACTCCTGATTCTTTGTAGAAGGATAGTCTGATATGGAATTAGGAACTTTGAAACTATTAGTGAAGCAGCCATCTTGATGTTGAGGTTGAGGATGATGTTGATGGTCTTCAAGTAGTTGGTGGGTGAGGCTTGGCTGGCTTGCTTGGTGGTTTGTTGGTAGTCCTCGGCACTCGGCACTCTCCACCCGGTCAGCTTCCACGGTCCGGGAGTAGCACTCGCAGGCCGGTCAGCCCTCACATGCCAATCTGTGACAGGCACTGGTTCACATGACCACTTGTTCTGAGCACGGCGGGGGCATTCGGTCCGAGTGTGAGACCGGGGATCCTCAGGGATCAGGCTCCTGTGAAGTTTGAACGTGTCCAGACTCCAGATCAGAATCAAACCTCATCCGTCAGTCCACCCTTTCCGCCATTCTTCCTAACCGTGTGGTCCGCTGGAGGCTCGCTACCTGAATATGCGAGGGTATGCTTCAAGCCATATCATTTTGCGATCATATGGACATGGCATGTCCGACTGGCCTGCAATCTTGATCGGCCTTCCTCTTTACCTGGTTAATGTCCAAGTCAAATCCTATCGTAGCCTCTCTATCCGTCTTCACTTCTGGTATACACCGCAAGATATTTGGGAAATACTCTGCGATTGTTTACTTTCTTTTATTTTTTGGACAACTATCCAAACCGCACAATAGCAAAACTGGCCACAAGATGTTTGTGCATAGAATGCCAGCTCAAATGTGATAATAGACATGCTGAGGTTCCTTCAGGGCATGCAACGCAAACCGTGACTTGTACGGTTAATGAGAGTTGCTGAGACACTCAAGAAGATTGAGAAATATAATATGGAATAAATTGCATATAATATTGGAGACAGAAAGCGATACATAATGTTCAGTTTGGACAAAAGAAAGGGAAGATCCAAGAACTATCATAGAATGAGAAGTCGTGATCGATCTGAGAAAGTTCTTCATCAGAATGGCTATGGATTTCCCGTATAGAGGAGGGAAGACGAAAGAGACTTACCATCATTCAGTTGTGGCGTGCTGCCGGTCGTGGGGCACGATTTGCCCGGCTTCCGGCGTAGGGGTTAGTGCGGCCCTGGGTCCTCTCGCGCCGAGAGGGGCCAGCTTGGCTGACTGGAGCAGGGGCTGGGGTGAGCTGGGGAGGAAGCCCATCGGTCTGGGGGTCCACTTCTGGGGAAGATTCAGCCGGTCGGGAAGGGGTGCCTCGTTGGGGCGAGCCACCCAAGTTGCCTCGGCCGATGAGGGTGTAGACGCGTGGGTGGCGGGCGCCGGCGGGGTGAGCAGTCGGCAAGCAAAGAGCTTTGGATCGCAAGTCTTGGTGAGCCTTGGCCTTCGCCTCGCTGTCCACAAAAGGGAGCTTGATTCCTTTTGGCCTACCGTCTCCGAGCAGGGGGTTGGGGACTACTGGTTGGGCTGGCTGGGCTGGTGCTGGTTGGCGGCGTCGAGAATTGGATGAGCGCCGGCCCCGACGCCGAGATTGGTTCCCTTCCGATGGAGCAGCTTGCGCAGTGTTGCGGCCGCCGGCCATAGACATATACATTTCTAAAAGATTTCAAAAGCAATAGTTAGCTTACGGAATCGAGAGCAGGGCAGATGAAAAGGATGCACTCACCGAGTAACATGCGTGGATCCATAATGATGTTCTAAAAAACTTGAAGGAGTAGTCTTATAAAGGATGTATCTACTGTCTAAGGGGGATGAAAAGGGATGAAGAGAGAGAAAGGGAACAGAAAGAAATGGAAATGGTCGGTCTTGAGAGGGAGCTAGATAGAAGGAGGTCTGATGGAGCAGGCGATATTAGGGAGAGGTGGATGGCTTACCTGGGAGGGTCTTGGGAGCGAGATGGAAGTCAGAATTGGTTGTGGATGAAGATGAGAGGGGGAGTGCGAAGAGGATGCAGACGGTTTATATAATGAAGCGGTCTGCTGAGCCTGCTGCGTCTCTTTTCTTAGCAGCGCAAGATATAGCACTAGACCAACACAGTAGATTGGAAAGATTCAGTAGGCTCAGCAGCTGAACAGTAGAATTGCCTTTGTGTAGAGAAAATGTGATTCACGGCGGTTGAGCATTGGTCAAAGGGAATTGATAAGAACAAGGGGAATCAATAAGATCACGGCTTGCCCTCAATACAGCCATCTACCCCTCAGCGAACGCATACATACACAACACCATTGAATGCCTGCTGAGGACTAGAAATGAATTGAAGTAGCTCAGTCGGAATCTAAAGACGAGAAGTTCCGATCGCTTGCTGAGTGTTTTAGCGATGTATACATCTACCAAGGTTGTTTGTTGCCGTTACCAAAAGCTTGGGTTCATTGTACTATTGCTAGAAGGACGAAGGCTGTATATAAGCTACTGGCAATTAGGATCTACCAGGGCCGTTGCAAAAGAAAGCCTCTGCTGAGAAGCTAGCACCAAATCATCTTGTAAGTGAGGTGTCGATGAGAGCTGATTTGCTCATTGATGACATGGAAAACATTTATACAGGGGCTTCCCCAAAGCAATTTAATTCTAGGTGGCAATGGTCCAAATTGTGTTCCATGGTCGGAACCCTGGAAATCTTACCATGTTGCGATCGATTTGCTTTTCTCTTTGAGAGATCTTTCCTCAATCGTACCTCTAACTTGTTGTTCTCTTTCTGCTGATTTGATAACAGGTGCTTCTCATGTATTTGCTACCTGATTGTACACTGCAGTAGAAAGGATTGTGTTTTGGAAGCTCACTCCAGGGGTCATCAATCCTGCTTGTGTCGGTGGAAACGGATTTGCTCCTACTGAAGCTTGGGCAGCTTCTTGGAGAGATAGGTTTGCCTTATATTTAGTTGTTCTCCACTAAAATGGTATTAATTTCTTGACATTTTTTTTTAGTTTTTTTTAGCTTATGTACCGTTTGACATGATTCAAATCATGTCAAGTGCACTGAAATCCAAAGGCAAGTTTTATTTTATTTTATTTAATTTTTAATTATTTTTTCACAGAGATTAAGGAAAAGGGGAATCACTTGTTGGTATCTATTAGTGTAAATTTCACGCATTAACACTATGTACTCCTTGTGGTACAAATTCAGCCCATTATTAGTAACAGAATATTCTAATGTGGAAACAAAAATTGACAACTGAGATTAGCTGATAAATTTTTTTAAATTAAATATTACAAAATGGTGGGTTTGATTAGCTCCAGACTACAATTAAAAAACAGATAGATAAATTTCATGAAGGTTGTTTTTTATGGGGTCTTTTATCAAACTTGAGCAGAGTTTTTTTTTACTAGTAATGATCTTCTCCCAAATGTTTTTTACTTGTGAGCTTTGAGGAATGGTGCTTGAGTTAGGCACTGCTCTGTATTGGGGGTTTTTACTTGGTGAACTTTGGGCCTGTGGGATGTTGCTTGAGTTGGGCACCTGTCTTGCTCTGTTTTGAGTGTTGGTGTTAGAAGCTGCATTAGGATGACACCAAAATCAATAAGTGTTACTCTTCCTGATTTGGCTCTCTAAGGCTGTCCTTTCCAGTTATGTGTTGAAGATTGGTCTGTCAGATGAAAGGTGGGCCTCATCAAGTGCAGCCTTGTTGCCACATTTTCATTTATTTTACATGAAACCAACACCACAACCACCTGGAACTCCACTCTTGATACTGGAGGCAGGCAGCACATTTGCTTTAGTCACATCTGGATATGCCTAAGTTTTTAAATGCAAATCATTAGCAACTATGCTTGCTTGTCAAAAAAAAGAAGTTTACAGTGTGTGAAAACACCCCTTACTTTGCATGTGGCTAAAGCTTGAGTATCAAGAGGAAAGTTGTATTTTGAGGACTGTATCATCAGATTGCTGATGCAAGGCCTTCCAAGAATTGACTTGCATTGGTTTGCCTCTTTAGTCTTGAATGGAACATAAGCTTTGCCTCCATCTTGTGTGGTTAAATCACTGTTGTCTTGCATTTTGACATTATGAAATACATTTCCTTCTGCTAGTACATTACTTCCTGCTCCCACTTCAAATGTTGCACCTCTACAAAAAGATAGATAAAATACTTTATCAACACCGTTTCAAATATCAAATCACATCTCCCCAAGCCTCAAGTGATCACATTAACAAGAAATGAAGTTCTCACATGGTATTTGTATGCATGTTATTATAGCTGAAAAGAAAGAGAAAGGTAACTATTTGATGGAACTAGATATGGGTTCAAGTTTTAGAAATTCAAGCTTACTAGTGTAATAGCACTTTGGGGCTCCCTGAACCCCCCGTTTTTGGACTCCTTCCTGATGTGAAATCGATGCAGCTGGTAAAGCTTTTTTGTGTGAGTGATTTGTTCCCAGCTTGTCTTTTCTTTTGGTATGATTTTGCTATTAAATTATCACTCAACTTGCGCGCCATAGTTATTTGATCATCTACACCTGAGAAGAAGGCTGTCCAGTAATGTCGACTTATAAGTTGAAAGACGGTTTTGATTAAGTTCAATGAGAGCGTTTTTATGGGGCAAGAAGCTTGATACAAGTTGACCTCACTTTTGACACCGAGCAGACCATTTAGTTTTACCTGAAAAGAAGTTGTTGGATATTGTAATACCACTGTTTCCTTCGCCCGGCGATGTTCCACCAGCAACAATCATTTGTCGACCTATGCTGCTGAAAGTACAATGATCGATCCATACCTGAAAATATAGAGAATTTGATTCAAAAAATTGCTGCTGTTTTTCTAGCAAAGCGAGAATAATCACATTCTTCGCACCATACATCATGAGTGCATCACCTCCCCAGACCTATTGAATTCATCCAGAAAGCATGTTTGAGTAAGAGGTTCGGAATGATGAGGAGCTGAAAGTGAAAGTCACACTGACAAGATGTGGATTCAGCCAAGTGATGTGGATATTCTGTTAAGTTTAATGTGTAATGGGTTGAACGGAATCAGCTTGATGGTAATCATCTATTTTCATAGAAACAAGGAAGACAGACCTGAATGATGACATTTTCAACGTGGATCAAGGAAAGTCTATTTCCAAATTTCAAGAATTAATCAGTTTGACTGAAGTTAAGAAAAAAAAGAGGCAAAACTTGCCCTTTGCCTTTGATAATTGCTGATTTCCCAACACCCAACAAAGTCTTGTGGCCTGCAACCATTATTGGGTTCAACGGAGAGGCGTCAAGCGATACCTAGAATAGAAATGGAAAGAAAAGATATCATGATTAACTATGATTTGAATAAAATATGCATTATTTTTGAAATCAGTGCATACAAGGACTTTGCTGGTACTTTTCTCCACTTGGGTGCACCAATTATCTAAAGCCAATCACTCATGTCAGTTGAATGTCTGGTAACTCAACACCAAGTGAAAAACATACTATAATTCATTGCTTGTTGTACATTCTTTCCGTTGGAACAAGACTTGAAAGGTTGGCTACATCAATTCAAAACAAGAACGAAAATAAAAATGGTTTAACTCAAACCGAAATGAAAAATAGAACGTTGTGCAGAACCAGTTGAAAGAAAAATTACCATCCGCTAGTTTTTGTGATATTAGGAGAAGTGAAGTCGTAAGTTTTGCTGATCAAGATGACTCTCGGAGCTGGGTCGTTCAACCAGGCTTCCAGTTCGGCAGGATCTTTTGGGGTTTGAGGGGCGGCATTTCCGCCGCCAGTAACTTTGGACCCAAAGCCAAATGGGACTGGTTTTGCATTAGCTTTGGTGTTAGAGACAGGTGGTTTGGAAGGCTTTTGTGGGGAGCGACGATGTATTTGAGCACTAGGATCCGAATTCCCTAATACTGTGGAGACCACTTGCAGGCAGAGCAAGATCAAAGATAGTGAACCGGCCATCAACTGACCCAATATTGATTGACGGGTAGTGGTAAATGTCAGACTGTCCACGTCAAATGGCACAGGTTTGTTGAAATAAAACAAGTTTAGCCTAGTGATTGCTATGGGCAGTGTATGCTGAATCTGATTAACCTTGCAAGTTGCCTGATATCCCGAAGGCCAATGTAATGAAAAAGGGAGAGAAAAATATGACTTGGTATGTGGATCGCGTTGTTATCACTGTTACACTCGAATAAGATGATAGGTAGGACGTGCATATAGGGAGGAGCGCCTTCTTTTACTGGGGATAAATCCAGTTGGCGGAGAGAACTTGGAAAATAAACCCTGGCACGTTAAAGAATCCCCTCGATTGCGTATCTCCAAAAGGCACTTGGATAGCACTAGACGGTCTCTAGCGGCCGAACAGGTTATGTTGGTCATCGACAAGCGCGTCGCAGATCACAACAATTTCATATGGTGTGACGTACGGATCCAAGGCTCAAGAGTAACTTGTTCATAATCTTCATTTTCACCCCGGTTACCATTATTCATACCACTGCATCAGGAGTTTACCGCACAAACGGCTGAGGTCGAATGTCGCATGCGACCGACCTGTTATCTTATCAGGTTGGCCCTTGGTCGACACAACCGTCGGGATGTAATCATGTCCTTGGTGAGCCGAGTGTAACTATTCCCCGGGCGTGTTTATTTATTTTGCGGGAAGGGCTACCGGGAACCGAGATTAACTGGATGTCATCACGCTCAACAACATCAAGAACAAAGGCACATGGATAATTAAAAACTGCATTGGATCCAATATCTGCTCTGGAGCACCGAGCCACCGGATTCACCCACTCATCACAAACATCCTGAATCAAGTAGCTCAGCTCATGCTCGAGGAAGACAAGGAGAAAGAAGAGCAGGATTCCTCACATGCGTGATTTTTTTCTTTTCTTGCCAAAAAAATCAAACAAAGGAGAATGAAACGACGCTCTTTGGTTTTTACAATTGTACATATACATTGAGATGTAAACATATCTCGAGGACTAGGATAAGGCAAGAAAAGAACAGAAAAGTTTAATCGTAAGAAGAACCGAGGAACTTCTTGTACAAATTGTCTGAAGAGGACGAGAAATGAAGGGCTTGAACTTGATGGATGATATCGAGTAAGACGTGGGATCCAAGGGTGATGTCAGCTTGGTCCAAGAAAGGAGGCACATGAAGAAACAAGACCGGTCGTGGCCGGGCCCGGTCCGCTTCTTCTTTTTTGAACACGCTCGTCGATGGTGGCTCCGGGTTCGAGTTCGTCAAGTTCTCGAATCTCAGTAGTGAGCTGTAGTAGATGTATTCACATAAAAAACGGCCCGCGTTTTCTGAGACTTTGAGATTGATCGGCTGTCAGTGCACATTTTCCGATGGGGTGAGAGAAGGTGTGAATAAAATCAGGTTAGTACAGCGTCACAGCCTGTCCTGCTGGTCGGTATTCTTGTTTTTGAAAAGAAGAATGAGCAAGAACCAACCTGAGAGATCTGATCCTGAACTCTTTCGACAAGCTGATCGAGCATAACAGAAGAAGATAAGGAACCAGGCCGGGTCTCCGAATCGGAGAGGGAGGGATCAGGGAGGAGACCGTCGACATCAGGGGACTTGTAATGTTCCCGATGGGCGATTTTCTCGAGCAAGAATTCGGCCCTAGGGAGCTGAGCGATTCCGGTGTGGATGACCAAGTCGAGATCCGGATGGGTCTGGTAGAGCCGGCTGAGTAGCTCGTCCACCGTTCGGTAGCTCACCCGAACCGGCTCCGGATGGACCACTAACTCCACGGCGCTGTTCCCATCCTCAGAGTCAAACCCTCCAGATTCCGATGCCCGTTTCACGATCTCAAATGAGGCATTCTTCTCATGGTTTCTGAACGGCTATATTTGTAAACGCTCCTTCGCCGAAGATAGCATTCAGGCAAAACACACGCACTTTGTTCAGTTTGATGTATGGCACATCAGCGGTACTGCGCTAGGGATAGACTCACACCAAATCCTGTTAAAAGTATCTTGATGGGTCGTCGAGTCGGTATACTGGGCATATTTCGGATGTTGATCGTTTGCCTTTTCGTGTCGATTTCGATATACTTGAACGTGGTGGTTGATGTTCTCGATGTACATATCTCTTACATCCAAATCTCGGCAAGCTGCATATAATCCTCCGGGCATTTGCTCAGACGTCAACTGCTCCGTCCACCTGACCCTCTGACCCGCTGCCACAGTTTTATCTCGCCAGCAGATTGATGGCCTTCAAATATTCCCATCTCTTACACCTCACCAATCCAGGACATGTTGAGCATCAGATAGTTTACTTTGGGCTCTTTTGGTATGATTAAGGGCTCAACTGTCCTGACATCACCAGGCTGGACCTTAGTATCATTTTCAGTGTACAATTGGATTAACATCTTTATAAATAGGTACTTCTTGAAACATTGGATTAATATTCTGCGACATTTTTTTTTTTGCTCTCTTGCTTGTTTCGTAAGTACATGCTGGCAATCCTTTCATCGCCAAGGTCTCCGGGTCTCCGGATGATCGGACCTTAGCAAATGGAAACAGGAAATACATATGTAAGAAAACATAAGACAAAGAGGGAAAGAAAAACGCCAAGGACCAAACCTGAAAATTTTTCTGTCAATCTATGTAAAGATGATCCATTCCCGACTTTTCCTGGTAATCATTGGCGTTTGTCTCCTCTCCGTTCATTGTGGTGGAGGTATCAATCGGCCAATCGGATTGGAGAGAAGCCGAGAATCACTCGAAGGTATGAGTGTAACATACTTCATCCTCTTCTCAACCAGACAGCTCAGATTTATCAAGGCTTAATGGTCCGGCTTGTCTTACCCTTCTTGGATCCCCCCTACCATCGAAATTTTCCACAAGTGTTTGAAGAAGACACAAGCTTGCATGGCCAGCTTGAAGCTCCAGCGTCGTTATCTCAAAAGTATCCACTCACTAACTCGGAGAACCTTTCAATCCCCACGTCCAGAAGTCAAAAAAATGATCCACCTTCGGGATCTAACTCCAAACCTCGACATCCTGTTGGCTCTGAGAGCTACATCACTCGCTCTAAAATCTCGACAGTCTTTCGGGAATTGATCATGCTCCTGCCGCAAAAAATCACCTCCTCTCTATCAATCCGTGAGTTGATCCCTTGTCGAATATTTCTTCAAAACTGTGAAAGTTTAAAGTTTGATCCTCTTTCTCTTCGTAGAATTTGAGATACAGAAGAATTGGAAACAAAATTCAGGTGAATTTTTTACGCGCGTCAGAACTGTTTTATTGAAGACATCAAAACTGACTCAAGATTCTAATTTTCCACTTTATTAGACAAGGTTTTGTCTCTTTACCGTGAGTCGGAGGCGCTCTCGGGATTCCACAGAGATTTGAACGAACAATTCGAAAACATCAGGATGGTTGGGAGCGCAAAAGATGTTGACAGCTTCTCAGATACAATGAAACTGATAGAACATATTCAGCAGAATATCAAGATTTTGAAGCAAATAAGACTTTTAGAACTGGGGAGATGCGAGTGGGAAGAATCATATCTGAGTCTGATCAGCACATTAATTCCAGGAATCGAACGATCCAAAGACTATTCCTGGGGAACCTATCGATTGGGTGTCGAGAAAGAACTGCAAGATATTGGTAATTCAATATTAGATAGGGTGAAGATGAGAATACTGCTCGAATCAGATCTAGAAGCAAGTATCCGGACACTGGACTTACCACCGATTGACGAGATACGTGGAAAGATGTATGGGTTCAAGGTGGTTGATTTCTTGTTCGACTGTCGGTTCATCGATCTCGAAAGTTTATCCAGCTTCTTTCGGGACGAGAAAGTGGCTGAGCAGGTGATCTTCTATTCGAATGTGCGCATCTGGCAGGCTAAAGGTTATGGGATCTTGCGGCAAGGAGGAAGCTTTACAGATGGTCTTGACTGGCTAACTTGGAATCAGTCCTTCAAAGGTAATAGCAATCAATCTTGATTAAATTCCTACAGCACTTGATCTAGGCCTAACATTGATTTTGTTCTTGATTTTTGTTTCAATGGTAGCTATTGATAGAAATGGTAAACGGATCATACAACGTTTGTTCTTGAAGAAAAAAATAGATTTGATCAAGTCAACTGCTCATAAACCAGCACCACTCAAGCGACCTAAAACCAGTCATTGAGGGGTTTGTTTCATTTTTAACTGGATAAGTCTTTATTTGGGAAACATGTTTAGATTATAAAACTATTATTTTGAGTTTGAACAACATCACTTGACACATAAGTAAATTGATAGGATGAAGTTGTGAGTAGGTTTTGCAGGAAATCTCAAAATGAAGAAAAATCTCCTTGCTACTCTTATACAATCCACCTTTTACCTTGTGGATAGTTTGGTGGAAAAAACAAGAAACTGTAAACATGATAATTCTAAATTTATCGACATAAATGACAGTACAGGTGAAGTATCAGTAGCAACAAGAAGTATTTTTAATTGACCATTATGCCTCCAATCCATCCTCACCTGGTATTCAAGCTTCTGGATGCACATATCTGGCCCCTAACTGATGGCTAATGGGTTGCACATGTGTTGGCTTCCCATTTCCATCCCTAATTCTGCCCAATATGCACAAACAAGCATGTTTCAATAAAACAATTTTTATGCAAGAAGATAACATATGATTGACTACACTGAATGTAGATTACTTTCATTGAAAACTTGAAAATAATTATTTATTTACAGTTCTATATATAAGAGATCAGTTACTTTTGGATGCATTGAAAGCATTTTCAGAGTCTGTACAAGGTGATGTAGGGGAAGAAAAAGTGGTATGTTAGGAGGTTAAAATTGAAGCTATAAGGCCTCCAAACATTCAATTTCAACCATCAAGTTTGGTTTGATTCTGTTGGATTGCCATTTCATTCTTTTCCTGTCTGATTCCAATGGTTTGGCATTTCATTATTATTTTTCTCTCTGTGTGATACACACCTTTCAGCCTTCATGTCACACTCACAGATATTTCACCAGTCTTGAAGTATAGGAGGGGGACCACTTGACTCGTGGAAGGACTCTCTTCCCCATTCTTGCACAAACTTTCTCTGTCTGCTGTCACAGTTCCATCCCTGCTCATGATCTCATCAGATTCATAAATGCTCCAAATCTGTGATGAACACATTTTATCACTTCTTCACTTGTTAAAGCTAGAAGATGCATTGCTATCCAACATAAGTCAAGTTATCTTTATTCAGATAAAGTTTATCTCAGGAAAAAAAAGGATTTGTAGATCTTTGGATGTAATTGAAATAATGCAAATCCTTGTTTTGATAGCTTAGGTGTAAAACTTATCCCAGCAGTAAATTTCAGTCAATTTCCTTAAACTCACAATTCTAATAGTGATGTTAACAATGAATAGATTACAATAATCAAACTATGTATTGGTTTATAAATGAAGATTCTAGGTTTCAACCTTAAAATCCATTCACATTCAATTAATTCAGATTTAAAATTGCAGTACTGCATTTTTTTACTTGAAAGAGAGCACAATCATCCACAAAATTCTCAGTAGAAATTCAAGTCATGCATTCAATTAGTAGTATACTGTGGGGATGAATGGTGTAGACCACTATCATTTCTCTCCTGGGCAATCCCCAAGAAAATAAATCTGAACAGGAGGAACATGTTGGTCAGTGCCCAATGCAATTGAAAAAATTATAACTAAGCTCACAATTCTTAGCGACCAAAAGATTTACTTTGATTCAATTTTTACTGATTGATCTGGAGATCTTCTGATTTTTTTTTTCTGATGGGTCTGGGGTACTCTGTTATTCCAGATTTTTGATATAGATTTCAGTGCAGGGGAATTTTCTTTTGGTTCAACTTAAATTCGAAATGATATATTCATAACTGTGTTGTAATTACAAGACTCAAGTAGCTGCATCTGCCAAGCTGAACCAGAATAATTGTCCGAATTGCTGGCCCCTGGATGGCAACATTGAGTTGTTCATTATTTTCAAAATAGTGGAAGAATCAGAGTATACACAAAGTCTCTGAGACAGAATCTAGATTTTCACAAAATGTAAGACTGTTCCATTATTGCGCCTATCGATCCCCGATTCAAAATAAAACACTTTGCGAAGCGTTTGAGATTCACTTGGATAAATTTCGAGGTCTGAACAAGCCTGCGCCAGGCTCCGCAATAGCCGTTTCTAGGAGACATGAAGTGTTCATGTAAGCAAAGAAACAAACGCGCAATACTATCAGACCCAAACCTTACAATTGTTCTCTTGTTACCGCGTCGTGTGGAGAGCAAACATGTATCCCTTATCTGCTGCTGCGTTGTGTGGAAACGCGATCAAACGAGTAGATCATGTGGTCTCCAAAGTCACATCGATATGGCTTCCACTACCAGGTCTCCTTTTTGAAGCTCACTATTGGTATTTCAGCCTAGAGACATACAGCGGCATTTTAGACAGACGGACAGTGGCAAATATTTCAGAAAGACAGATGGTGTTGTTTCACTCAGAAAGACGGTGGCCGTGCCACTGTCACAAAGCCGTACCCAGTATCAATGCAGTTGGACTGAGCATTGATTCCTTCCTGTTGTTTTGACATAAATATCGAACACATTCAAAAGGACGCAGCCTTGAAATTGAGATACCAACGAACTAAGCGCACCCCAAGCCAACCAAGTATTCGCCACAATCTTATGATGCTCCCTCAATCCCTGCTTGTTAGTCTGTGGCTCGTATCAGTTCCGTGTAGCGGAGCTGTCAATCGATTGGTTGAAGAGGAGCAAAGTGACCGCCCCCTCCGAGGTATATTTGATTCCCGTATCAAACCCAACGTCACAGCTCGTTAATCAGAATTTAACTGGGCTGACTACCTATATCTATTTCGAATTCCTCCCCTCCCTAAGCACTCTCATTCCCTCGAATGACTAGGCCTCAGAAGAAAGTCTGGGAGCATTCTGAAAGACGTACATCTTCGTGCTCCAATTTAGAGATTGATGGTACTCCTATGGGTGAAAGAAGCTCGGAGGAAGTATCCGCGCTCGATCAATTGGCTAAAGATTTGCCCCCGGTGCTGGCTTTGTCTCCTTATGAGCGTGAGTCTGGCTCTAATCTTTTGATATGATTTTCTCCGATGATAATTATAATCCTTTCAGGCGTAAGGATCATGAATAACTGGAGGATGAATCAAGGTACATCTGGATTTTGTGTGTCGTATTGAAAGCACTGAATGTATAACTAAGATGCTTTTTTTGGTAATGAATAGAGCATGTTGTCCCATTGTACAAAGATTCCAAAGACCTTTTGAATATTCACTCTGAGATCCAGGATCAACTTGAATGGATGAAAGAAACCAATCAGGTTCAAAACGAAAAAGAATTTTCGATGGTAATTGATTTGGTTCAAAAATCTCAAGAAACAATTTCTATGTTCAAACAACTGAAGATGTTTGAGCTAGGTCAAGTAGATCTAAAAATCTTCAACCAGGGAATGATGACATTCCTTTTTTCAGAAAATGAATTGTATAGCCAAGTAGTAAGACATGCCAAAGATGGATATCTTGGCCTCTTTGGACATATTTCCAAGAGGGCTTGGCAGAATTTTGCGCATATGTTTTTGAATGAAGTGAAGAACATAATACTTGATAACAGCAATCAGTTTAAGAATTTAAAGTTAGATTCCGTGCAATATGACACGGTGATCCTTTGGAAGTATGTATTCAAAATAATTGATTTTTTGTTTAACCACGGTTTTCTTAATCAGGATGTTGTGAGGGAAATACTCCAAGAAGACAGGATGGTTGAGCAGATTATCTTCTATGCGTCTGCTCGCTTTGAAGATGAAATCAAAGAAGATGTTTGGTTTAGTTTTACTAGTTTGACTGAACATTGGTACTGGCCACTGTTGAATGATTCTTTCAAAGGTAATCTATCCTTGTTTTAGATATTGAGCACTTGACATATTCTGAATAATCCTTCTAATGTGCTTTGATTGCTTTTTCCTCTATTTTTTTCCAATTACAGTCCTTAGTGAAAAAGATAAAAGGGCCATTAATTTGTATTTCATATGTAGAAAGATGAAAATTGTTGGTGAAGAACTCTTCAAGGACGAGAATAATGTGAATTGGAATATTTTTGCTGAATCTTTTTCCATTCAAAGATACATCAATAAAATCAAGGAGCATGGAGAGGCAGAGAGAGTCTTATCTTTCAGCCAGATTGAACAAGCTGATTCAGAAAGATTCCTGTTTGATATCAAAAACTTGGTGAATATATTGAAGGTGGACTCAAACATTGAAGATCCTAGCAAACAAATGCTGAACTTTTACATTTGGAAGTTTTTGGATCTTATAGAAGCAGAATTATTCCCTGGTATCTTGAAAAAAACAGCAGATGGTCTTGATTTAAATTTTGAATTATTCCAAGATAATCTTGAATTCATGTCCGCATCCACACAGATTTTTGAATTAGGAAAGATGGCAGGAAGTTATTTCAAATTTCTTCAGAGTGACAGTGGAGGAATATTTTTTGAGCCTCTACCAAATCCTACATCAATTCATGAAAAATATCACAACAAAGTAATCAAGCTCTTTCCTGAATACAAGATTGCTTATTCCAAAATTTTCCAGGAATATCATGAATCTACAAATTGGTTATCAAACCCTGCTCACACAAGATATATATTCCAACAGAGTGAAGAGGTTTTCAATCAATTATCAAGTCGGGTCAAGCGGCCTTTTCAATGGAAAATAACAGAAAAGTGATTTCATTCATTTTTATTGTCTTCATAAATACATATGGGTGGAAAAGTTTCAGACAGAAAAAAAGTTGTAAAAGGTCTGAAATGTCAAGAGTCAAGTATTTATCACCATGTTTTTGTAAATAGTATATTTTTAAAATTTCATTGTGTGTGTCTGAAACTTCTTCGACACCTTTTTGTCATCTTACGGTTCCACTCACTATGCCTGGGCATAAATATTCAAAACACTTCTATTTTGTGACTCAGATACAATTTACAATCTTTGTGTAAAATCCATAGTTTTAAATCCCAAGTGATATCCCAGTAACCATTTTTTGAAGCTATTTTTGTTCTTTAATGTTACACACTATAAAGAATTTGGAGACTTCTGTGTTTGGATTTGAAAAAGGAGAGAAATTTTACATATAGCCTACTCCGCAACGGCCAGGAACCCCATGTTGGATACTAGAGGCGGGCAGGACTTTTGCTTGAGCCGCTGCTGGATATACCTGTGTTTTCAAATGCAGATAATTAGCATCTAGCTTGGTTGTCATAAGAATACTGCAGGAACCACTCACTTTAAAAGCATCCACAGCTTGGGTGTCGACAGAAAACTTGTATGGTGAGGACTGTATCAGCAGGTTGGTGGCGCAAGGTCTTCCAAGAATTGACTTGCATCGATCTGCCTCTGCAGGCTTCAAAGGGACATAAGAGTGTCCGCCATCTTGCGTTTTGAGATCTCCGGGGTCCTGGATTTTGACGTTCTCAAAGACGTTTCCTTCCGCTAACAAGTTGCTCCCTGATCCTACTTCAAGAGTCTCTCCTCTTTTGGGTGTAATTGACGTAGAACACCGTTTCAGATCCAAGAGAAAACTCCACACTGTCTGGGATCCAAATGGTAAGAAAGAAAATACTCACATAATATTCGTGTGTAGGTTGTTGTAGCTGAAGATATAGAAACACCTGTAAGCAAGGCTACTACTCGGTCGAACAAGATGAGGGATCATGTCTTGAAAAATTTGGACCTACTAATGTAATAGTACCTTAGGATTTCCAGAGCCTCCTGTTTTTGGGCTCCTTCCTGATGTGGAATCAATGCAGCTGGTAGGACTTGAAGCATGAGTATATTTTTTTTTTTCTTTTTCGGAGGTTCGGCCATGTAGCTACGAGAGGAATAACTCAACTTGCGAGCCATAGTAATTTGGTCATTGGCGCCTGAGAATAGTGCTGTCCAGTAATGACGACTGGAAATTCAACAAGGTTGTGATTTCAAGGCGTAAGTTCGATGAGGGCATTCCCTTCAGGGCAGCTCAGTACAAGTGGCACTTACTCTTGACACCGAGCGGACCATTTGGTTCTTCCCGAAAATAGATTGTTGGATATTGTAATGCCAGTATTGGCTTCAGCCTGCGTTGTGCCGCCAGTAACGATCATTTGTCGACCAATGTAGCTGAAAGAACAATGATCGATCCATATCTGCAAATACAAAGCTCAGGTAAGAATCTCATTACTGTTTCTTAGAGAAATAAAATTAATTACATTCTTCGCTCCGTCCATCATGATTCCATCACCTCCCCAGACCTGTTGATTGGATTGAGAAACCAGACTTTGGTCAGACGTGTGAAAGGTTTGGACAATATTACTAGCGCAAGAAATAGAAACCCCGGAAGAAACACTGACGATGTGCGGATTCAACCACGTAATGTGGATGTTCTGATGAATGTAACGTAGATTGGTTTTATTCAGTTGGACGGGCTTAATAGTGAGTTTGTTGGTCAAAAAGAGAGAGACAGACCTGGATGATGACATTGTCGACGCGGTATAACAAAAATCTATGATAAAAAAGTAATTAGATTGGCTATTGTTTTTTTAAAAAACGTAGCAGAAAACTTACCCTTTTCCTTTAATAATCGCCGATCTGCCGACACCCAACAAAGTCTTACGGCTTCCAATCTTTATCGGACTCAACGGGGAAGCTTCAATTGTAACCTAGGAGAGAAACATTTCATGAATAATTGAAGTTGGAATTATCCTGGAAGCAGTACGTACGGCGATGTTGCTGGCAAATGTTTTCTCTTTGCTGCACCAGTGGTCTAAATTCATTCACTCAAGTCAGTTGAGTGTCCTGATGGTCAGTACTAGTTAAGAAACTGACCAAAATTGACTGCTTTTTGTACTTTCAGTCCGTTTGAGCAAGCTTTCCAAGGTTGGCTAGATCAATTCAGGACAAGAATGAAAATACATATGGTTTAGCTCAGGCGAGAAAGCTCGATTCAGCTGAAACATAATTACCATCCGTTAGCTGTTGTATTGGTAGGGGAGGTAAAGTCGTAAGTTTTGTTGATCAAGATGACCCTAGGGACTTTGTCGGTCAACCAGGCCTCCAGTTGCGCGGTATCCTTTGGGGTTTGTGGGGTGGCGTTTCCGCCGCCCGTAACTTTGGATCCGAATCCAAATGGGACAGGTTTTGCAGTACCTTTAGGGTCAGGAGAGTTGCCATTCGGACCCCGAATGGGACTAGGCACCACACCAGGGGCGGGTGCTTTCGGTGCACGAGAGCCAGATGGCTTGGGAGCTTTTTCTGGGGAGCGGCGATGTATGTGAGCACTGGGATCCGAGTTTGCTAAAACTACGGATACCACTTGCAGGCAGAGCAGGATGAAGGATAGTGAACCGGCCATCTAATGATCCGATGGTAATTGAAAGTGAGTGGAAAAAAATTCAGACTATCCCCGTCAAATGGTTCAGTAGGGTTCAAACGAAAGAACTTGGACTGAGTTTTTGTTGTAGGACGTGGAAGCTGAATACAATCAGTGATCTTGCCTGATATCGGATCGACCGATGTAATGAAAAAGGGAAAGAATAGTGTTACTTGAGGGTGGATGGCGTTGTGATCACTGTTACACCTGGATGAGATGGTAATGACGTATATACACGGAAGAGTACCTCTCACTGGGGATATGTCCAGTTGCTGGTGAGAATTGGGGATATGCGCCACAAAGTTGCAAGGAAACCCCCTGATTATATACCGCCGAAGGGGGACTTGGCAGCATCGGTTTCTAGCGGCCGGACAAGTTGTGCTGGTCATCGACACGCAGTGTTCAGATTGATGTGAAGTGAGGGTCGAAGGATTAAGGATCAATATTTTGGTACTTGACATATTAACCCTGGTTGTCATTATCATCCCACTGCACCAGGGACGCACGTCACGATGGCCTTGGGGTCGAGCGTTGTCTGACCCTGACAATGTGTGTTATCCGAAGTGGAGGGGTCGGCAACCGTCGGGATGCAGTCATAGCCGAACTGAAATTGTACCACTTCCCGGGCGGAATAGATGGGCAGCCTGCTACCAATCTCACCAGAGCTCACCAGGGAATGCCTCGCAGGAGCTCGTGTTAGCACTTCCTCCGCTCTTTGCTCCTACTCGTCGCACGCTGAATTTTTTCCACCATGATTTCTTGTCGAGTGATCAGTGACAGAGATCACGATTCGGGCTAGTTTTCAGAAGGCTACTAAAGAAATCTTACAGGATACTTTCGCGGATCTCAACTGATCAATCCGGCAAAAGGCTTGTCGCATTCTCAGCCATATAATGAAAAGGTTACTTATATTGCGAGCATCATTCACGAGAATCGGCACCTGGCTTGAGTCAGCTTCATCCATTGCAAAGCTTTCCAGGCCCCTCCGACATCATACGGTTCATCCTGAGCTTAACATCAAGTGCACTACTTAGTGCACCGGTTGGCGGGATGAGTCGCTCCCCGATGTTTTCGTGTCTATTTCAAGACTGCTTGTATAATAATTGTAAACAAGAAATCTTATACAACGGCCCAACTATCCCTGAGGACTGAAGTGCACCTCTGTCGTGATTGTGCTCCATTTCGGGATTTTTTTCGATGAATAATAAAATGGCAAAAGATGAGCGGTTATGGCTTCATGTGTGGATGTGGCTGGCATTGGGCCTGTTCAAGGGAATTGAACACACACACTCTTTGTTTTCTTACAAAATGGATTATGTTTCCAGGAAAACAGGTCACAATTAGGGAAAACCTAAAATTAGATTCTCCTCATGGATTCGAAAAATGGACTTTCTGCTTGATAGTCATGTGACGATACAGTGGATTTATATTCCTCAAAACTTGGTTTCTCTTCACCGTTCGAAATCAAACTTATTGGATCTTTTAAGAGTTGGACATGTTTATTTTTCTTTGATTGTTTTTTATCATTCAACCCCACTTGGGGGAATTTCTTATTTTACCAAATCAACAGATGTTGGATGTAAATATGAAACAAAACATTCCGAGATAAATAAAGTTACAGAAATAAATGCAAATACGCAGAGATTCAGACATGGCCGACACCACAGGAACCTGGTACTCCATTCTGAATATTCGCGGCTGGCAGGGGTCGAGACTGAGTTACCTCTGGTCGCCCCTTTTTCAATTATCTATCAGCTATCTTGATATAAAATTTGTTTGTTTAGAAAAAATAAATGACTAACTTTGAAACTGTTTAAAGCTTGGGTTTCTAAAGCAAAGTTGTACTTGGAGGATTGGAGCGACAAGTTGATGACGCAAGGCCTTCCAATCGCTTGTGAACAGACAGTTGAATCTTCAGGTCTGAAGGGTACAAAAGACTTGCCTCCAAATTGGGTTTTTAAATCACCATTATTGTGGATTTTAGCATTCTTGAAAACATTTCCTTCTGCCAGGAGATTGCTTCCTTGACCGACTTGGAATGTCTCACCTCTTATTCAAGTCACAAAATTTGATTTGTCAGCTCGAGCTTCAGATTGGATGTGATGATTGTGATGTATGTAGGATCTTACTCAATGTTGGTATGTAAGTTGTTGTAGCTGCAAAAAAAAACAAGTTTCGTAAGAATTTCTCGAAACAATCGAATGATCAATAACACTTTGAGATAAACCCACTAATGCAATAGGACCTTTGGATTTCCAGAACCTCCGGTTTTTGGATTTCTTCCCGAAGTTGAATCGAAGCAACTAATTAAGGGTGATAGCGTCAGCTGTGGAACGCTTGTTCATTCCTCATTCTGGGGCGGATTTTTCGACGGCGGCGTATTCTTGGAGGAAAATAGAAACACAGATTGTGGCTCAACTTGCGAGCCATAGTGATTTGATCATTTGCCCCTGAAAATAATGCAGTCCAGTAATGTCGACTAATAGTTCACCAAGTTCCCCGTTTTGAAAGATTTTATCAGACAAATCAGTGAATCATGATTAAAAAAAATTATCAGGATAAAAACCAAATTGTATGCACTCACTCGTTACACCGTGAGGACCATTTAGTTTTTCCCATAAAGAGATTGTTGGATATTGTGATTCCAGTGTTGGCATTAGCTTGTGATGTTCCGCCACTAACAATCATTTGGCGACCTATGTTGCTGAAAGAGCAATGGTCAATCCATATCTGCACATAGGAGAATTGGTGTAAGAATCGGGCGAGAATGACGTTGAGAGAAACCATATGAGTTACTTGGGTTGCGCCATTCAATGAGATGCCATCGCCTCCCCAGACCTGTTAACTACAGTTAGAAATGATAGATTTTAAGGTTTACAGCAAAGGAAGTCTAATGAAAATAAAGACTGACTACTTGTGGATTTAGCCAGGTAATGTGAATATTCTAGTCAAGTGAGAGTACAAGTTTTCAATTCAGTTGCTAGAACATGTATTGTATGTTGCAAGGGATATACAAACCTGGATGATAACATTTTGAACTCTATTCAGGACTAATCTGACAGAAAATCGAAAAACGATAAAATTAGCTACCTTTCCAGACATAACAAACCGGACAGTTTGGGTACGTAGGATTCTCACCCTTTTCCCTTGATAATTCCTGCTGCGCCGACACCCAATAACGTCTTGTGACTTGCAACTTTTATGGGATCCATGGGAGAAGCTTGGAGTGAAACCTGGGCGGAGTAACGGTCATCAATCATGGAAGGCGTACGGGTTGTAACTTGGGATTTTAAATCAGTGCCTACTTGAATGTTACTTGGAAGCTTTTGGTCTTTACTGCACCAATTGTCTAAACCGATAAAAGATAAAAATCAGCCGACTTTCTAGCGTTCAATGCAGCATCGCCAAATTGATACAAAACTTACTGAAATCCTTTGCGGTTTGTACTTGAAGTCCATTGGTGCAAGCTTTCCATGGGCGGCTGCAAAGTGGCAGGGAAAAAAAAACTTTTGAATGAGTTACATGAAACCAGAAAATTTTCCGGAATCTGATCATGATAAGTTTGAACATACCACGCGGCGGCGGTTATGTTGCCAGCCCCGAGGCTGAAGTCGTAAGTTCTACGGATCAAGATCACTCGGGGGACCTTATCGGTGAGCCAGGCTTTTAACTCGGCTGTATCTTTTGGTGTTTGTGGAGCGGCATTTCCACCACCGGTAACTTTGGAGCCGAAACCGAATGGGACCGGTTTCCCTTTACTTTGTGGATTTCTTGGCGTGCCATTTCCATCCTCCATGCCGTCCTTCGGCGGACCAGGTGAAGAAGGCATTTTCCGATTATTGCCGGGCGGTTTGAAATTGGCCGCTGATGCTTGTGGAGAGCGGCCATACAGCTTATGATCAAGAGTCGATGTGTTGGTAGAAGTGGCGGCTACATTTACTAGCATGATAGAGAGCACTTGTAAACCGAGCAAGAGAAGAGCAAGAGAACCAGACATGGTCCGTAAATTTTAGTCGGTCTTCCTAGCAATACGAATATATAAACAATATGATTATGCTAGAGTGAATGAAGGGAATATCAGTATCCAAGTAGCTTGTAAAACATGAATCAAAGGAGCTGGACAAACTTATTACCTTGTTAGGGATAAATCCTTTGAGAGAACTTGAAGTATAGTTCAAATTGAAAAGAGTTGAGAAACTGGTTCATGGAACAACTGAAGAGTTGAAGATTCGATACACGTTACTTCACTACCATTGGAACACCGGCAGATATGTTATCTGTGTGAACTGTAACAAGAAAGTATAATGAATGATGGTTATGACAAAATTTAGGTATCTACTGCCTAGTAAGGAATAGCTCCTGCCCAATGGGAAATTTAAAGTCATGGCGCTAGCAAGTTGCTGGCCGACGGGAAGGTTATTATCCTGCAAATGAGGGTTTCAAGAGCAGGAAAGGCGCACGTAACATTTTTTAGAAGTGTCACAACTGATTATATTCCCCAGGCCTTCTCCCGCCGACACGGCGCCTACAGTTTTCAAACTGCAAGGATATTATCAGACTCCCCTGCAGCCTGCTTATACGGGTTTGCCAAGCGAGCCTCGCCGATCCATGGCATAGGGTTCATTGTAAAAACTTGAATCATCGGCTTCGCAGTCCATGATATTGGAGGCGTGGCGGTTTTACTCCGAACCAACGTTACCGAAAAATTTAACAGCGCTGAGCTCGAATCTACAGGAAAGGTAAAGATAGATATAACCTGGTTGGACCGTCCCGGTAGAAAATTCTCAAGTTTCGATTTTACCTTGAATCAGCTAACATATAGAGACAGGCACTTGGCTCTTTCTACCCAGGCTCCCCCGCAGTCCTCGAATTCTCTCTTGGAATTGAGTCCAAAAATGAATGTATCTTTGTTTTCTTGATGTGCAATTCAAACTAGCAATTGCAAGAATCAAGAAGAAAAACAAATGGCCAATGGCAATGCCATCATCATCTCTCGCCATCTTGACTCCATAAGATTCTGTGTAAATAATTGTGACCCAAAATATATATGTACCGCCAAGTGAACCTTTTTTTCCCCTGATGAATCCGAAGTGGAGGGGCTCAGTTGGTACTGACCCATGAGTCATCAAGCTGCACAAGTTTTCCAGAATGGCTTGTGGCTGTTTTCTTGAAATTATTTATGCCTGTGACGTCATGATCCGGTCCGAGACTCGGGTTGAGAACACAGCCAGCTGGGCTACATAGATTACATAAGCAGTCCAACCCAACCCACCACCACCTCAAATCTCCACCGACTTGAGCTCTTTCTCCAAAACTTATCCTTAATTTTTTCACCATGTCCATCGAAGCCGACCTACTCTCTCCATACCATCTTATCCATCCGGAAAAAGTAAGCAAAATCAAGGCAGAAAATCCTCTTTCTGAGTGAAACTTGACTGACCAGATTCTTCTTCTTTTATTCACCAGACCACTTTTAGAATTAAAGCTCCTTCAAGCCGTTCTGCACGAGGTCAGGAACCCCATACATTCTTCGGAAATCAGACTATGGTGGAGCCTTAGCATTTTGGAACTGACGCGTTGTCGATTTTTTTGTTGTCAAAAACCTTTCAACCACGCCAGGTTCGGTTCGATCGAACCCACCATTTCAAGCCCCTGGATACAAACTATACCAGAAAGCATGGGCGCGGACCAATCAGAAAATTATGGCGAGCCTTCCTCTTTCTATTGTGGATGACACGAAAATTTTATCCTAAATACTAAACTCCTATTTTTCGTCTTTTGAAAACTGAAACGCGTACAGAAAATCGTTGATGATCTCCAAAAAGGTTTATTGGATGACTTGGTAACATTCATCAAAACAACAAGGTTTGACTTTAGGACCTCGATTCGGAAACCGATTCCGACTGCCGTCTTACTAGGTCAGGACTCGTTTCTTACACTTTTCAATCCCAAGCCTAAGATGTGATATTTTTGACATTTTTGTCGGTATTTTGATCAGGCACGTCAAAGATACTAAACGCGTCGCTTGCTTCTCGTGTCTCTGGAATCAAAGATCCATTCGGTGGATCTGAATGCTTGCCAATCCAACTCAACAGTCGCTCCTGTCTTACCCTCAGCTCGACGATCAAATCTATCGTCAACCTATTAGAAAGCCGACTCGAGTTTTTAGCAGACAGCGATTCTCTTTACACAAAGGTATCAACTTTCACTCCTTGGTAGGCGAACTGAGCAAAAATGACAACAATCATTATAGAATCGTAATGATGTTATTGTTTGTATACCTTCTAGTGAATGTACCAGAGCCTGATTTAATAACTGTAACGTTGGTAGACCTCTGGTGCAAATGATCCTCTGGCAAAAGATGATGTACAAAACATTCGAATTCTCTACCAGGCACACCGCGACTATTGCTTCAAAACCTCTTCGTCATCTGATTCAGAATCGACAATTTGGCCAAAACTAGTTTTCATAATTGATGAATTTGAAAGCTTTGATTCCGGTGTATTGGAAGATTTGATCTCAATTTTCAGGTAAATACATTCATCTCATTCAGTGAGTGTTCAGAAATCGACACCAGAACTGATCGATCCTCAAATACTTTATCAAAGTAATCTGATGACCACGATCCCCATCATGATGATTCTATCACTTAACACATCAGCCGAAGCGATCCATTCCTTATTACCAAGAACGACGATTTTTCGGCTAAAGATGACCCCATTTGCGGTTGATATGGGTGGGGGTGCCGTAACATCATTAATTCAAAAGGTAAATTGACTTTCACCAAGGAGAGGAAAAGTAAAATCGGAAGAAAACGGATCTTAATAGGGTTTCATCCACTCAGATTGCATTTGATCCAGATAGTGTTTTCGATCTTTCCTCGGGCGTCGTGAGATCCTTAATGGATGGGTACGAGAGATTGAATAAGTCGTTCGACAACTTGATCTCCAAACTTCAATTCATTCATCTAGCACATTTCCACACGAACCCACTCTGTGAATTCCTGGACGGTATCTCTACTGAAGAAGAGGAAGAAGAAAAAGAGCAAGATGACATACAACAACCACCCAATTTTCAATATCTTGCTTTTCATTTACGACTGACAACCTCCTGGAAGCGGGCCCGTCGAGGACAAACACTACTAGTTAATGACCAAGAGCTAATACATATCCTTTGGAAATCATACCGAAGACGGAAACAGGCTCGAGCAGCTTGTCTGATGGCTCTCGAAGCTTTAGAAAGAATCGGTCGGCTGTGGCCGGAAAAGGAGAGAACACCCGAATGGATTCTATACAACGTTTATCGTCCCGAGTTATTTGATTATTCGATTGAAATGTGCAAGTTGATCAAGTTGAGCAGTCGAGACACAATCCAGCCTCATTTTCTTCTTTAGGCTGACTTTAAACGTGTTATTCTTATCGTTACTTACTCAGACACAGTAACGATGAAATGTTGATGAATGTATTGAATTCACTCTCTGACATGGCGACCGAGTTTGATTGGCTTGAGCCGAGTTTGATCAGACTTTCTGAGCTGATGAATGACCGGGAACTTCGGAAAGCTGGTGCTCGAACGCATCTGGTTAACACTCATGAACCTATGTTGGCTGGGGTCACACTCCTCTCGGCTGATCGCGAATTTACGAAGATGATATCTGATGTTACGGATTCTTTGATCCAGTTCTTTCGGTCAGTCTTTCTATTCTCCTCACAATCGCGCCTAATTTCAATTTTCTCTAGACGCTGAATATACTCAACCGTCTGACTGCTACTATCCATTTACTTAGGAGCAACTTGGGACCTGATAGCTTACTAGAGCTTCATGAAGCATGGACGTTTGATGATAAGATTCTATTGAATGAAGTTTTCCATCCTAGATATATCCACCAACTCAAATCGGGATTGGAATTGAAGAGACAAAGTCTCAACCCCACCTCTCCTCTAAAAGAGAAAGGCAAAAGTCATAAAAACTCGGAAGAAGATGATCAGGAAAAAGACATGAATCGATTGAGGAGGATGTACGAGTTATACATGGAAACGAATGGGAAGATAATCAACTTGAACGATTGGTTCGGAGCTTTTTATCAACAAGCAAATCCGTCTTCTTCGTCTTCTTGTTCAACTATGGATTCTCCTAGCAAGAAACAAAACGGCCCAAATAAAAAGAGGAAGACGCAGTCAATGGAAACAAATCAAGAGGTCGAATTCGAGAAAGTCTTCTTAAAGTCGATCGGTGATCTTGGATTTCTTGGTATTATTTCTCAGTGTAGTCGCAAGAAAGAACACGTCACCAAACACTTTTTCGGCTAATACCTTGTTGCTTTGGCCAAATAATCATGGTGTACTTATCTAGTCTACCATTAGTTCTTTCTTTTATTTTATCACATTCGGATATAGTCTCAAGGGAATTAGAGTAAAACTCTGGCTTGTAGTCCTCCGTCAGCTCAACAGACTTGATGTTTCTAGAGGGCGAATTTTTCAAAACCCGAGAACCTTTGCGTTTTTGCATTTTTTTTATGTTTTTTGAATGGTAGTCATAAGCAGTCTGAGAGAGACAATCGAAGGAAACTTATGTACATCCGTGACTTTGTGGGCAAACTTTTGTGATCTTCATACAACTGATAGATGATCTCGTCAAACGTGCATTTTGATTAAGTTAAGGGTGTACCATCCTGATGTTCTGAGCGGCTACAAAGTGATGAAATATAGAAATGATCATTGGCGAATTTACCTGAATGTTGGAATCTTTTGACATCTTGGGGTAGTAAGAAGCTTGCGAGATTGGCCACGTAGTTAAAAAATTCCGCCATTCCCATACATATCGTGTGCCTAAACTACATAATTTGACGCTTCGGTTTCAGATTTTTTTCAACGGGCGTTCATTCAATCGATGTTCAATTCTTTGTTCGATCGCCCAGAACTCAGTGTCGAATACACTTCCAACTCTGTTTTGGATATCATATCGCAGTGCTTTGGTTGCTGTCTGAATGGCTTCTTCTGCGCTACGCAGACTCTTTTCGTAATCGCTAGGATCTGTTGCACAAAGGGAAAAGGGGAAAGGCTATAAATATGGACAAGTGATTTCAAGTTGGAGAGGAAGAGAGGAAGGAAGCTTACGTAGAGTAAGTACCCCAACACTCTGGCGAAATGGGCTTTGCCACTTGTTTTCCTTCAATCCCATTTCAATTCCAAGTATCACCCTCTCATAGAGAGGTTCTGCAGAAAAAGAAAAGGAGAAATTTTATGTTAATGGTTGTATAAGTTTTGGGGGGCTTTCAAGACAAAGGTAGGTAAGACATGGGTTTCACCCTCAAGGTAAGGAGAGAACAGGATCTGGGAGATCTCATGGGGTCTCCAGAGCACTTGTTCACGAGCGATGCGTCGCTCGACGAAAATTCTGATCCCAAGTTTGTCTACATCATCCAGAGGTGCTGCGACTGTGAAAAAACAGATCAAGAAGTACAAAAGATCGGTGAGTCGTTCAAGCTTATAAAAGCAGTTGTGTCAATGTGAACTGTGAGAGTGACGCGGACCTTCCGACTGAAACCCCTTTGGCTTCTCGGCTGAAGATTTCTCTTGACTATCTCTGGCTTTCGCATCAAGGGCTACAACAATCCAGAATAATAGAAGATCAATTGGTGACACAAAAGAGACAACTTGTTCATCAATTGTGAGGCAATTGAAGGAGGGAACGTTACCTAGTTTCTTGAAGAAAGTTTTTTCAATCCTATTTCTGGTTTTCGCATCAAGGGCTATCAAAATAATGCAAATCAAACTAGATCAGTTGAAGTTTGCAAGTGCTCTCTGGCAGGTAACAGCTAGTAGGTTGATGCGAAGATACGAATGAAAATCGTTACCCTTGAAAGACTCGTTCAGGTGCTCCCAAGGCGTTTGGCCAGGTAAGTCGGCTGGAAACGACTCGTGCGCGAAAAGCTCATTGCTGTAGAAGATTACTTGCTTTGCTATTTCCTCTTCTCGTAAGAAGCTTTGGAGCTCCTTTTCATCAAGGAAACCGTTCTCGTGCAATAAATCAACTACTGTGAACGCGTATTTCCACGGAAGGACTAGCATCCGTGAAGGAAGCGTATGTTGCTCAAGCTCAGTTCTCAGCTCGTCGGTCATCAGCTTCTTGACTTCATTCAAAATCGACGCGCCCAGATTTTGCAATTGTTTCTCAGCTTCCAATTGAAAATGTTTATTATCTGAAAGAGCCGTGGGTTGCTCATGGAGGGCCGGAAGTAAATTTTTCATCAGTTTCCAATACAAACCAGTTGAATCGGCTTCCCCAAGCTTCAGGCTTCGCAATTGTACGAGAATCTCAAGTTTCGACTGAGTGTCCTCGACAACCTTTCTAGCCTCCCGTGTCTTTGCGTCTTTCTTTGTTTCACGAGTCACGCTTATCAAGTAAAACTCCCCGTTGGTCTTGGATTCTATGGACGAAAGCAAATCCCAATTTTTGTAAAGCTGAATGACCTCCTCTATAAATTCATATTTGACACAACACCATCACTCGGTTAGAATGGCAGTTGCCGCAAGACAAAAAAGAAGAGAGGAACTAACCAAAATTTTCCCCCCAATTCTCTTCCAACTTGGAGACTGCATACGTGAAAATGATCAAAAACCAACCTATTTCAACAGATGATGCAAATATAGACTCACCCAGTTCTGGAGTCAAGGGCTTTTCCTTGCCCAACTCGTCGATCAGTCTTTGAAGGGCGATGGCTGATTTTGTCTCTGGACTTAGGAGCTGCGACCGTTCGTAACGTTTGTGAAAATCATAATCATCATTGTCAAAGAGCGAAGGCTGTTTCCCTTTTGTGGTTTTTATCCCGGCAGGTCTAGCTCCATAGACATTTACTTCATAAACAGGCGTTGGAGGCGTTGGTCTCTTTCTAGGGTTGAATTTAAAGTCTTGAAGGTTGGGGCCCGTATGTTCTTCAGATTTAGGACTTAAGAGTTTTTTAGAGTCACTGATTCGGTGGTTCTCATAGGAGGACGGCTCTAGTCCATCATATAAATTTGTATCCTCATGACGGATAGGAGGTACTGGAAAATTTTCAAGGTTGGAGGAGAAATGAAGATGACAGATCAGCGACGCAGCCCAAACAAAGACTAGAGTATGACTCAGCTATGGCAGTGTCGAGAAGACAAGAATACACACCGTCGAGTGATTCCTGACATCTCTTGATTGTGAGTGATTGATTGATCATTCCCCCACAATGAGCAGAGAAGAGCCATAAGGCCACCAAAATCAGCTGAGAACGCATCATGACAATCGGGAATTTTATTTGAGGACTAACGACAAAAGAATAATGCTTTCACCCTGGGAACACCGTCCCGCGTTTTATTTTCAACATGCCCTCATGTGCATGGGTCTCAAGACCATGAAGAACACGAGACAGCACGAGACCTCGAGCTCGAGAGAGCTTGAACTTGAAACATGTATGGATCAATTCAGATCGAAATCTTGGGATGTCCGCTCTGCGAAACTGAAAGCCTTCTCAAAACAAAGAAGGCCTTTTCAAAATTCAAGGCAATTCTGTATAGTTGAATCCTGTCAAGGAAATATGGTGACTTGCAGGGCTTTTGGGGGGAACCCGCAGGATTCATGATAATTAAGAACGTTTTTTTCCGATGATAGAGTTCATCAAGCACATTGGGACACATACCCAACTTGCAAGGCCCACCGTGTACCCATCCACCGGCCAAGTCTAACACATGCCTCTTGCTGAACACCTATACATGCATTGAGAGCTGCCCCACTAGCACCTTTGCATTGTTCATAAATGTGTTTCATGATGATAATCCCACAAGTTAATCGAAGAGAAATAAAAATGCATCTGAGAAAACATGTTCACAACCAAGATGTGCAATTTTTCTCAGCCCTCTTTCCCACACAGAAAAGAAGAGGGAAAAGGGAAAGGAAACCAAAAGTTCTTTTAAAACCAGTACTTCCTTTCCAATGCCATGCTTCCAAATCCACAAATTCCACAGCCACCAAAACAAGGTCATACAGAGTGAGTAGAGATCGTTCGTTTGTACTTGGGTACCTGTTGGTACCTAGGTACCTGTTGAATTGTTTCAAAAAATAGGTACCAAGTACCGCACCAGGCACCTCCCGGGGGGTACCGGCGGTACTTTTGGCGGGTACCGCGGGTACCTCCCCTCTCTTTCTAACCTAGGTTCACTTTCAGATTACCAAGTCACTTTTTTATTATTATTTTTTTCATATTTATTGTAAAATATCAGTCCCAAGTCACTTTTTTCCATTCTTTCATATTTATTGTGAAATGTTGACAAAAAATTGGAAGAATCCTACTTTGTTATTATATTTTCATATTTATTGAAAATATCATTCCCAAGTCACTGTTTTTCCTTTTGTCAGATTTGTTGTAAGACATCTTAAACTAAGGGGATGTTGAAATTTAAAAAGTATATTTTAAGGTGACAAGTCACCTTGATCCCTGCTCTCCTGAAAATTGCACAATGTCGGAACAAAATTTAATTTTACAAATTTGTACAATTTATCATCCTTTGCAAAAGGTCCGCCTTGCGAAATCCCTTGTAAAATTGCTCGCCCACACAGCACATGTCCACACTTGCAAAGACTCCCATACAAAGTCGAACCACCTTAAAACCTGGGTTTGCAAACCCACAGATTGTTAACAAATGATTTGAATTTACAGAGGCAATATTACAAAGTTATAGAATCCGAACACAAAATAACATTCAAAGAGTGCAATTATTATTAAAAATCAATTATACCCCAACACCACATTTGGAGATTACAACCCCTTGCAAAGATAGCATAAAAATAAAAATAAAAACACCCCTGAACATGCTAAATAAAAAAACCAGGCCATCCTAGGCCATCCAAAGCAAGAGAAGAGCAGATAAAGAGTTGGTTGGAGTCCCCTCTCATCGCGCACCGCGCTTTCTTGAAGATCGACGGAGAGCCTGACTACCTGTTCGTGCACCATGAGGAGAGTGAAGTTGAGGTATTTCTGGGGCTTGTGAATCCCCTTGAATTGTGCTCGATCCAATCGCCGCCACAGGTTTGGAATTTGAAGCTAACTCCTCCTTCTCCAACCAGCGGTTATTCCAATAGGTGTTTGATATACGAGCCCAGTCGGCATCAGTCAAAGGCTTTGGGATGAATGTCTTGCTTGCAAGTTTCCTGGCCTTTGGCCGACCACACTTCCCTGTTGTTTTCTTGGACTTAACATCCAAAAAAGGAAGCTTGCTGCCCAAACGAAGAGAGGGAAGAGACTCTGTCGGCAGATTAGTTGACCCGGGTGGCGCTGCAGACATCAACTCTTTGGAAGAAACAGATGGGGCTGAGGTTGATACGGAATTCAATGGATTTGAAGCTGCCTTCTTATCGATCCTTCGAATGCGAATCTTCAAGCCCTCGCCAGTTGAATTGACTGGTTTCTCTCTATTGTTCCCATCTAGGTAAAAAGAATTAGTTAGGTTCAAGTTAATCACCTCAAAGAAAACTATCTGACTCACCCTGAGGCCCGCTTTCACCATTTAACTGAGTGATTGTCATGGTAGGATTTGGATCGGCCGCTTGTCCTTGTGTAAGATGTGGTAAAGCTGAATCAAATGTAGCTTGGAGCACAGCTCCCATATTGACAAAAGGAATATTGTCGGCTTTGACTACTGGGTTATCGCGCTGGATGTTGGCAATGCTCGTATCAATAAATGCCTTCTCATTGGGAGTCCACTGTCGAGAGTAAATCATCCAGCTTGTGTGCGGTTGTGCACCACTAATGCTGCCCGGCGTGCGGTCCACTAACTGCGCAAATCCTCCATTTGCTCTGTCGTCGTGCATCCAGACAGCGGTTACACCATTGACGTACCGCAAAACCTTCCCCCAGTAGTGTGAATCCCCCCAAAATCCACGTGAAACCGCAGTGTATTCCTCCCCAGCGAAGTTGACTTTGAATGGCCAATTGATGTTGCCCATGAAATCAATTTGCTTGTCCTCGCTGGAAATCAACGCCACATCAACCTGGAAATACAAATGGGCCGGGGGTGTACTGTTGATAACGGAGATGATTGACTTTTCATGCAGCAAGTTTGAGGTGATGGCAGGCGATTGAATCTGAGAATTCTCCTGGTTACATTGACGACATTGAAGTCCGGAAACGCCAACAAGGCCTGTTGTGGTCCACTGACTGAACAGCTCTGCAACATTGGCACAGTTGATGTTATTCGATTCGAACATCGACTTTGTCACACTGAGGACACCTAGGTCGCGAGAGCCTCGAGGATGTTCCTGTGCCCCAGGGTGGAGAGGGCAGGAAAAGATTCGGTCCTCCTGCACACGAAAAAGCTTAGGCAGCGTCTTCGACTTGTTCCTCTTTGGGTCCAAAACAATCTCCAAAAATAGATCGCATGATGCAAATGCCCCAGAGATGAAATTTGCCGGGTATAGTTTCTGGGCCTCCATAAATAGTTTGTTGGACCCCCGAGTTAAAATTGAGCGCACTTGCGCACCCTCCTTCATCTCGTAAGTTGTTCGGGTAGTGAAGTGAGAGACAAGTAGGAAGAACAAATCCGTCTGTTTTCCACCGGGTTCTTGTAGCCAGAGAGGGCTGTAAACGGCGTAAAGAGACTCCAATGCAGCCGCCAACCAACATCAGTTGCGTGCCAGCCTGTCCTTTGAAGCAACGTAGGAGACATACGTGGACTGAGGGTCCCTGTTGATGTTTGGCGAATTCTTGGGTCTGCCTAATTTTGCCCGTTTTGGCAGGTTCTCGGCGTTGGCGAGGAGCTGTTCTGTTGTGTCTGGGGCCCGACCGTCGTTCCAGGCTGCTTTCTGTCTCTTGGTCGCTTTATTCCATCCAATCGAGTGGGAGACGTTCACTTGCTTTGGCGGGAGTGAGCCATAAGAAATTGGAATCCCACGCCGAACTTGAACCCAGTCCTTCTCAAGGGCCGTGACAAACGCATAAAGCTCAATCATCCCAATCATCAACGATTTTTTGCCGGTGCTATTCAAAGGAAAAAGTGAGATGTGAGGCTAGAGGGAACAACTGATGAGAAATACAATGACATTACCTGAGCATGTAGTAGACGCGGTGCATGCTTTCTTGAGCGTTTGTTGTATCAGGAAGACCGTCAGTTGTGTTGGGGCTATCATCAATCATTTGGGGTCGGCTGGGAAATAGAATAGCCTCAATGTCGGCCGTAGTCCACCAATCAATCCACCTCCTCACTTTGGGGAACCGGCGATGTAACGCATCTATCTTGTCGCTATGGGTGGGGCCACCATCTATGTTGCGAACAAGCAATGACTCACACATCGACTCAAATAGAGACTTGAAACATGTAAAGTCAGAATGCTTGGGGGTTATATGGCGGAATGTGATGAGATGAAAATTCACTCACAACCTCATCAGCCTGGATCACCGCCCGATTGCGCTTGACACGTGTAATTGAGGCTCTGAAATGCTGTTTGCAACCTTTCAATTTGTTGCGTGCAGCTACCCGGTCGGTGCCTCCAAAAACTTCAAGGTATGCCGATATGAAGCCTTCCATTTGGGCCAGAGAGAAATCGACGACATTCCTTGCCAGATCTTCCCGCTCAACTGCTGAGATTTCAGACCGCATGAATTGTCGGAAAAGAACCGCAAAGTGAGTGTGATAGTATATCTCAGAAAGGCCACGTATCCAGCTGAGCTGGACTGGAATCCATCGGTTGATCTTCTGGCAGTACATAGAGGTTGTAAGTAAGTAGCCCGACTTGAAATATCGATACGTAACATCTGATATTAATCCCCCCTGGTAGAAACTGGGCCCGTTTTCCCCATCCTCTGTTTTTTCCAAAAGTCGTGCGGCCATCCATGGGGTCTGGAACGTAAAATGTTCCTTGCCGTGCCTAAACAATGAGGAGATCACTTCCAAACCACGCCTAGAGCAAGTATGAAGGTGGTTAGTCAAGTTGAATTGACATAAGTGGGAAGATATCGGAAAAAAGAGGGGGCAACTCAACTCATCCCACATGAACATGTCATTCATGAACCGGTCTCCTGCTCCATCTCCATCTTTATCGGGGGCCAGGTTCAATCCTCGAAGAATCTCTCGTCGATGGTGTCGGAGCCTGTCTGAGTTTGCAAACGATCCATGTATACTGGCTACACCGTTGTCGGGCTCATGGGATTTATCTGGGTTGCCGACCTATATGTGTCAAAAGGAATATCATTCATGATTTCTCAGTTCAAGCTATATAACAAAAATAAAATGTTTTAAAGTGAAAATACCTTGAGTTGCAGAGCACCGGCCTTTGGATTTTTGGCAACTTCCAGGGCAAGCAATTTCTTTGCGAGAGGGTCAGCTTTCTTGGAGGTTGGCCATGGGTGGTCGTGGAAGCCTTGATGCCGCATCAGCCTCCACCCAGTACTAAGTTCATGATCAAACCTGGTTTGTGTGTGCCGACATTCCATCCAGTAGATCTTGCCAGCGCACCCGTCTGCCGGGCAACATGGGGTGCTGGAGGATGGAGAGAAAAAACGGTCAGAAACTTAAATTTGACAAATTGGAAGGTGGTTCAATGAGGCTTACGTGCGGATAAGCTCCTCAATCTTCCCTGGGCCTGTAGGGGTGGGTCCGGCATACTCACAACCTTCACTGTCACACACCATGACTCCAAGACAGTGTGCACGGTAAATTTTCCAACGGCGATCCTTTGAGGTTTCGGATGAGGAGGTCTTTGAAAATCCTACTGTGCCGAAATTAGTGATGATGGTTCCGGGGGGAAGTACGTATGTGGTGTTGTTGTTGGGATATAGGGGATATCCTTCCTTGTCAATAATACAACCATGATCAATAAAGGTAACTTGATCTTTTGCCAAGGGAAATCCCCACTGGGTTGTACGGGCTGAAGTAGCAGAGAGTGTAACAGTTGGTGTGGGAGATGTGGATTGCATAATGATGGTGATTAATCGGAAGAGAGGGAGGGTGGAGAAAATAAAAATTTGTATGGGTAAGCAAACTATTGGATGTTGGTAAGAATGATGGAAGTGAAGTGGAGTCAGATGGGGTCGAATGACAATTCCTAAGGGTTGCAGCCATGATATGCCGGTTGCAGAGACACCTGGAATTGAAGATTGAGGGAGGAACGGGCCCTTTGCAGAGGGGTGTGTGCAAAATTCAACCTTGGGGTAACTATGAGCACATTTGCGAACCTTAGTAAGGGTCTTTGTGAAGAAAAGAGTGTGAAATTGTCAATGCAGCTCCGGAGGAGGATATTTACAAGCGAGGTTTTGCAAGATCTTGATTACAATGTGTCACTTTGACCTTCTTCTTTGTAAAAGTCTATTCTTAGGGAGGGTTGTGCAGATTTACAACCTCTGGTATTACGGAGTGATTTCTCCGTAAACTTGCCTTTTCAAATTTCACAAACCCCTTAAACTAATTGGAAGAACCTTGCTTCATTATTATTATTATTTTCATATTTATTGTAAAATATTACTCAAGTCACTTTTTTGGCATTTTTTCATATTTGTTGTCAATTATCTACATCTAATGGGAAGAATCTTGCCTTTTTTCATATTTATTGTAAAACATCAATCCCAAGTCAATTTTTTCATTTGTTCACATTTAACAATTTATTTTAAAGCTTAAACTTTCTACAAATTATATCTAATTAGATTATTAGAAGAATCTTCATTGTTGTCCAAAACTATCACCTTCCTTTTTGATTTTCGGTTAGACTTCTTGTTATCCTTGAGTCCCTGTTTCCATGTAGCCAAGGTACCTTCTTGGAGTTCTTGGAGTAGAAGGCCACCATCATTTTGGTAGGGAAGTGAGGGGGTACCTGTAGCGGTACCTAGGTACCTGTTCAATTTTTCACAAAAATAGGTACCAAGTACCGCACCTGGCACCTCCCGACGGGTGCGGGGCGGGTGTGAAGGGTACCCCCCAAGCGGTACTAGGTACCTAGCAAAGGGTACCGCGGAACGATCTCTAAGAGTGAGTGAGCAAGTGGATGATTATCCGGTCCAATAAAATGATAGCTTAACAAATCCCCCCAAACAAAGGGTCTGAAGGACCCTGGGCGGAGCACTCTCCATAATCCATAGGAGAGGCTTATGAATTATGCTGGAAAGCTTGCATACAGGAGGGATTTTCAGGCCCAAACCTATGATACACTTTTCAAAAACAGAACATCACACTTTTACAAAATTTTGAACAGAAAGTATTGTTGGTTTTCTCAATGTACAATGTCTCCCAGTGTAATCCATTTTGGAGGTCAAATGGAGCATGAAGGATGATCCATATCTCTTACAATCCATTTTCAGATTTTCTGAAGGAGTTGCCAATGTTGTAAGTTCTTTGGAGAATTCAGTGGTTCATGGCAATGACAAGCAACAAATTTTGCCTGTATTATCTTCAAAGATGGTCCAAGGGCAGCCCCAGGATCCACAATGGAAGAATGGTGATCAATATTTGGTGGATATTTTTTCCAATAATTGCTTTAGAGGAGGAGTGGAAAGGATTAAGGGGATGAGACCAGAAACAAATGGAAGCTGGGATGTTTTTTTTTTTTTGGCTCTGAGGCAAGTCCACAGAGACTCAGGGAGAGGATCACTCAGGCTTATTATTTCCTCTCCAGCCATTTGTGTCTCCTGTCCCAGCAAGGGATTTCACTTTGTGTTTAATTCCCTCCCTGCGTTTGCACCCAGAGGGACTTGTTTTAACTTAGAATAAAAAGGAAGAAATCTTTTATATATAACCGGGCATTCTCTCTCTCCCCCCCCCCAAAAAAAAAAAAATACAAGACTCAATGCCACCAAGCAGTTTTTTTTTTTGAAAATAAGAGGGGGGGTTCAATGGTCCCCACCAAAAAAAGAAAGAAAAAAGTGACTCAAACAAACCTATCTAACCAGAAACTGATTTGTCATTATAAATGAATGCAAAAGTGAACTGAGGCTTGGGAGAGGATTGATGAGCCACCCTAGTTGTTCTTGTATTGGTAGAAAGCATTCAGAGAGGAGACATGTCTACAGAAGAAGGAAATTTTAAGTCCAATTGTGGTGTAGCTTTGAGAGCACACTTGGGTTCCCAATCTCATGTCAAGCGCATAGAGTAGTAGAAGGTTTGGGTCTTGTCTTTGACAATGCAGGGTTTGATCTGTGAGCCATCTGTTTTGCAGCTCAGCTCTCATCACATGCTGATCTCCATACATACCATACATAAATAGACAAAAAAAAACCCATGGACCATTGATGTATGTACTCCTTTGATTTTCTATGTATGGAGCTACAAACAAGTCACCAATTGATCTGCCTGTCTTTTGATTTTGTGGTTGCTTTTCAGTGAGGGAATGACAAAGATTGGAGGATCAGTTTAGAGCCTCTGTATTCGTGGCTAGTTCCCCACAAGTTAAGGACTTCAGTGGCCTAACTCAACCACACCTGGCTTAGCTAAGCTCAATCCAAAGTGGCTTTGAGCTTGAGGCTTGCTTGTGTAACTGGCTTCCTCCCGCAGGCCTCCCGCAGGGAGGGACTTGAATACTAAGATAGCAATTATAAAACATTTTCTTTGATTGTTTTGGATTTTTTTTTTATGTTTTTAAGGGCCTGTACCATATGAGATGAAAAGTCAATTTCTCAAAATTTATCTTGCTTAAAATTCCATGTCATCAAAAGTGACCAGAGCTAAAAGGTAGTCTTTGGTGTGAAAGTGAAGAATTTCAACACCAGATCTCTCCAATTGTTCCCACTTTTTGTGTAGAAGATGGAAAACATGCCCATTTTTCAAAATCCAACCCTATGGTACACGCCCTAAAATGTAATGATACAGCCAATTCCAGAAATTGATGTTACCAGGAGCTGGATTTTCCAAGGTCAAATCAAGAGATATTCAGGTTAAATATGAAAATCAATCCACAAACTTGTCCTAAAACAGTAAGGGCCTGTACCATAGCACCCATCCCATTTTTGATTTTTTCAGCAACCCAGAATGGCTTCAATGTAGGGTTGGCACCCAAACATCTGGCTTCTGTGCTGTGTGAAATTGGGGTGTGCATGATACATCATGTCTGGTGGGGTCAATTTCCAACTTGAAGATTGGCAATTGACCTTGAAATCCAGGTGGTGGTACAGGCCCTAAGTTGACTGCAAAAAATCCTGGTTGAGTTTGACTTTGCATATTTGGATTAGGCATATCTACCAGTTTTTCTTGAAGGAAAATCCACACCCAGTTCAACAACCTTTCTGGATGTATTCAAAAAAAAAAAAAAAAAAAAAAAAAAAAAAACATATCAATCAAGATGCAATTATGAACTTGCACAGCCAATTCATCACTTGTCTGCGTTTCATATCCAGTATCCAGGCCAAGGGTCAAAGAAAGTTTTTTTTTTAAAAAAAAAAGAAAGATTGGCACAGAAATTAAAATAAAAAAAAAGTGGAGAAAGAACAAAAGAAGAAGAACAAGGGTACAATGGCAAGATGCCTGGCTGATTTGAGCTTTGAGTGATAGACTAGAGTCTAGTCTATCACTCAAAGCTCAAACTAGAGATGGTCGAAGGGTATCCGTCGCAGATACCCGTTATCCGCTGGCGGATGATACCCGCCTGTGCCAACGGATACCCGCCAGCGGGTGCGGATGGCCCCTTTTCCGCAAATTGCTGGCGGGTATCCGGGTATCCCAAAGGATACCCGCGGCCGGGAGGGGAGATGGCCGGCTGGAAGGAAACCCTTCCAGCCGGTCCGTCGCCGGCCCTTTAGAGGGCGGGTATCCGAGGATACCCGCTCGGATACCCGCTGCGGCCGACAGATACCCGCTAGCGGGTGCGGGTGCGGATGCGGATGTGCAATTTCGCTGAAATTGCCATCAGATATCCGCATCCGAACGGGTATCCGGATGCGGACCGACCATCTCTATGATAGACTGATAGTGGATGTATATGTATTTATGGAAGTGCCTCTCTGGTGATTGCCCACATGACAGTCTCCACCAAGAGAGCCATAAGTTAGGTTCACTTTTAGCCCCAAGTCCAGCTACATACATAACCTCAATCCAACAACATTCATTATCCCAACAGATAGAACTTTTGCTTGTTAAGATGTGCATCTGTTGGTCCCTTCCATTTTCTGTACCCTTGTAATCTTGATCTTGTAGCCACAAAAGAAAACAGAGCAAAATGGCTTGTTTTTTCAATTTGCATGCGGGTTTTGACTCAAATTTGGCTTATGTAATACTTAAAAAAGTTGAAAATATTGCATTTTCAAGAAATTAAATAAGATACTTCCATCTTTAAAATTGAAATATCGAGTAGATAGAAATGTTAGGATAGTTGAGGCCATTATCCCAGCCCCAAAAAAAAGTCAACATTATGGCAGGTTGGAAAGAGGGTGTTCTACACCAAAGCAATTTCCTGATGTCACACCACAAACTCAAGATTTCTTGCAAGTCCCTCTGTGAATTACAGAGGCACCGCTGCTGTTTCAGTGCCTCTGCCGAATTCCGGATGTGGGACTTGCGTCAAGTTTGACAACAGTTACCTCAAAAGGAAGCACCCTGAGCCTCATCCCTGTGCCCTTCCTGCAAACATTACACCCCTCTATGTACCTTGTCCTGAACCCCCAGCACACACATACACACACACCTTACCCTCAAGCAACACTGCCACAGATACGATACACTGTGTGTATCATGGAGAATTCTGCAAAGCTGCATGGCCAAAAACCAAATTTGTTGAATCTCCTTGCAAATAAAAGCAGATTGGTCAGATAGTTTTTTTTTTATTGGGGCTCAGATACATAGTGATACATGGCAGATACGGGCAGATACCGTATCTGTGGCAGCGTTGCCTCAAGCCACAGCCCAGTGAGACTGGATGGTTGTCAGCTCAGACCATCTCCACCCCAAAGGGTCATTTGAGTTGTTAAATTTACAAACTCTGCAACTGCGGCGCGCCTATAGCAACCCGGTGAAACTTGATTTTCCACCGCAGGGTGATCAAGTAGGTGTGTTGTGTGTGAAAGGCCACCCAATAGGGGAGGAGGATCTGGATTTCACCAAGATTGCCCTGTGTAAGACCATCTCCACCCGGGGAGGTAAACTGCGGTTGTAAACCAAATTTACCTCCCCAAGCCCAAAATTCCCCTGCCACCGGGGGTGCTAAAGGGGAGGTAAATTTAGTTTTTCCCCCCTCGGGAGGTATAGCGTTGCTAGATGTGCAATCGCTATACCAACCCAAGTACCTCCCCAACCCAGCGGTTTCACAGGGTCATCCTGGTGAAATCCGGACTTCCCCCCCCACCGTGGGAGGGCCTTTCACAAACCAGGAGTGTGGATAGCACCCTGCGGTGGAAAATAATTTTTCCGCGGGTTGCTATCTGTCCGCCGCAGTCCCCGAATTGGTAAATTTACCAACTCAGATGACTCGGTGCGGTGGAGATTAAGGCATGGCCCCGGGGTTCGGGACGGGGTTCAAAGCCCATCCCAAGGGACGAACCCCGGGGCTCAGGGTTCAAACCCCGGAACCCCGGGGCTTGAATCACTACTTTGCATTTTTTTTGGTTGCCATGTCTCCTATCGGGTCTAAATCCATTCGGACTCGGCTGATCACTCAAACTACCCCATGGTGAAGCGTCAAAAAAGCGCGAAGACTCCAGACAAGGAGGTTATCGATCTGGACGAGATCGAAATCAATACTAGTCAGTCCCTTTCCGGATCGGTAAAGCGTAGCTGGGTCTGGACCCACTTCAAGGACAACCCAGGAACGAATGAAGCGATTTGTCAAGTCATCACCAAGTCGGGCGGAGTCTGCGGCAGGCCGATCAAGAAAGATAAGAGTGCAAGTACCAAATCCTTTCACACACATCTAGAAACCTTCCATCGACTATCCGATCCCAGTCTCGCCAAGAAAACCAAGACAAAACACATGGATATAAGCAAGTGGAGCAAAAGCGGCACTCTCCAGCCCCAGGTAAAGTATTTATTTTGTATTTATATGCTTTGAGAAGGACCATGTATTGATTAATGGTCATTCTCTTTGCTTGGGCTGTTTCATCCAGGTTGAACTGAATAGCAAAACACTCAGGTCGGCACTTGTCTACATGATCGCTGACTCCGATCTACCCTTCGCTTTTGTGGAAAGGAAATCGTTTCGCAATCTTGTGCGCCTCCTCAACCAAGACGCTGTGCCATTAATAAATACAACCAACCAAAAGTCCATCGCCACACATACAGCTCGTATGTACGATCAGTCTGAAAAAACAATTAGAAATAATTACATCAAAAAGCAGGTCTCGATCTCCTTCACTCAAGATGCCTGGACAGCCCCTAATGTTACTGCCTTCATGGCAGTAACAGCACACTTCATTGATGAAAACTTTCAGATGCAAGACCTCACCCTTGCAGTTCCACATGTGGAAGGTGAGTTGGTTATTTTTACTTTGGCCTCTCTTTTAACTAATCAGGTCTCTCTATTTTTGCTTTCCAGGTGTCCACAGTGGGCAGAAATTTGCCGAGCTTTTCTACGATGTTCTTGATAGATACTCGGCCATTGAACTACTCCATACGATAACCGCCGATAACGCCTCAGTCAACTTGAAAATGGCCCGCGAACTGGACCTCAAAATATCCCACTTCAAGAGCTCGAGTCAAATCCTAGGATGTGTAGCTCATGTCATCAATCTAGCGGCCAAAATTGGGATCGGAGCCCTCGGATCGGTGGACTATGAAGAAGACGGTCACGAGATATCGATGTCGAATCATGATGCAGACCCCCAACGATTTGAATCCAATAATCCAATGAACATTGGCTCGCTTATCTCACCTCCCGATGGAGCCGGCATCAACACTCAGACGATTCTCAAGCGGATCCATGGCCTTTGTACATGGGTTCGTTTCTCACCTCAACGCCGCGAGAAATTCACTGTTGATGTCAATTACTGTCAACCAGAAATGTCAGCTAGAAAAATTCAAGGTCTTGAGATCGATGTTCCAACTCGTTGGAACTCGACTTATTCAATGTTGCAGCGCGCAATCTCCCTTGAAAAGACGTGTACTCACTTCTGCAAACAGAATGCGGAAGCTGCCAAGTTCCTTCTATCACCAGCCGAATGGGATCAAGCAAGAAATCTCACACAGCTTCTTGAACCCCTCCACGATGCCACCGTAATCCTATCTGGCTCACATTACCCCACATTGAACAAGGCCCTCCCAGTCTATATTGTCTTACTCAAACATCTCGACTCCGTTCGCCGAGGGCTTTACGACCAATCTCAGCTGATTCAGCCAGCCCTCCAGATGATTGAGAAGTTTGACCAGTATATCCGCGACGCCCTCAAGAAACCAAGCTATATCTGCGCAATGATCCTTGACCCCAAATTCAAGATCTCTTTCTGGAAGAATCATCAAGATTTCATCCTTGATCACTACCAGGTATCTGTCGAAGAAATCAAGGAAATTTTTTCAAAAGAAGCACTCGACTTTGAGGAAAGGTTTTTGAAGGATAAACCTCCTGCCTCCGGGGATTCAATGCCAAATCAATCAAACACAAAAGGCCTTTTTGCCTCATCCTTGTATCAGCCTGCTCCGAATATTCAAGGAATTCATTCGGAAATTCGACACTACCTGAATGAAGATGTTGAAACTGAGGAAGTTGAAACACTTCCTTATTGGGCATCTCGACAGAAATCATTCCCCAAACTCTCATTGATGGCTCGACGTTTCCTCTCCATCCCAGCAACCAGTGCATCATCGGAGCGAGTCTTTTCTACAGGTCGTCGAATCGTCTCGTGGCAGCGATCTTCTCTCAAGCCGACCACAATTGAGGGGCTGTTGTGTCTCAAAGACTGGTTCCACGCCTTTGACGGGCCATTTTAAAATAGTTTCTTTCATTTTTTTTTATTCTCATGATTTTCACACAAAAAAAATACATATTTATACATAAAGTATCAGAAAATATCTTGTAATACTGAATACAAGATCAAGGCCAGCACTAATTGGAAATATAACTTTTTGCTCTATAATGTATCAAAACCCCGGGGTTCCGGGGTTTGGCACAACCTCATCCCGAGTCCTGAACCCCGGGGTTTGGATTCGGGCAAAACCCTGAACCCCGTGTGTCGGGGTCATGCCTTAGTGGAGATGGTCTAACTGTTGGGTTGGGGAGGCACTTGGGTTGGTATAGCAATTGCACATCTGGCAATGCTATACCACCCAAGGGGGGGGGGGGGGGGGGGGGGAACAAATTTTACCCCCCCCCCCCCTTTAGCACCCCCGGTGGCAGGGGTTTTTTGAGCTTGGGGGGGGGGTAAATTTGGTTTACCACCGCAGTTTACCTCCCCAGGTGGAGATGGTCTTAGCAATAGCTGAAAGTTAAAATAGCTTAACCAGTATACATGCTCTTTGACATCAGTGATCTCAAACTAGACTTTAAAAAATCATGGGGGGGGACTGGATTGCTTATATAGTATGGAGAAAGAAGCCAGTGTGTGACAAAACAATCAAGTAATATAAGCTTAAACTGCCTCAAGAATCACTGATCTTCTTACCCCTACTAGTACTGATAACTATCAACATCAAAGAAGAGAGATATATGTATATTATTAGGATTATGATTAAATTATTGATTTATGTAGATTATCATTGTCCTTTACAAAAAAAACCTTGCAGCTATTCTTCTTCACCCACCCACTAACTTTTACACACACACACTCACACCCCAAAAAAAAAAAAAAAGAAGAAGAATTAGAAAAACAAAAAACCCAGTTTTGTTTTTCTGTATTGATTAGTTGGTGAGTTAATTAAACTCGAATGATAAGGACCAAGTAGATCTGAACAGGGAAAGTTAAAACCAAGATCACGACTGATTCTTAACCAATTCCAAATAACTCCCCTACAAAAGAAAAACCCATCACTAATTAGTTTCCTTGCGTTTTTGGAAGCCAAATTCAGAGAGAGAGAGAGAGAGAGAGAGAGAGAGAAAGCGTACGATAGTGACGACATCGTCGAGTTGATTATCGATGAGCAATTTGCGCAAGAGGAGACGATCAGCCTGGGGCAAGATATCGACGAGTTTATCGAGTTTGAGGTCGATGAGTGAGTTGAGATTCCTATCGGTCGACGTTGTCGAAGTGACTGGTGGAGACAATGTCTTTGAAGAGGAATGAGGATCGGAATCGGAAGGAAGCGTATGGAACGGGTTAGAGAACAAGTAATGAGGCTCCGAAGCAAGCTGAGAAGGTCGTCGGTGCGGGGTGATCGGGGCCGGGTCGACGGTAGTCGTGCCGATAGAAGCGGAGGATTGATGATGCTGTTGATAAGCAAGTCTGTTGTTGAGATGAGTAGGCAGGGTATTGAGGTTAGGAGGGGGATGTCGATTGGAGGCGGCGGATCCATAGGCAAAGGACATCCGGAGCTGGTTGCGGGAGGAAGCGGGCGAGAGGGGAGGAAGAGGCTCCAGTTCTGGGGAATGACGCGCCTGACCGCCGACAGCAACCTCATGAGCCTTGGCAAAGAAGGACTTCAATTCGGCCGCGGGACTCTTGGTGAATGGACCACTATGTTCGGGACGAGGCCCGCGAGGGGCGCCGGACGGACCAGCAATTAATGGAGCAGAGATAACCAGATTGCTCTTCGAGGGCGACGAGGTGGCACTGGCGCTATGATTGCGTCTCTTGGTACTGTTGTGTCGTGTGATCTGACTGAAGAATCGCCCCCCGGCACCACCACCGCCGCCGCTCTTGGAGTTATTCTCGAGAAGCGAACGCGACCCTCCAGCCATTCTGCTGCTCGTCGGCCCCCCGTTGGTATGATTACTACTGCTACTGTTATTATTGTTGGAATTCTCCACTGGGGCTTGATGGATTCCAAGGTGTTGGCCAACCGAGTGCGGGTAGAGGCTCGGATAGGGGAGGTTGTTGACTTCCATCAGCGAGTTGACAATCATCCCGTTCGACCGAGGAGCCGCTGGATCCGGATGGCCGATCTCCATCAGTTGATTATCGCTCCCCCTCCTGATCTGGATCGCCTTCTGCGAGTTTCCAGCCCGCAATGGAAACGAGGCGACACTGCTCATCGAGGTATCGCGCATCTGAGCTAGACCAGCGGCTGATTGCTGAGAATTGCCCGACGGTTGGTGCTGGAGGTGCGGTGGAAGCGAGGAGAGAGGGGGTTGATGATGGCTCATCAATGGAGAGTAACCTGGCTTACGAGCCTGGGTATGCGTGGAAGAAGAACCAGCTGGTAATAAGCTGTTCTGCGACTCGCCACAAGTCTTGAGCCAGACCCAAAGATCCAATCCCATGGGTGCAGAGTAGAGTTGCTGGAGCTTGGCTTCGTAGATCTGACAACGGTCTGCAGTCGCCTTGACCTTCTTGAGGTCTTTGGTATTGATGGTCGGGACACGGTCGAACCAAGCTCCGATAGGTTTGATCGGCCGACTGGATTTGTTGGCGTTGTTGATGTTGTTGTGACGCTGTAGAGTTTGTTGCAGGTTTTGTTGTCTTTGAGACAGAATATTCATTTTTTTCGACAGCTCGGTGGATCCATTGGTAGACCTGAAGTGATCATCCAAGGTCTTGATGCATTTTTCGCGGGAAGTAGGAGCCGTGATCCGATTTGGCTTGTTTTCAGTTGTGGGAATCGAGTGCTTTTTCTTTGGGGGTGAGCTGGATGGGTGTTGTGCTTCAAGCCACTGCCATTGCTCAAGGAAGTTCATGTCTGAGGATGATCTTTTGACGACTGGAGAGCGAGCCGTGAGTGGTTTTCCGTTTGGACTTGCACTTTTCGGAAGTCGGTTCTGGTCCTCCTCAACCAACTTCTTGGCAGATGAATTCACGATTTTCTGAGAGTTACTCTTGAGGAGTGGGTTTGAGGTATTCAAGTCCTCGGTGGAGATGATTGCTGAAGGAGTCAATGGCAAAGCAGATTCTGAGCGATCAGATGAGGTTGATTGGTGCGTCTCCCGGAGCGCGTCCTGCTTACGAGCAGCAACCAAGTCTTGAAGTTTTGTGCCAATGATAAACGGGTTGCGTCTTTGAGATGGCGAGCGACGGAAGAGCTGGACGTTAGAATCCTCAAGCGCTGATGACGATAAGACTTCTTCCGAGGAAGCTGATTGAGCTGCAGCCGAAATTGCGCTTTCAGCATATTCCTTGGTGAGTGGTTGCTCGAGTTTTGAATGCGTTTGAGGTAGTGTGTCGTTCTGAGATTTTGATAAAGCAGTCAAGTCATAGGCTGAGTACTCCTTCAGTCCCTCATTCACGGCGCAAGAGCTTGAGTCCGTCAGGTTGTAGACCCGTCTACGCTGGCGCTCACCTGTCAACAAAACAAGGGAAAATGTGGTGTCAATCACGAGGGGTTATTTATTTACGTTTCTGACAGACGAAGAAGAAAAAAAAAACACAACCACACTCACTTTTAGCAGCCTGAGAATCGTCGGTCGGATCAGCACTGTAATCCGAGAGACTTGAGGCAGTGATAGGTTCACTCAAGTCTTCTGTAGACTGTTCGCCGGGTTGAATTCCTTCGGGTGTATGGAGTGTCCTCTCTTTGTCAACGCCCAATGACTCCAAGCCATTGACGAGCGGAGAGTAGGACCTGACGTGGGTTAGTGGTGGTTGGGATTCTGGGGAGACCTGATCCTCAGTATTGCCGAAGGTCGTCTGAGCCGAATCAATCGCCTCGCCGAGCATCCAGTTTAGTTCATCAATCACTCCGCTCTTCCGTACCGATAGTCCATTAGCGTCATCCCCTTGAGTAAACGAATCCTGTCCTCCAGAGTTGTTGCCTGAATCCTGTGGAGAGTCTTGCGCCTCAAAGTTCTCGTTGAGTGAACAGCCCGAGTGTCGGTACTTTCCATAGAGGGACGAGATCTCGTTATCAGACGGGCAGGACGATGTCTCGCTGGTAATTTGGCGTTGTCGAGGAGACAATCTGTTTTCGCTCTCGAACGACGGGGCTGACGATTGATGAGAGTTACTAGGAGAGAACATCATCCAAAAAAGGTTAGCCATCTGTCGCCCTTCGAATTAGATAGATGGTTAAATATATGTAACACGATGAATGGCTAAAGAAAAAAGAAAAAAAAGGCAACTAGAAGATGATTGAAGGGACAATGGGCTCTCTCAGCATCACTATGGGGTAAGGATCTTCCTTCCTTTTAACTGAGTATACTATTAGGAGGAAGATCAGCAGGGAAGGGGATATGAAATGTGGGTGGATCTCGATTCAGGTACTTGGATGGGTTGGGATCAAAAGGATACAATGAGAATGGGAATCACGTTATAGCGCCTGTAGCTTTTGGGATCCACGGTGGTTACCAAGAGGCGATTTAGATAAATAGATATGTGTACCTAATGAGGATGATCGGTCAGTTGGTTACCCTTGAAAGTGCGTCTTTCTTTCCTTCTTTGTATATACATTCGCGTAACTGACGGATGAGACGATGGGGAAATTCAAGTGACTCATGAGGATGTGATGGATTCTTTTTTTAGGTTTCTTCTTCTTCTTCTTCTTCTTCTTCTTCTTCTTCTTCTGATGCTTGTTTGTTTTGTTCGACAGACAGGCAGACAGACAAAGGCAGACAGAGACAGACAGACAGAGCCATATCGAGAAGAAGAAGAAAGAAAAAAAAAAAAAAAGAGAAAAAGGATTGGGCGGTGGATGAAGATGAAAAGGGGAGATGGACGGATAGGAAAACAAGAGAATAAAGGCAGGGATAGGAATCCAAAGAAGGTATGAAACGAGAAAGAAAGAAAACAAGAAAGAAGACATACCGATTAGAACGGTTAGCTCCTCCTAGTAGGGGGAGTAGTTGGGAGTAGCTCGGTTGGTTGGATGATGATGATGATGATGGTTGCTGCATGTCTGAGCTGATTTGGATTGGCGGTGGTTGCTCGTTGGGGGATGAGGATAGGCTAGCTGGATGATGGGGATGATGATCTCTTGAGTTGATGAGGGTGGTGGCCAGGCTTGTTGGCGATGATAAGAGCTGGCGAGATCGTGGTGGGGTTGAGGGCATGCTGAGATTGGGCTGTTGACTACTAGTGCTGCTAGTGGGTTGTAGTAAATAGATAAGAAAGGCTCAGTCTGATTGTTGCTTCATCCATTGTTTTTTTTTTATTCAGGAGAAGCTTTTGGTCATCATCAAGTTGACTTCTTGAAAGACCAGTTTAAATACATATTTAAAGCATCCAAAAGGAACGGAGAGTTTCATATTCATCATAAAGTAATGTGTTGAGTGTGAATATGTAGTCGGGATGAAATTCTACTGACTTGGCAAGAAGAAGAGTCAGAAGTGGTTCTGGAGAGGGTTGTACTTCTTGAGGATCACTTGAAGCCTGGCCGAGAATGAGTAGTTGATGGTCTGATGATCGATAAACCACTGCATCCTCCTCCTCCTCCTCCTCGGAGTCTTCTTGGAGATGTTCGAGTACTTTTTCTTTTTCTTCTTCTTCTTCGAGCTGGTGGTCATGGTTGTTTATATCATCATCACTTGTGAGTGTTACTGTTCGGAGCATCTTTCTTGAAGGAGTGGTGTGGAGGATGGTGAAGTCGAGGATGGTCCGTCAGTGGTTAGATGTAATGTAAGTTAAGTTGTTTTTTTTAAGACCATCGAATCATTCTTCGCCTTCAAAGCAGCCACCCAACCAAAAACTGTTGTAGTAAGAGGGACATTTGATTGTGGGATTCGGGACTGACTTGCGATTCGAATCAAGCTGTTGCAGTTTTATGCATGCAAACTCATCCAATTTATGTATGTACATACTACCGACATCATCACGCTATCAAGTCGACGCTATTTGTCAATGGGGTTGTGGTTGTATGTAGCTTGAAGATGATGAAGATGGGAATAGAGTTGTGTACACACTCTGGGTGGTGAGCTGATGATGAGGTGACCCAAGCTAGCCACTGCTTGAATTGAAAGTTGAAGTTTGATTGTATGTACATATGTACAACAACAACAACACTTGTACAACCCACACAACTGTCAACATGATGATGATGATGATGATGGACAAGACGGAAGGAAGGAGTACAGATAAAAGTGGATAGGAGACTCATATGTACCATAGTTTGACAAAGAGGGACTCTGAGAAGAAGATTCTTTCCATCCTGCCACTGCCACAGCCTCAACTTGCAAACATCTGAACTCAAAGAAAAACAAAGAGATCTGTAAAGGGCATTTCTCAAATCCTGTTCACCACCGGACCTGGATTCAAGACCCTGGAAAAGCCCACCTAGTGTTGATGGCATTGGTGAACGGCCTGTCTTTTACCCTGTTTTTCTCACTCGATTGGCTTTTACTTGTTGCATCTTTCTTATCAGCCCCCTACTTAGTGAGCCCCCATGAGAAAAATAAACTGGAGCCAAAACAACACTCTACATCATGCAAGATGATAGAAAACCAGTCAACAAGGGCATGGGGTGATCCCGCTATGCACATTTAGGTCCAATGATAACAAATGTCACATTTTTTGCAATTTAGCTTGTATCGGTCAAAAATCTTGGAGGAGGTGGGGGGGGGGTCCATTACAACATTGCTTGATGGGCCTATAGGCTTAAAAAGAAGATACAATCACAAGAGTAATGATGATAAGAGAGAAATTTTATATTACTGAATGTTTACAACAAACTCATCCAATGAAATTGAGGATGATCGGGGAGTGGGAGTCTCATTGAATCAACTCGAGCCAGGTTGTTAAGCTTGTTCGTTTACAAATAATCCCGCCATTCCCATCCCAGTTCCAATGCACATGGATGTAACAAAGATGTTTGCTCGCGATCTTTTGGCCTCGGCAAAGCCAGTCGCTACTTGTCTGGCTCCGGTGGCCCCTAAGGGGTGTCCGAAGGCTATGGCACCACCGACGGGATTGACCCTCTCAAACGGAATTCCTAATTCCTTGATCGAGTAAACCGCTTGAGACGCAAATGCTTCCTGTGAAATGAACAAAATCATCAGTACGTTTCGGCTGATTGAGACAAAACTGAAGGACTGGCAGAACGTACATTGATTTCATAAAAGTCAACCTCTTCCTTGCGAATCCCGCACTTTTCTAGGAGCTTCTTAACCGCGTAAAGGGGGCCGATCCCCATGATGCGTGGTGGGACACCCACAACGGCAGAAGTATAAAACTTTCCTAAGATTGGCAAGCCAAGCTTTTTGGCTAACGAGCGCCTTACTAGCAACACAGCGGCTGCACCGTCAGAGACCTGAGACGCGTTGCCGGCATGGGTGGACCCGGTTTTGCTGAAGACCGGTTTGAGTTGGGATAAGGATTCGACGGTTACACCAGCACTATTATTACAGATACCGAGGAAAAAGTCAGGTTTGATTGATCATTTGATCAAATAATATCTTTGCAGAGAGGCTGCGATCAAACTGATCACTCACCGGATACCGTCATCTTCAGAGACCAGGATTTCCTTTTGGTCGCCAGTTTTAGGGTCAGACCAGGAGGCCTTGACCGGGATAGTTTCTTCTTTGAATTTTCCGGCCCGTTGAGCAGCGAGAGCCTTAGCAAACGAGTTTGCAGCGAATTCGTCTTGCTCTTTCCTGGTAATACCAAATTGACTTGCCACGTTCTCACTAGTGATTCCCATAGCTAATGAATTCAAGCCGAAGTCAGTAGTCACAAATCATATCGAATGTAAGGATCGAAAGATCGGACTGACGTAGCAAGCAATCAGCAGCTTCGGGAACAGAAGTGACCGCGTCTGACATCTTTTCAGGCATGGCACCAGCACCGAATCCCATCGTCATACATTCAACACCAGCGGCAATGCCCATGTCGATTTGACCAGTGGCAATCTCATTTGCGATCTGGGTTATGGCTGCGAGGCCACTGGAACATTGACGGTTGAGTGTGTTCAATGCGGTGGAATTCTGATGTGACAGGGAACATAAAATAATCGGTGTTGAGAACTCTTGATACTTGTGAGGAGAGTAAGGTGATGTAGCTTACTGGATAGCCTGCATGGAGGACTGCCATTCTCGAGACGGTGGCAGCACCGCCTGGGGCTAACACGTTCCCGACGGCAACATTTTCGACTAAGCTCTTGTCGGAAAGATGAGCTTTGTCAGCAACACCAGAGAGGACTGCACTGAGAAGGTCTTCAAGACACATGTCCTTAAAGCCACCCTTCTTTGCACGTGCTAGATAGGTAACAATGTAACATCGATCAGCCAAGAGCTTGATGATCGAACGAATCCACGGGTAAGCTTACTGATCGGGGTTCTGACTGAACAAATCGCGAGATACGACGAACAAAGAAGTCAGTACCTCTTCTTCGGTTGGTAGCTAATCGAAGGGTAAATTAGATAGAGTGACGTACCTGCAGCACAAATGACAGTGTCATCATCATGCTTCATTAAGATTGCCACCTTGCCCACTTTCGAGCCAATGGTTGCGCCGACTTGACGTACGGATTGCATTTTAGATGAGTTGAGGAGGTTCTTTTAGTGTAGATGGATTGTTGGTAGGTGAGACAGGAAGGATAGAGACCGAAGGAGATAGGTTGAGGTTGAGGTTGAGGTTGAGGTTGAGGCTCAGATCGGAAATCTAGGTGATGGAGGTCGAGGCAGCTGATGACTGCTGGCCTGTGACGTCACACGTTTTGACATGTGCCCCTGGCAAGTGTATTTCACGTGACAGGTTCAGTTCGGATACCAGTCCCGTCCGAAAACATCCCGCCGGATCCCGCCGCAAATTGACACAGCCAAAAAGATTCACTCATCAGTATGGAGTCTGAGCTGTCTGAGTGGTGTTTATCTCTTCTCTTTCAACCTAATAGCTGAGTACAGAGATCAATGTCCACTAGGAAAGGAAGGCTTAATTCTGGTGCGAATTCCAGAAGAGGCCCCCAGAAGTAGTATTTTGATTTCTAGGGCAGCTCATTCAGTTCTCCAAAACTTGACCTGCCCCAGTACCTTCCCTGATACCCACTTACTTCCAAATGATTCAAACCTCCCCAATTCTGAATTAATTTCTCCTATCTGGAGTGGGATCCTTTACTAAATATACTTTTCTGATGATCCACTCACTTCCAACAGCCCATCTTATATAACAACAATCAAGATTCTTCATTCACCAATGCAAACCCCACCAGCTTTCAACTATTCCTCCCCTTCTTTGAGGACAGGTAATTGTACACCATCATGGTGCAGCCTATACCAAATACAGTCCATGGGGACTTGGCTCACACATTTTGTCTGGACAAACTTAACCAATGGCACCTCCACATTTCTATTATTGCAGACACCCATGTCTATTGAAGGAAATCTCATTTCTGCCTATTTCTCCAGGAATATTTTAGTCTTAGACTTCTTCCCTAGCATCCTTCCCATGTGGCATGATTTATACTCAACTTCTTCAATCTGTTCACCTTATCCACATCTGAATGTGTCATCAACAAAAGCTTTTTCTAAATTTTATCTCTCAATAGAGGATTGGTCAACCTAGTCTTCAGTCAAACTCTGTTGTGTTTCTTAGACAAAAAATGAATGGATTGGACTCTAGACATAGAGGTACATTAATTAAGATTGAGGGTTTGATTGCTTAATGTGGGGGACATACTTGAGGCAAATGTGCAAATTGAGCTAAATCTTAGATTGGATTGGACTTTTTTATGCAACTCCTCCTTTGGTGTATCCATTTACTCAGGTCAGCTCAAGTTGCTCCAAGATTTTTTTTTATCAAAATCAGAAATAAAAATGATGATTTCAAGAATTGTGAGACAAGTTGGCCTTGGTGATAGGTACTCTTGCGAAACTGAGAATTGTCTACTGGAGACTTCTGAGGCGAAATTTCTCGTATGTTTTGGTGAATGAGTCTTCTATGGTGCGTCTGGTGTTACTATCTAGGTCTGTTACGGAAATGGATCAAGATGGATTAATGAGGAAAGCGTGGGAGTGGTTGAATGTTTGAGAAGAAGGAACGTACTCTTGAAAGACTTGTTCAGCTGTGACCAGGGTCCTTTCTCAAGGGGATATCGAGTCAGATCGTGGTTCCTCCAGAACATGTCCACGTAATTGGGAACTATTGCTGCCATTTCCTCCTCCTGGAAAAAGCTTTGCAATTTCTTATGATCGATGAACTCATTCTCGGATAATGAATCGACCAATCCGAAACCATAGCTGTAAATCAGGAAGAGATCCCAATCACCACGGGGTTCATCCGACAGTTCGTCCGCTAGACCGTATGCTGTTAAGGATATCAGCTTCTTGGCTTTATTCAAGATCGCAGTGCCAGCTCCTTCTACTGCTTTTTTCTCTGCTGCCAATCGAGAACTTTGATCAAGCAACTCTTGGTGCGGCTGGAATTCTGGAAGTAATGATTTGATCAGTCCCCAATATTGATCGCCCGAATCGTCTTGTGCTAGCCTCAACAGGCTCATTTTGGTTAAAATCTTGATTTTCTCTTGACATTCCGGTAGAAGGTCGCTGGCCATGTAGGTGTATGGAACATCAATGTCGTCTTCATAGCTCTTTATACGATCCAAAGTGGAAACGATGGCGTTTCGATTAAATGATAGTTCCTTCCAGTCTTTGTAAAGCGCCATGACTTTATCTAAACAAATACCATCACCAACTCAGCAATCGCACGAGCCTAAAGAAAAACGAAAGACCAACCTAAATCTGTTACCCAACTTCTTATGGCCTTTAAACCTACACGGAGGAGCATGATCAATCATCAAAGAAGTTCGGGGGAGGATCAACGATCAACTAACGCATTTCGGGTGACCAATATGCGTCTTCAGTCAGCATTTCCGCTAGGTCCCGAAACACATTCGTAACCTCGGATAAGCGGGGGTAATTCCAAAATAGTTTATCTTGGCTTGCATAACCATTGTAGGTAAAAATACAATGAGCTTGGTTGATGTATTTTTATTCAAGGGACGTAAGTGAATAGATCCAACCTGTCCCGGAATCTTGCAGCCCTCCGAGGGAAGCCAAGCAGTAGCGATTCTGCAAATACAAAAAAAAAAAGAAAAACTGCAAGTTGATGAACGAAGATCTCCAGGGGCTCAATGCTCAAGAGGAAAATAAGACTGAAACCTTACCCTCAAAAGACTTCGGATAGCCCATCGGTCTATCTGAGTATGGTTCTTCAATGATTCCTCTGATTCTATAGTGCAAGACTGTTATCATAACATTTTAGAAAGGGAAGAAAATGGATCGGCAAAAGTGGTCCACATTTGAGAAGCTGAGAATGAAACTTACTCTTCCAAAGTCTGCCCGGCACGAACCGTGTGGTGGCTTCAAGTTCAAGGGCAGAGGTACGCTTCCAGATCAAATTGATATAGGATGTTATCACGAGCTTTCTCAATTCTTCATCCCGTGAGAGGCTTTCTACTCTTCTCCTATCGACGAAACCACTGTCAGATAATAGGTCCACTGCTTTGAAAGCATATCTCCAAGTATTGATCCAGTCACTCCCATCATCGCCTGACTTCAAAATCTCGACTTCAAGATTATGTTCGGTAAGCAGTCTCTTCACATCATCTAAAACCGTATTGCCAACATCTCTGAGTTGTTGCTCTGTTCTTAATCGGAATTTTGTATCAGAGAGGTCTGTGGGAAGCTGGAGCTCGGGCAATAATGATTGGACTGTTTTCCAGTATGAACTATCGGAATCGTATTCGCCTAGTTTCAAAAGTCTCAACTTGGTGAAACTCTTGATTTTCTTCTGGATTTCTGTAAGGAGGTTGCTGGCCTCTTGTAGGCTATGTACCACACTTGGAATCTGGTCCGCTGCCGCATTGCCTTTGATTAATTCGAAGATTTTTGATTTATCGATGTGGGATTCACAGGTGGACAGCGCCGTCAGATTCCTTTGAATTGCCATGACTCGCACTAAAAATCTTAACCACCCAGCACTGTACACATCGCATGAAACCAGAAGCAAGTGAAAAACTAACCTTTATTTTTCCTCCAATTTTCGGTTATCTTTGAAACTAAAAAAAAACAATAACATTATGTATCACTCATCGACCGACTTAAGATGATTGTGTCACTTGAGGGTTAACTGACTGATAGCGGGAATAAGGATCGTTTTGTCGCTCAATTCCTCGGTTAACCTTCCGAAAGCGCGGTCCACTGGATCAGGGCTCGAAATCTCGTGATTGCTTGTATGCTCAACCCTTGTCACCTTCGCTGGAGGTACATCAGTCTTCTCCAGGTGGTCTTCGGGGTCAAAGATTGGTCTTTTTTCAGGTCCGAGGATTGCTTGTTTTTGAGTCTCATGCGTCAGATGCTCTTCGGAATCAGTTCGCAGGCGTTTTGTTGGAAGCGAACGTCCCAGCCCGTCAGAAGTGCTTGCATCCTCTTGAGCGGAGGCACCCACTGGGGGAATTTTCCCGTTCCGGTTGTGCGAAGATTGTGAGGAAAGGATGCCATGAAATGGATCAGCTGAAGAAGCCTAAAAACTGAGTTGTGATGCGATAAGACACGATACACACGATTCAGCGATTCGTGAGCTCTCTCCAGTCCACTTGGTTCATCGATGACTCCACCACAAAAAGCTGAACTGAACCACAAGCTAATAAGAAACAACCTGGGAAGCATCATCAACATCTTTGAATGTTGGGGAGGATGGTCCTTGATTGAGGAAACCACTCGGCTTGTTTTATGTAGCAATTAGGAGTCAGGCCCTCATGCACACAAGACATGTTCAACTTGGTGAGTTTGAAACCTGTTCAAAGAGAAGTATGTATGTCTTCAAGTGATAATGATCTTGAGACGATTGGTCTGATTCGCAAATGTTCCAAAGGGACTATACTTTAACCCCGGATGGATTCCAGCCGGCCCCAACATCAGAAATGGCCAAAACCTGATTCCTCATCGTCAAGCTACAATCAAAAAATACCCTGAAGAGAATGAGTTTCATTACCTGGAGGCTCAGTCACAACGCAAGGCGACTTGACCTGCAAGTCATTGTCTGTCCAACAGGGCAAGTTTCTCTCGCTAGTGTGCCTTATCCAGTGTGATGGCTCTCACCAGAATGTCTGACTTGTGTTACACAACTAGAATTCTATCGCAAGTTGCGATCTGCAACCGTGTCTCCCAATTCTTGAAATCAAATATGTAACATGTTTTTGTTGGTGTTTAGAATGGCACATATGGTCTAAAAGATTCTCATTGTCTATATGATACGCGAGCTTACACGTTGCCTAACTCCAAATCAAAGGGAAATACGGAAGAGCAATGGATCTTATAGTGTTCTTAATGAGACCGGAAAAATAATTTGAGCGATGTGCGATTCCTACATATTCCAGGGAAAGATCACCTCGACAGAACGGAGGCGTCCGATCCCCAAAGGCCCAAGGATCGTACTAAAGGGCTCCGTTGGTTGGGTAAACATCGAAGCAATCTTTTGGCTCCGGGACTTGACCCTAGAGTTCAGTGAAAGAAAGCATTTTAGTATAACCCCACCATTGGAAAAGCTCAATCGAAGAAAGAAAGATTGAACGATCTTGGTATGTAAATGGTTTGCACATACATTGGGAAGAGTGATGCAGCACGTAGTCTTCTCGTCTGCTTTGCAGCCAGTCTGAGGTTTCAGGCTGTAGTCTGATAACAACCAGAGGCAGGAAATTTTCAAAAAAAAAAGCGAAAAGAATGAAATCAGCTCAGAGTGTACCGACTGAAACGGTCACGTGACCTAGATGACCCTCATGGATCAAGATGCTTCCGTGACTTACGACCATTTTTATCCTTGCAGTTCATGTTAGGAGCCGGGGTACCATTAATAAGCTTCTTGTCGACACAGCTGAGAGCATTCTTAGGGCCCGGGGGAATGTAGCTATTGAGCGGTACACATAAGGTGATCAATCGTGAGCGCTCGAAGAAATGGACGGAAATTCAATTCTGGGTGTTTGACTCACGGGAGATCCTTGCAGTTCTTATTGCTCATTTCTTTGTTCTAAGGGCAAAAGCAGGATTGGGTTAATCAGGTGGAATGGATAATGCTTCAGCTTATCTGGAGAAGTAAGTGAGTGATCTTGAAGATCTTACCGGTACACAACACGTCATTGTTTCACCCGACTTGCAGTCTAGCTCCGACTCTGGGAGGGCAGTGTCTGATCGCGACCGAAATCAAAAGGTTTCCACAAAAAAAGGAAGGGGAGAACCGATGATGAAATTTCAGTCAAAGTGGTAAAACATGGATTTTTTTTGAAGTGACTGGATGGCTTGGATTTGATGGAAAGATTGGTCCAACAAGAACTACATAGCTTCCTCATACTTACAAGTTTTGTGATCAGGAGTACAGGCCCAAACACTTGCGACTTGATCCCCGACCTTTTCCCATGCACAATCGACAGCCAATTTCGCGGACGCGATGCTGGTGCTAATGAGTGCAAAGCTGAGCATAAGGACTCCGAAGAATCGTGGAGAATTCATGATGATTTTGATTGAAGTTTAAGTTATAGAAATAATATAATAGTGATTACTCGCAGAGATAACCCTTGGATTGTTGTACTGAGTTTGAGTGGGTAAAAGGATGGTCAAAATTTCCAATGACGATCGAATGGATTAAATAGTCTTCAGTCGAGCAAAAGAAGAACAACAAGGCTGCTGGGATCCATATGTATCCACACGGTACAGAGCACTCAGCCGGTGGATTGCAGTGTGATTTGTGATGTTGTATCAAGATGACTCTTACACCTAATATTGTCATATTTGAATGTATCCATCTCAACGCGAGTGGCTTCACAAGTTGCAAGAAACCGAAACCACCGAGAGGCCACATGCAGAGCAGGGTTTACATACGGGGTGTGTATCTCAAAGAATTTTCCATGGACGCCAGTGGCACATAGCGCCTAGATGGTTCGGCAGAGGTGGCCAGCTAGCTCAAGCCTCAACGCCTTCGCTCGTTTATTTATGTACACTGGAAGGATACAGCTTCGACCATGGGGGAAGGGAGGGTCTGGTCCTCTTCAGCGATCATCTCACGAGTCGAGTCAGGTCCGACTCCCACGTGGGCGGCTGAGGACGAGCGGCTTGTGGCGAAGCCAATCTTCTGAGGCAGAGAGCCAGCGGGGCTCCTTTGGGGAAGATGATCAGAGTCTCTTAAAGCAGTCTCTGCTATGGTTGGCAGAATGCAATTTCTGTTGACTGTTGGCACGAGCACTTTGGCCAAACAAGCGATCCCAAGCCCGAGCCCTGTAATCTTCGTTGTACATTGTTGTTATTATTTTTTTGAGAAAAGGTTGGGTGGTAATTATTAAACAGAATGATAATATGTCACACAGCCGTGGGAGAAAGAAGGAAGGACCCGACCGTCCACACACCGACAAATGCCAAATTTTTCCCAACGGTAAAAGTTGAGTGTCGAACCATCATCACTTCGCAAAATGAAAAGAACAAAAAAGGGGGGGGGGCAAGATCCAATAACAGATATGAGGAGAAAAAAAATCCATTAAATTAAGAAATTGTATATTCTTTGTAATATATTACAGTGATTGTTTATCTTTTTTTTCATGGGCCCATAGCACATAGAGGAAAAAAAGAATAGAAAGAGGAAAGGAAATGGAAGGAGAAAAGAAGCAAGACGAGACTTGACCCAGATCAAATCCAAATCAATACAAAAAAAAAAGTGAGAGTGAGAGAGAGAGAGAGTAAAAATGGGTATACTTATAAGAATGTGTTTCAAGATCGGGTTGCGAGGACGAATCGATCGACAGACACACGATAACATCAAAAGAAGAAGAGAGAAGATAAAAAGGGCGATTTCCGAGTGTTCGACTGACTAGACAAGAATAGAAGACGAAGATGAGGGAGAGGATGAGAAAGAGGAAGAGAGAGACTGAACACAAAGAGATACAGGAGGATTTTAGAGTAGGTTCTCAGATCACTCTTCTCCAGGTTGAGAGAGCGGCTCGGTTGTTTCGGTGGCTGCGCCAGGCTGAGGGTTATCGGCGGAAGGGTTCTTGATAGTCATCGAGAAGCCGGTGACGTCCATGAGTTCCTTGAAGGTATTATCATCAAAGGTGGGGTTACCGGATTCAGGATTAGAGGAGAGCGCTCCGCTAGGTGAGGGATGGGTGGCGGCCCGGTCCGAGGCCTGCTCGGCCGACCTGGAGGATTCATCGGGGTGAAGGCCGCCGAGCGTGTCACCGTTGGTGGCGTAGAGCGAGCTCGGGCCCCCGGAAGGGTTGAAGATCACCGTCTGGTCGGCACCGCCACTTGCGTCTGGCGACGTCAGACAGCCGTTACGTCCCTGCGCTTGCTGCTGGGCTATGGCAAACGCTTGCGAGGTGTTGGGCGAAAACAGAAAGCCATCGGTTCCCGGATGGGCAACGTCATTGTCCACCGCCGAGTTAGCCATCCCTGGATTCAGGACCTCGTTCGCTGGGACAGTGAATCCTTGGAAGGTGGCTTGTTGGTTGGAGCTTTCTGCAGGATACATGGCTGACTCCGAGCCCATTGATTGATGCTGGGTAGACGAAGTTGTGTCGACGGAAGCGGCGACGGCGGCAACGTGCAGAGCCACCTTGCGAAGGACCTTGAAGCCGAGCCACTCGTCGAAGAAAAGATTGACGATCTGGAAGGAGCCAAAGCTGGAGGCCGATCGGAGGGTCAAGTCACGGATGAGCTGGGAGCTGACAAAGCACCAGCGGACTAGCAAGGACCTAGGACTGAGAGCACGTTCGCCGTCTGCGCTTGGCTGGAGACAACGCTTGTAGGTGGCTTCGACGAAGGAGATGAAATGGTCAATCGTCACGTGAGGGTTGTTGAGGATTGCCCGGAACTCGTCAAAACATCCACCCAGAATTTCGTGCTGGCAATTGGTAACCAAGGCGGCCTGGTTCCGGACTGCCTCAAAGTCGATCCCATCCCAGGCCTCCGCCATGTCTTTCAGATTGGCCGGGTTGCTAAAGATCCCTGACAAAGCCTGAGCAAGTTGACAGATCCCCAAGTTGCGGACTACCAAATGGCCAAATCGGGCAGCCAATTCAATCTTCGGACCAACAAACGTGCTTGGAAAGTTTTCCAGCGCCGCGATTATCACTTGTTCCATGTTCTGGGCAAGCTGTCGTAGAGAGCCAAATGCCTGTTGAGGCATCTGATTCAACGTTTGTGAATGCAGATAATCCAATATTTCCTGGGGAGAAAAAAAAAATAAACATGGGAAGGAATTAGTGTTTGTTCAGCTGTAGTGTAATAACTTGAATTTGGCTCACATCGTAAACAACGGCATCCGCTCGATAAATCAGGCTCATCATCAGTGAGTGGGTAACACATTCCCGCGAAGCGGAATCCATGCTGGTCCAAAACGTCCGCAAGGCGAGTTCGAACTGGAGAAAATAATTATAATTAGATGATTGAAGAATCAAGAGAAGACGCTGCGCGGAGACTAACTTGATCAAACCGATAACTCTTGACGGAATCCAAGAGGTTTTTGGAATGATCAACATACATGCTCCAGAATTCCCTAGCCTTCTGATGATCAAGATCGTGAGAAAGGGGTTGATTGAGCACCTCGTCCAAGCTCGGCAACGCCATGGGTGTTCTGAAGTCTGAGCCATTTGAATCCGAGGTGTGGTGAGACAGCGGCTGGGAGCTTGCCAGGGATGACATGCTTGGCCGAGCGGTCCTGGGTGTCTGTGGCTGTTGGCCATCGCCATCTAGCGACATCATGCCCTGATACCCGTCGTCAACAGACAAGTTGCTGGGCTGGACGCTGACCCGACGACTCGGACTGTCATCCGAATCCACGTCATCGTCCGCCGAGGAGGGAGTGTTGCCATTGTGGGCCGGTTCTGGCTTCTCACTTTGACTGAGATTCATCAAGATCTCGGCTTCTTTGGCCGTAGCTGGACGAATGCCACAGTCTGATCTCTCAAAGACAACAGTCAGCATCGGGCAGTATGCCTAGGGAATGGAAAATCTAAACTCACAGTGGTATTTCGAGTTGCCTCGCACACCCAGTCGCCGAGTTTTGATGTTAGGAAAGCTCTGTCGCACGGATTTTCCGAAGCTGGCTGAGTCTGAAAGGACAGAACAAAAGGGTGGGTCAGTGCGACAGTAATTGAAAGAAATGGAAACCAAAAAAAGGCTTACTGATGGGTTTAATGTCATACTGTTGACATATACGAAGATATGATCCATACAGCCCCTGACGGGATACATTGCCATCGGTGTAAGAGATGTAAGAAGAATTGAGCCTGGTGACGTAGAGGAGAGGTTCGTCAGAAGAAAGCAATGATACTAGGTAATACTAGGCAAGAAGAGGAAAGGGAGGAGTAGAAACTAACCATGCTTGGACAAATGCCTGGCGAGCTCTGTCGGATGCAGAAGTAGTTACTGCTGTGCGAATGTGGTGAGCCAGAGCCTCGTAAGTCTCCGTACTATCCAATGTCATCCGGCCCATCCGTGCACCCATTCCCCCGACCATAGAGGTATTAGACATGCCATTTGCGCCATTCATCACGCCGATCCCATTGGAGCCCGCACCATTCATTGAGAGAGTGGTGTTGCCATAGGCACTGGAGTGCCCATGGACGTTGGCAACGGCAGCATACGGGTCCATGAAGGTACCCGCCGGGCCGAGGCCGGTTTGGTGGTGATGAGGCGCCGAGGAGCTGCATTGATTTGACTGAGGGTTCAGGTTCCAATCCGACACAACAGAGCTCTCACGAGACTGTGATCGGAGAAGCTGCGCAAGCTCTTCCTCGGTATTCGAGGGCGCATCACTGGCCACGCTGTGGCTTCGCAGGAGATTGGATGTGCTGCAATTAGTGGACGAATCATTGCCGTTCCAAGAGACTTGGTCGGTGCGGACGCTGTAAGGGCTTGCTTGGGCCCGGGCGCGACGCATCATCTGGATGTTGGAGGCTTTTCGGCCCCCGGATACACCCGAGCCTGGACCTAAGCCTTCGGGAGAATTGCCTTCAGATACTGAGGTAGGCTCTGTGTATGGGGAGGAGGAGGAAGAGGTTGAGGATGAACGCTGGTGTTGCCCGGGGAACTGATGGTAGGCATCAGCGGAGACGGGGACGCCACCAAAGGCAGCGTCGGCTGAAACGCTGCCGGTATAGGAGACCGGCACGGGGTAGTTCTGGGAGTACTGGGAAGGGTCATAGTGGGATTGGTTGGAGCTGAGCGAGCTGATGCTGCTGGCGTTGCTGACATGCCGGTGATGATTTTGATGGTTGAGATGTGAAGAGGGTTGCTGGGGAAGATGGTGATCAAAGTGGTGAGAAGTGGCCTGCGACATCATCATACTGCTCGGTTGAGAATAGTCTCCCGGGTTGTCGTGGTGGGCAAGGGGGTAAAGCTGGGTATGATGGTGACTGGGGTTAGGGAGACCAGCCTGGTTGTCCGACTGAGGCGAGCCAGTTGTCGGATGGAAGGGTTGAGTGTTGAGAGGCTGCAATGATGAGGGGAGTTGTTGCTGTTGCTTCTGTTGTTGTTGTTGCTGCTGCTGATGCTGGTGCAGTTGTTGCTGGTGCAGCTGCTGTTGCTTAGCAGGATGAGACAGGGTATCGGCCGCGTAGAGAGGGGCAACGTTGGAGGGAAGAACCAGCTGGGGGGTGGTGGTCGTCATGCTTTATTATAAATGCCTATAACCAGGAGCAATGTCCCAGACTTGCTTGGATTGGGCTGGTGGAGTGGACTGGTCTGGCCTAGAAGCAGCAACTCAAGAGAGACTCTTTGCGACCGGGGGCAGTGGATATGTGGTAGATAAGGAGCAGGGAATGTTAGTAACCATGCCAGCAGTAGATATGGATGAGGAAGATCATATGAGGTGGTGGGTATAGCAACTCAGACCAACACACTCCCTAGAAACAAGCCAAAAGATTATTAATAAAAATAGAGCCTGCCAATTCAAGCTGGAGGGCCGTTCAAGAGAAGAGAATGAGTTGAACCGAGCAGGAAAACGATCGGGGGTCTACAATTTCCCACCACAGAGCTCGCTCTACCGCTATAAGCTATGTTTGTGTGTGTGCCTACAGGCTAGCGTGGTACATGCCATACATATTTTGGTGAGCCTGCTGGGCACGTCATCCCCAATACAACTCCGACTGTGACTGTGCTATTATATGTGCATAACACATACAATCCTCTGACTTATCAGTGCGGTGAGGCGTAGGGTGGCTGAGCTTGGCGTCCCCACCGACCGCACGGAGGGAGCTGGAGCCGAAGTGGTATGGATAATAAGGTCGCAATAGCCGGCCAATATGGAAGAATTGCAAAGCTACATAATACATATTTATGTGGATATGTCGAGTGTGGGTTTTGGACATCATGTGCATCTGCAGCATATTCTACTCTTCGATGCCCGCTTGCCAATGAGGATGTTTCTTTGTGTGTGAACGCAATACCTGGATCGGACCAAGTTTTTGGTGTGCATGGCTTTGTTGGTGGTTTTGGTTATATGCCTCTCCGGCTCCCTCAGGGAGGTCTTACATTGGTGATATGCTTGCACCATTTAGGGCAGGTCAACAAGGACATGGTCGAGTGATGGTGCTTCTAATCTTCTTTGTAATACAAGTGATATACCCTGAGCCCCAGAGAGGTGATGGTTATATCCGATGTTTGAACTTGAACTCTATCTTGAGCAACTTGATCATTAGAACTTTGTGGTTTGTGGCACAGCAAGTTTCATGTTTTTGCAGGCCAAACTGAACAGTTTGAGAAAACTGTACATACAATTGGACATGAAACAGATCGTCTTGGCTTTGAAGCTTTCACTCATCTTGGCAGAGAAAAGCATTAGGACAGTTCACATTTCAAAGATTTCAGCAAATTTTTATGTGAGCCCAGCAGAGCAAGTTGAGTTCACAGGCTTAAAATTGGCCCACATGTCTGCCAATTTTTCAAGTCTTTTGAAACCAGCAAACAGAAGTTTTATCTGAAATCAGAAAGATTTTCTTCAATTGTGAACCATCCTATGGGCCACATGAGAAAAAAAAACAGAAAGGTATTGGTCATGATAAATGCCATATAAAATGGGAGCTGCATTTCTTCTGTCCAACTTGTCAGAATCATTCTGTGGATCTCATTTTCCACTGTTTCACCAGGAAGCATAAATTAAAGTCCATTGGTCTGCCCTCTAGACTGGCCAATCAAGGGGGTACTTTTTCCTGTCAAGGGGTTGAACCATAGGATTCAATTTTCAAAGTTGTGCTTTTTTTCCTGTCTTCTACACAGAAATTGGAAACAAGTGTGTTGAAATTCTTCACTCTTAGGCAAAAAGGCAAAAATCTGGGTTGTGGTGATAGTCACTTTTGCTCATATGCTTTTTAGAGCAAGATGGATTTTGAAAAAAAAAAATCATAACATGCAGTGCACCTCCTAACAATTTTCACATTAGCTTCTCATAATTATGCTAGCACTATAGCAAAAATCAGTGGTGAGCCACTTAGTGTCAGCACAGTGGTGGGCCACTTAGTGTCAGCATAGTGGTGGGCCACTTAGTGTCAGCGTAGTAGCACTAACAGTGGCCCTTTTTTGTAGAGTTAGTGGATGACTTCCCGTCAACATCTGCGGGTCTCCCAGTTTCCATTTAGAGCCGAAAAAGCCAGATTTCCCTGCGAAAATCTAGACTTTTTGGGTCTTAATCGAAAACTGCGAGGCTCCCAGATCCGACGGGAAGTCCTCCAGTGTGCCACTACTTCCGCTGTGCTGCATTACTTTGTTAAGCTTAACTAAGCCTCTCAAAGGAGGTGCAAAGCGTTTCCAAAGGAGAGGCTTACCTTTTAAGTTGCTTGCTTGGCTCAATAGAAATGAGTTCTTGTCAAAAAAGTCTCAGCTTATTTTGTTTTATTTTTTAAATATACACAGAATGTGCTATGAAAAAGCCAAATTGACAGAGCTGTAGCCTGCTGTCTTGGCTTTCATCCAAAGAAATTGTATATATCTCTTCCCTAAATAGTGGCGAAGCTTGCTTCCTCTTAATCAATGTCCTGAGCTTTGTGAAATAACAAAATTTGAAATATCTTGAGCTTTTGGATCCTGGATAACTGGACCACAGGCAATCTCACGGGCTTTCTGGCTAATGCATACTCATGAGGGTGTAAGTGGGCCGGGTTCAGGCCAAAAATCTGTGCCCAAATCCGACCTAACATAAGTCTTAGGGCGGGTCTGGTCAGGACAAAAAAGGAATTCTGCTGCCCAAAATTCTGAATCCAAACCCGTCCAGCCGCTGAGAGTACACTCTTGATGGACAAGGGTGTACCTCTCAGCCATCGAGGGTATACACTCTCAACGGCTGAGGGAATCCACCTCGGCCTCTGAGTGTGCACCTCGATGGCCAAGAGTGTAGCTCCCTCTTGGCCATCAAGAGTGTACCTCTCTGGCTAGGAGTGTACCTCTCAGCCATTGAGAGTGGTAACGGCCAATACTGTACCTCTCGACGGCCAAGAGAGAGCTACACTCTTGGCCATTGAGGTGCGCACTCAGCGGCTGAGGTGAATTCCCTTGGCCGTCAAGAGTGTAGTTATACCCTCAAAGGCCAAGAGGAATCCTCTTGGCCATTGAGAGTGTATACCCTTGATGGCTGAGAGGTACACCCTTGGCAATCAAGAGTGTACTCTCAGCAGTTGAGGTGGTTTCCCTCGGCCATTGAGAGTGTATACCCTTGACGGCCAAGGTGGTTTCCCTTGGCCATTGAGAGTGGACTCCCAGCAGCCAGGAAGAATCCTCCCGGCTGCTTCCGTGGGGGTGGGGGTCTTTTGCTTTGTCGACCCCCAAACCCTGGTTGGTTTTGAAGGATTGACTCCTGAACCAACCGGGGGATGGTTTTTTTTAAATTTTTTTTGGGTGTCGACTCCCAAACCAGTCAAAGGTTTTAGGAGTTTGACTCCCAAAATTTGGGGATTCTGGGGAATGGGGTTTGGCTCTCCACTTTTTGGTAGAGATGGTCGAAGGATATCCCTTGCGGATATCCGTTATCCGCTGGCGGATACCCGTCAGCGGGTGCGGATGTACCGTTTCCCCTAAAATCCAGGTGGATATCTGGGTATCCCAAGGGATACCCGGTGCCAAGCCAGTGAAAATATTTTTTTACCAAAAAAAAATGCCTCCCCTGGGCCTAGAGAGCAGGGGCCATGTTGCCGGGAGGAATCCCTCCGGGCAAGCTGGTTACATACCAGCTTGTCGGGAGGAACCCCCCCCCCCCGACAATCAATCTACACCTCCCGGCGAGGTGGTATTTACACCGGGTTCCTCCCAACAAGCTGGTCTAAAATCCAGCTCGCTGGGAGGGATTCCTCCCGATGCGCGTTTGCCCACCAGTAAATGGGCCGGTATCCGCAGATATCCATGCGGATACCCTCCAGCGCCAGCAGGTATCCGCTGGCGGATGCGGATGCGGATGCCTATTTCCGCTGAAATTGTCAGCGGATATCCGCATCCGCGCAGATATCCTGACCCAAACCCAAAACATCCCAAGACGGGTTTGGATTTGGAATTTTGGGCAGCAGAATTCCTTTTCTTTCCCAACCAGACCCGCCCTAAGACTTATGTTGGGTTGGATTTGGGCACCGTTTTTTGGCCCAAACCTGGCCCACTTACACCCTCATGAGTATGCATTAGCCAGAAAGCCCGTGAGATTGTCTGTGGTCCGGTTATCCAGGATCCAAAAGCTCAAGATATTTCAAATTTTGTTATTTCTGGGAGTTGTTTAATCAAGTCTCTTTTTTTTCATCATCAAAACACTATGAGTATGGGTATGTATATATAGTTTAACTACAGGTCTTTTTTGAGACCAAAAGATGAAAAATAGAAACAAAACAATCAATCACTAAGAGTCAAGACATCATCTTCATTGTCATCAATTTCATCAAAGCAAAAGAGGCCATCTTCAACCTTGAACCAGTCTTGACCACACACAAGGGCCTCAAGGGTATTGGTGTTCATCTTGCTTTGCAAGTTTCTGAGTACTTGGCCTCCAGTCAAGAATGCTGATTCTGACACAATTTTATTGCAACAATGTGATCAGGCCACAATCCAATAGTTTTTGAGAGGTTTTGATTGATTTTTTTTTCATGTATTTGAAGACTATGTGCGCGGTTGGATGATGAGTCATCCTAGAGATGACCTTGGGGTACCCGGCACCCGCCGGCGGGTACCCCCTTACCCCTGATGCTACCCGCCAAGTGGTGCCGGGTTTGGTACTTGGTGCTTGATTTTGGGCAGAAAATAAGGGTACCCGCCCCCAAACCCCCTCCTTGGTGGCTTGACCAAGACTAACTGGTCTCAGCCAGGTTGCTGGAGAGGACCCCTCCTCGGAAGCCTGATCAAGACCAATCAGGTCGTCAGTAAGGACTCTTGTTGGCAACCTGATTGGTCTCAACCAGGCTGCCTGGAAGAATCTCCAGCAGCCGGGCGGTACCCGCCTCAAGTACTGCCGGTGCCCACCAGATAGTGCCGGGTGTGGTACCTGATGCTGGCTTTTGGAAAAAAAAACTGGTACCCAGGTCCCACAGGGCCATCCATAGGTCATCCCAACTTTCAAAGTTGCTGGTATGAGAAACACAAAGATCAGTCACTTATGTGGAAAAATAAAATAAAAAACATACTGGTGTTGAAAACATCAAGAAA